GTCGGGCCGATCAAAAATCCGCAACAGTATGCGCAAGGCGTTGCGGAAGCCGATGCCCGACCCATTTGCTCCCCTTGCTCTCATGGATGCCACTGAGGCGCAAGGCGCGCCCAGACGACCTCGAAGGGCATCCGAGGCGGATAGGCCTCGGCCTAATGTAGAGGTGCCATCACCAACGGGCAGATGGAGCAGTCTCACTCCACGCCAGCGCCTCGACAGCCTTCGCAACCTCAAAGCAAAACCGAATCGACCGCCACCCAGTGCCGTGGCTCCGGTCCCAGCTCAAGACACCTCCACCGAATCCTCTTCGCTCGAGGCAGTCGCTGATCCAAGCACCGCTTGGCTCTTGGCAGAAGCCGACAGGATCGGGGATGACTCGGATGACAACGTGCCCTTGGCCAAGAGTCTCTCGAGGCAATCAAAGCACGCCGCGTCGCCTCTTATTCCAGAGCGAGAGCTTGCAATTTCTACGCGACCTTTGCCCAAAAGTGGCAGCTTGCGCGGCGCGCTGAGCTTGCCATCGAATTCTCCAGCTACTCCCAGCACACCAGACGCTGCCCCGTGGGCCGACCTGGGCTTCGCGACGACAATCGAGCGACGTGGTCCCTTGCAACAGATGTGGAGCAGTGCCGATGCTTACGGGCTTCGGGCTGGGACTGACTATGGTCAAGATTCTATGGATGACTACGACACCAGCACTCAGCCCATCGCCAAATCAGCGCGACAGTCGCGCAGATTCAGCGGTCAAGCTGCCATGGCTCCTGGAGGAGCGGTCACCATTGGTAGCATGGCATCGGCAGAAAAGGTGTCCTCCCCCCTCAAGAAAGAGCCCAAGAACCCTCCCGTTGCAAAAGTCGTCACTAGAGGTACTCGCAGCGGCTCGTTACGGAGGCTGGACAGCGCGGGGGGCGATAGCAACAATACCAGCATCGACAGTAGCTCATCGACGGGCAAGCAACTCGCGGCGCTCAACGCTGCGAGCAAGCACCGCCATGCTCAGACCAATCCACCGCTTGATCCGCCTCACATTGAGATCAAGGCGCCCGTGGGTAGCCGCAAGGGCATCTTGTCGGGCACTTCTAGCGCCACTGGTGATGTCAGCTTGGCTGCAAGGACCAGAGGAGCTCGCCGCCCATCCTTGCGAAAGGCAGCCGCCGAAGCCCAGTCGCCCAGACCAGCACCTACGATGCAGCCAGAGCCAGCGCCTTTTGCCATGGCCCGACGCGCCAGGTCAGCCAGTATCAGTTCCCGAAGCAGCGGTCACAGCTCTGGAAGAGGCAGCTCGTTAGGTGCCCCGAACGGCATGTCAGGAAGCGTCGATTCTACAAGTCTCAATCGGCGAGCTTCTAGGGCTTCGGGATCGACCGGCCGCGTTGGGAGCATGGTGGGAGTGCCCGAGCAAGGCGAAAGTGTGGATCACGAAGACCTCGATCACTTGAGCTTTTCTGCCGATTACGCGACGCAATGGCGCAGACAGACTGCCGCTGCTGGAGGCGCTTAGCAATCGTGACATTCAGACATCCATGTGGTCGAATGACGACTTGCCAAACAACAACTCGACGTGATGCTCTCAGAACAATTTGTCTAGGCAAAGCCGAAGAAACCGAAGCCCGGCCGTGGTTGTTCCCTCTCACCAAGAATTGCGGAACAGCCGCAATTCGTGACACAACTCAGCACACATACCCTCATAGATCACTTGGCCCTGTACGAGTGACCGCGCAGGTGGCACATCTACACGATGTGTGCTTTGCAGCACCATTTTCGTACACACAATCTCACACATTCTTTACCTCGTTTCCCTGCACCGGGCTTCTTTGCCCACCACACTCACTTTGCCTCTTCTGTGCTGCGCCGTTGCGCATGCTAGCTCCACATCTTCAATGTCACAATCGCAATCAGAATGCTTTGTTTGTCCACACATCTTCCATGGCGCGCGTCAACGTTCGACTGGCAAAGGGGGAAGCAAAAGTCGCCGTCGATAGGACGAAGACAAGGAGGTGATTGGTTGCGCGGTGCTTGAAGCCCGTACTTGCTGCGTGGGCCCACTTCGTACCCCTGTACGCCGTCCCCTTGCGGTTAAAGCAGCTAGGTGGATCGTCGACCGAGCAGAGCACGCGGCCGAGGCCGAGTGCAAACTCAATCGACCCTTCACCCGGTGCCATTTTCGGCGACTTGCAACACGGACGACCACGAATGACCCTTGAAAAGCTTTGCACCACCTGGGGGTCTCTGATTAGAACGTCTGCTGTGGTCGAACATCCTTGCATGAGCAGGGAATCCTCTGCTCCATGATGACTGATTGAATTTCGCACTCTCCACCTTTCCACATCCCACCGTACCAATTGTGTACCGTGGTCCGAAGGCTCTCTGCCGCTGATTTAGGAACTTTCAGCAGCTGCAAGGTGGTGCAAGGAGGACGCTTCAGCTTCGGTCAGCGCAGCTAGGGTTCACGACTCGGAGCAGCAGGACAACATATTGCAGCGAAGCGTCTTGCCGCGTGTATATGTATCGCTGCACGACGCGATGACCTCGCGCGTGCCCGCCCGTATGAGCGTGCGGCATGGACGACTCGCACGCGAGAGGCTGCGCGCTGATGCCGCCATGCCGGCATGGCCACCCCGCGCGCGGAGAGCGTGCAGCCCGACTCACACGAGCAAGCATCCTTGCACGTTTGGAAACCACTCACGCACTCACACCCATGCACCAGTCAGCTATAGTGCACGCATGGATGTCAGGGCACACAACGCGATGCGGAGCAGCTCTAGGTCAGACCAACCAACACCTGCTGTCCTCGACGCGTATGCCCCTGCGTCGCGTGCGTGCTTTTTGAATGCAAGGAGTCAAACTCTCGGGTCCATGCAACCGATGGGCCCGGGGAGCGAACGAGACTAGCTGTACCGATTCGTGATTGTGCTTGACTGAGTCGACTGCCACGGGGGCTGCGTATATCCGCACATTTGAATGCGCAAGCAGATCCCAAATGCTGTCAATCACCAGCATGCATGCAATCACGAATCGAATGTGGACGACGCACGAAGGAGCATTCGTCACTTGGTATGTACCGCCGCGCCTCCTCCGCGGGCAAAGGACAGCAGCGCAGCGACAGTCACAGTGACAGCATCAGCATCAGCGTCAGCGCTCACAGCACAGCACCGCACGGCACGACTTGGTTTGAACAAAGTTTGCGGAAATTCACCATTCGATTCCCACTGCACCCCATTTGCCACACTTGCATCGTCAAGCACGAATATACATGTCGAAGCTTCGATCTGCATGTATGCTAGCTCTGCTACTGTACTGCCGCGTCAATCCCTCCATGCAGCGCCACTTTTGGCTTTGCTTGCTTGCCTTTGACTGGTCCAGCAGCTGCTGCTGTCGGAGTGAAATGATGATTTTCTCACACCCATTGAACCTGTCACACGCGCACATGCCGCGGTAAACAGAGCGTGGGACTGCATGCAGTCAAAGTATAGGGTCGCACGAGCATAGGAACCCTCAAAGCAGCCCCGTGCATCGTGTGCGCCTCGGCCTCGACCCCAGTTTGAGCACAGATCATACAGCACAGCAGCAGCCTTGCCTCGGTCTAGACGCATGCACACTGCACCGAAAAGAGGGAGGTTGAGAGCGGAGAGAGAAAGCGCAGCATCGTGTAGTGTGGCGCTCATCTGCTCGACGGATTCGGCCAAGCAGCAGAATCACTGATGAATGGTGTGCTGGCCGCCGCTCCCCAAATCATGCTAGTCAAGAGTCTCACTGATGCCCTGACAGCAGCAGCAACACTTTCAAGTAAGGCTGGACTGTGTGTGCTGTGTATCCACACTCAACTACTTGGATACTGCAAACAGGCTTCCCCTGCGGCTCTGTAGCGCAATTTGCCAATTCAGCTGCATCAGCCGGTACCATAGCGCAACGTACATATGTGACCTCGATCATTTAGAGTTTTCTGCTGCTCTTCATCAGCAGCATGCCTTAATTCTTTCTCACCGCGGAGCCCACAATCTCACGGCAGAATGTTTGCAGCGGAGGCGTTTGGGACACTCACCAGCAGTCGAGTGATTCAGTCTGGCCTGCTGGCTGTGCCTGCCTGCCTGCCTGCCTGCCTTGGCATGCCGCGACGCATTTGCTGTCAGTTGTTCGTGCATGCAGGCAGCAGCAGCAGCAGCAGCACGTCTGGCAAAACCGCTAATGGTAATTAAATCGGTAAACACACACGGTTGACTTCTTGCATGCATGGCCGCGTATAGCTTCGAGCACGCGCACCCAGCAGCATGTGTTTTGTGTTCGTCATTTGCATGCTGATGTGTACGTTTCCCCCGCCGCACCGCGTCAGCACAGAGGCGTGGAACTTTTCGACGCACAGCGATCAATGTGCCTCGATCACGATACCTCGAGTGCGACTACTGCTGCTATTCTTCTGTTATTGCTGCGCACCGAGCTCGTGAGCATCAAGAGCAAGAGCAAGAGCAAGAGCAAGAATCGTTCGTCAATTCACAAGCAAGGGCGCGCACAGCTCTATATAGCTGTCAAGGATGCTCGCTGCTGCTGGAGCGTCCAGTGCGATATAGCGTCGGGCTAGACAGGATCCCCCTCGCATCAGGCGCAAGGTGCATCCATCCATCCATCCACCCGCGCGCACCCACGCGAACCTGCCCCATTCAGCAACACCGCAGGCAGGCAGGCAGGCAGCTACGTACAACGGCAAACACGTCCGCTGCAAACATCTTGCTCCCATCTGTCAAGCTTCGAGTCAAGAGCAAGAGTCTCAGTGGCGATCCCCCCAATTCCTGCCATCCAGTCAATGTGAGCAGCAGAAAGATACAAAAGGGGCAGAAGAGTCTCTTTCGTCCCCAAAGCCGCACAGCTCCTCTCCTCCGCTCCAGGATCTCCATCTTGGCCCAGTCTGCCCATACTGTAGTCGCCCTCTTCCCTCAGTCCCCCGCCCCTCCTCGTCGACTCTCGCATCCACCATGGTGGACGCTTCCTACTACCAGCAGCCTGCGGTCGTGGCTCACACCTTTGAATATGCCAAGCTGCTCGCCTTCGCATCGGCTGGCGCAGTGCTCGTCGACCTCATTCAATTCCTACCCTTTGATCTCAGCATCATTCGCGGGGATCGCAAACGTCGATGGCCTCAACTCGCATACTTTGGTGCCAAGCTGACATGGATCGTCTACATCATCCTCAACCTGTCACTCCTCTTTACGCCAACGGAGATCAACTGCCAAGGCATGCTCATCGCCATCGAACTTTGCATGGGCTTGCTCGCCATTTCCTGCTCCACCTTGCTTGCTGCTCGCACAGTTTGCGTCTTTCAAGCTGGAGGTAACGCCCGTCGCTTGGTCGCCATCATCGTCAGCGTGTCTGTCGCGGGCATGGCTGCTGCCTGGTTTGAAGGAGTCGCCGACGTCAAAGCTGCTTGGCTCGCAGAAGCTGCTGCACCGTGGAGCACTGGAGCTTGCAGCTTCCTCTCGGTCAAAAGGACTTACATGGTCAAGTACCTCCTCACCGTCTATGTAGACATCCTGGTCTTTGTCCTGCTCCTCATCGGCACGTGCAAGATGGGCACGAGTCGCATTGGCGAAGTCCTCGTCTTCCAAGGCGCTTGCTACCTGTTGGTCACCATCCCCAACATCATCATCGCTGTCCTCACTTCCATGCAACTCTCTCCCGTGATCAGCTTGATCGGCGCTGTTCCAAGCAGCGCCATTAGCTTGATGGCGGCTACCCGCCTCTATGTCTATCTGGCCGAGGCTGCCGCCGTACAGCCTTCCGGTGTCAGCACCAGCCAAGTCAGCTCCACCATTGACAAGGTCGGAAACTTCCTCTTCCGTGGTCAGCGCAGCACGCTCTACGGCAACACTGCCGGCCTCTCTAGCTACGGCCCCAGCGGTGTCGCCAGCGATGATCTGCCCGTTGTCGGCTCGGCATCTTCCGATGCGAGCGACAGCATCATGAAGCTTCCTCTGCGCAACCCCGCCTCCGAGAAGAGCATCAAGCGCAAAGCGACCTCGACGAGCAGCGGCAGCGGCGCCACCACCGATCTGGAGCTGGGAATGCCTGCTGGCGACATGCAAGAAAAGACTGGCGTACAGGTACAACAAACCCAGTCCGTCGAGGTAGAACAGGGAGATCTATTCTTGCAGGATTCGCGCACGATGGATGCTGCACGCGCTCAGAGAAACGAGGGTGACGACATTTCGCCTGCCCTCGCTATGGCCTACCCCCGACTTTACGGCAAGCGAGACTCTGGCAGCTCTGCCAAGTAAGCAAATGACCCCTGCTTCGCCCCTACCGTATCGAAACAAGCCTGCACCGTGTCCGACAGCCTGACACCACGCTTCGGCAAGCTCTGCTCCTGCAAATCCTTCTTGCTGCGAAGGCCCCCACGCGCGCGCCTCCACACCTAATCTCGCAACACCAGACCCAGCCCCGGCCGGGCCTTTCTGCCGTACTTTTGAATCTCGTCACTCCCCACATTGTAGCCATATCAATCTTAGCACTTCAATCAGATCAGCGCCTACGTGGCTCATTTTACGAACAGGTGCATGATTGCGCGAAACATGCTTACTTTGAAACATGCTTTCTAAAACGTGAAATGTCGGCAAGCTCTCGCAACGACGGGTTTCACAGCGTCTTCGCATCGGCTCAGAAGTATGTGAGAGGCGATGGTCTCCCGAAGAGAGGCAAGAGACCTGCCGAGCACTTCAGGACGGGTGCAGGCAAGCTTCCCAAACCCCAGTAGAGCCGAACGAGTTCGTGCGTGCATATGCAGGGCTGCGCCCAGCTTGTGTGTCCTGCACCGTGATGAATGAGCAGATAGCTGCTGTTGGGCAAGTGGGCATGAAGGGCTCTCGCTTGGGCTCCTGCCGTGCTCGGATCGAGCACATTGCCGATGATCAGAGCCTTGTTCCGAAGCTGCAAGGGCTGGCTGGGCTGGTCCATCGGCATCGGTCCGGTCCAGCGCTCATGAGCATGATCCAAGCCCGTTGCGGAGCATGACAGGCTGGGCAGTACGACCGGGTCGAAATATTTGGAGATGGGAATGGACTGGTCGAGGATCCAATCGACGAGCGCATCTGATGTGGAGATGCAATCGTCCGAAGGTGCATCTTGACACACGATCGAGATGCCGTCGTCAGGTAGTGCTCCACCTGAAGTCGAATTGCCAGCGGACGCTGCGTCGAGGGAGAACCTGAAGCCTGCTGCGTACACCTCATCGGCATCTCCGTCGACTACACCCTTGAGGATTCGCGCAAGAGTAGCGTAGCCTCCAGAAAGTCTGCTCAAAGGACTGATCAGCAGAGACAGCATCCTAGCCTCGATTTGCGGCAGTGTTATGGTACCGTTGGAAAGGCTTTGGCCGGCCAGAAACGTGGTGTTCCGTGATGAGGCTCGCATTGGTTCGTCATGAATGCGACGAAGACCGACGTCTACCACGTCAGCGAGGTGTTTGGCATCTTTCGAGTGAGAGGACAAGGGACAGCTCGACGGTCCAGCGGCCAAGCATGCTTTATAAAAGCCCTCGAGCGCCAGCACGGCTTCCGCTTGATCGCCCACGGTCTGACGAGAGACGCGATTGTGTAAGCTCGACGAAGCGTTGACCACGCCGTCCAGAATGAAGAGCCCAGTCTGTTCCGGAAACATTGCCATGTACAGCTGTCCGATCGTGGTGCCGTAAGAGATGCCCCAGTAATGAAGCAAGTCGGGACTCGTTGCGATTCCATCGTCACGTGGCGCTGCGGTCGGCGCAAAGTCTTGGTGATGAGCCAGGAGCTGACGCATGTATTCTAGATCGAGAGCCGTGTAAAAAGTGCCAATGAACGGCAGAAAGTCGACGCTATCTTTCGAGCTGTATTTCAAGCAGCCATTCCTCCACTCCGCATAGCGAGCGAGCGAATGATCCACATCTTCTCGTAGCGCACGAATCTGCTCCGGTGTGGGGGAGGTGCCTGGCTGGAGAATGGGCACATTGATCTGAACGTCCAATTCGAAACGCGCCTGCTCGACGCCGCTGCCGAAGCAGATCGGAGCAGAAGGCTGGGACTGCCCGACGCCCCTTTGATCCCATCCGATCAGCTCGTACTCTGCATTGGTGCGGTCCAGGAAGTGTTGCCAATTGGCGGCTAGAAAGATACTTCCTGATCCGCCTGGACCGCCTGGATTGAGGAAGATCCTTCCTTTGCTCTGACGCTTGCCCGATCTGATCTGGCTAGGCACTAGGCGAAAGATTGCCAGATCGGCTCTGCGTTGGTCGTTGGGATCAGAGTAGGTGTAGGGAACAGAGATGGCAAGACAGTCCATCTGCTCGCGCAGAGGCGAGGTGGGGCCAAGGTCGCTGCTGTTGTAGCTGCTGGACTGGGACAGGGCGATGTGGCATATCGGTGAATCGGCGGCCCAGTGCAGCTTCTCTCCGTCTAGTGGATGTGCTGCAACGTAGTCCGAAATGATCTTTGCCGCTTCGACTGGGGTGCTCGGATTGTGCGCAGCGCATGAGCTGATTGTCAACGTCAAGAAGAAGAGCGCGAGGAGAAGAAGTACGTGAAGCGTGACTAGGCGATCCATAGCGCTTGGTCAGCGTCTCTCGCCAGTGAGATGCCTCGAGCAGAGAATTGATGGGAAGCTTGGCGGGCGAGAGTGAGGAGCACACGAGAATGCAAAAAGAGGGACGAAAGAAGGGCAAGGCGAGTAGATCCAGCAGCGACGTATAGAGACCTTTATCGCTCGATTCAACGCTGCATAGTGAGCTTTTGGGCAAAAGTTGACGCGCGCGCTGTCCTTGATGAAGGTGCCCAATTTGGGTCACACTTTATTCTCAGTAGCCGACGCATACAGAGCCCTTTGCCGTCCCGCTCAGCCCGGACCCGCAGCCAAGCAAATCACAATGACGGTGCTGCTCATCCGGTCTCGGATCGCTGAAGCGGCGCGGTGTAGTCAGTCGAGCATGGCGCTGATATATGATGCAGAGTCGAACAAAGGACATATATGACCACTTTGACTGGCCTTGGACTTGACGTGTGGAGCGTTTCACGAGCATACGTGCTGCGTGCTGAGTGACTTTCGGCTGCGCTGCATGGGAGCCGAGGACTCCTCTTCAACAGATGCTGGGTCGTAATTTGACCTTCTCTTTTGCCTTCACACTCGTGACTTCTTGGACGATGAGTGGGAGCCGTTTGCGCCTGCTAGCTGCTGCTGCGCATAGGTGTCGCTTGATGGACGCCATCTCCTGTGTGCCCTGCCCGAATGACGCGAGAACCTGGTGCAACTGCTGTTCAATGTGCACTGTTCTAAATCTCTGACTACGAAAGAACACTCGGGATGGTGGAAGAAGCTGCGGAGCACGGAGATGGGGCGATGACGCGCGGTCTGTCTATTCACCGCCAATACGCAGCGCATCCTTCATGGTCATGGAAGCTAGTCACGGTGGTGCATGCAGCAGGCTCGCAGAGCGGGCAGGGCCATCATCCTGACTGTTGTGTGTAAGTGAGCGTGCCGCTGTTCCGTGCCGTGTCCAGCCATTTCACGGCATCCATATCATGACGCTTCACACTTTGACACTCAAGACTCGTGACTTGACACTTGACTCACAACTCAAACCTCCAATTAGAGACTGTTGTATACCAACCCTACTCGTGGATGCGCGGTGAGCGCCGCCGAGCTCTTGACGGCTACGTTCGCCATGACCTGGCTTCATCCTTGCTGCGTTGGGGAACTCATCCTCTTCGTGCATCGGTGGACAGAGGTCGTGGCTTGACGTCACTACTCCGTTAATTGTGACTGTGACTGTGACTGATCACTCAAGACTTGAATCGTGATTCGGTACGGCCACCTCGTCCCTGCAGCATCCGCTCCGTGTACGCGTCAAGGCAGCGTGCGATCGCAAGCGGCACTCACATGCAGCATGCGCGCGCTGGGTGCTGCATGTCTGTTAGCAGGTCTCTCTGCGCGGCGCAGTAGCAGCACAGCCCGCCGCCGCAAGCAGGCTCGATGCTGCTGCATGCTGCTGCGCGCTCGCTCTTTCGGAAATTGGCATGAGCACAGACGTGGAGGGGGCAAAGCGGCCAGCAGCCATGGCGGTGTGGTGATTCTTCCTTGGACCAAGACCGCATCCACAGCAGCCGACCTCGATCATCAGCAGCATCAAACTTGCTTTCCAACCTTCACATCCCGAATTCATCAACTCTCACACTCAGTCGTTGCATCTCACCCGATCTTTGAGCCAATCTTGAAATCACTCGCAACACCCCACTGAGCGCCAGCGTTCAAGATGACCGTAAGTGGGAAGGCGTGCGTGGATGGATGGATGTACGCGAAGTGTTTTCGACGCTGACAAGCCCAACTCCTCCACACACCACTCTCAGATCCACTACTCGCTTTGCTTTGGCCTGTTGGTCTCGGAGATGATCGTATTCTTACTGCTGTGAGCCGACCCCGACACGTTTGCAGTCCGCCTCAATCGCGCTGCCTCGGAAGTCTAATCCCATCCGCTTCCGTTCATCTGGGGCCACTAGTATTCTGCCCTTTCCCTTCAAGATCCGTCGCGCAATCTTCCGTTTCTTTGCGACGAATGCCATCGTTGGAAAGGTCTTGTATGGTGTCAAGATCAGTATCATCTTCGTCTCCATTCTGTTCGTTGATGCCTGTCAGAGACTGCTCAAGACCATGGCAGAGCGTCAACAAGCCAAGGAGCAGCTGGGCGTCCGCGACACGGCTCACCATGATATGCTTCTGAGACTCGCTTTTGCACAGTAAGTCGGTCGAGTGTGCTGCGATCAGAAACTGCATGCTCCCGCGTTCTTGTCATACTGACGCCATAGTTCGGCAACGTTTACTTTCCCTTAGGAGAAACTGCTACCTTTGCGGCTTCTGCCTCTTCTGCTCCCTGTGAGTGCTGGTGCGGCAGCAGCGCCGATCTACTTGCTGTGCCTTGCTTATATCATGCTTCTACCACATGACTTGTACAGAATTCTTGCACGCACTTATGCCCTCATCACTGAGCTGATCCAAGCTCAAGAGGCTGCAGGCAAGACTCAAGCCGAACCTGCTAGCGACTCCAACGTTGGTGAGCTCGATCATGTGGTGCATTCTCTGCTACGTAGTAGCGCCCTTCTGACCTGTTCATGGCGTATGCAACGGCATCCTCCAGCTACTCTCAAGAAGCAGGTCGCTCAACAGCAAGCTGGTAAGTAGGCAAGAGCGGAGCTGGACGAGAGCCGATTGCATCACAGTCTCTGACCCAAGGCATCCCACTTCGTGTATCAGAGTACAACCGACTTGCTGACGAACTGGCCGCTGTCAAGGGAGAGGCCGCGAGGACGAGGGACGATTAGTGTCTTGTACAGCGAGCGGCTTCGTTTTGAGCGAAAGGAGGTGCAGTTGGCCCGTGTGAAAGCTCGAGGCAGTGATCGCAGTCGCAGACAGCGAAAATCTGGTGCAATGCCACACTGTAGTCAAACGCCCTCTTCGAGTGAACAACGACGAAAAGTCACGGAAGAGGTTCGAGGCAGTCTTGCTACCCATGAAAGCGATAATCAAAGGATGTATTGTCCACAACTTAAGGCAAGGCAAGATGGAGCGAGCGATATAGCGAAACAAATGAGCGTATGTGTGGTCAGAGGTAGAGGTCGGAACGTGTGAGAGGGGAGAGAATCGATGTGAACGAATGGTAGCATGTCTGATGAGGAGACACGAAGTAATGCCGGCCGGTGCGCTCGGACGAATTTGGTTTACACAGGACATATCGCGATGAGCGGATGGGTGGCAATTGGGTAGTCGATGTTGTTGAAAAGCTAACGAGGTGACGCTTTGCTGATGGTTCGATGACTTCAAAGCATAGCCTCTGTCGACTCGATATCGAGAGCTGAATACTTGTTCGGCAGCGGTAGGCAAGAAACGGACAAGAGTGCTGCCTGCACGGTTGGAGAGCCAGCTCTGCCAACGATGGTACGGACCCGCAATTGAAGTATGATGCCTATTGAGACAATGCGCGCTTCGAGGCGGCGATGCGATGATGTTGTTGTTGATGACGCCGGACGACATCGATGGGCTCGCTGCTCCTTCCAAAAGGCCGAGCGACGGCACCGGTAGCGCGAGGTGCTAAAAGCAGATCGGCACCTGCAAATGCTTCCGATTCTGGCGGCGCGGTACTGCGCCCGAGCAGCTCTACGAGACTCGCATCATTGTCCACGTCCCTCTCATTGTTGTGGTGATGGCGGTGGTGTCGAGTTGTGCCCGTGTCTTGCTCTGCAACACCGCTGTCATCCGTGGCGCTACTAGCCGCGAAAGCAGATGCGGTCGGCGCGGCTTGGGAAGCGGCCCCATCACCACGTTCCGCTTGCGTGTGAGAGCCGGACGGTGGAATGTAAGTTCCGCCGTTGCTTGACCTGTCGATGGAGCCTGGTGTGTCCGTCGTATGCTCGATGCCTTCTCGCCATATGATGATACCAGCGACAGCAGCAATGATTCCGATTAGACCAATGGTGACCAAGATCTTGACACGCCTTCGACCGTTCAGAGCCCTGCGCCTATACGCTTCAGAGGTCGGATCACCATTCTCTGCGCGATGTTGAGCTGCAGAGAAGCGCTTCCAGAACTTGGCCCCTGCACCGTTGACGTCCCACTCGTCACCCATACCGCTAGCGCCCATGTAGGTGCTCTTTGTTCGAGAGCGCGGCTTCTCGTCGACGAAGCCCCGCACGCGAGGCTGAGGCGCATTCTCGTCGTCGTCTTCCGACGCGGGCTGAGGAGGTGGTCGACCGGTCAGGAACGCCATGCTGCGACGGAACACGCTTTGTCTCTTGGGCCCATTGCTGGGTCTGCGTTGGGGCACCTGACCATCTTGGCCGCCTCCGGTGAGGAACGCCATGGAACGACGGAAGACGTTGCTCTGGCGCTTCTCTTGCATTTGGCGCTGTTGTGGGCCTGGCGACTGCGAGAAACCGGGACCGCGCGGCTGTGGAAACGGGGGCGGTGGTCCGCCATTTGGGCCCTGTGGTCGCGGCATAGCCGAGCCGCCGGGGCCTCCTGGTGGACCATAACCGTTCGGTTGAGATGGACCCATGGGACGACGCGGCGCTGAGGCGCTTGGGACAGGCTGATTGTAAGGCCCAGGACCTGGGCCTGGAACGTTGCGCGGCTGGGAATGCATGTCGCGACCAGGTCCAACCATAGCAGCGGAAGGGACGGCTGGACCACCCATACGATTCGGATAGCCCCGACCATCATTAGGAGGCATTGGTGATCTATGACCTCCTATCTGCTCTCGATCACCTCGCTGCTGCGGGAAATTGGGAGGGGCCGGACCTGGGCGACGGTCACCTGGAAGCATCTGAGAATTCTGCTGGGGGGGAGAATCTGCGAGCAGTTGACGAGGCGGGGGCATGTTGCCAGCAGTCGGGCGCAGGCTTTCCGGGCTTACGTTTGGACTACCGCGTGGATCGTTCATTCCGCGATCCTGCGGTCCAAAGGGTGAGCGATCTTGAGGGTGAGGACGCTCAATCTGTCGAGCCTGTTGCTGTTGGTGCTGATGAGCCGGCGTAGGTGCAGCAGGTGGAGGGGCTGCGTTGCCAAAGTAGTCTTGAGCTTCACCAGGGCGCACGGCAGGCGAGCCAACATGACGAGTCGCTTGCTGTACAGGCGAGGAGCTCAAGCCTAGCTGACGGGTCAGCTCAGTCCGGGGGCTAGCGGGAGGGCGATCACCGGCTGCCAAACGGCCGTGAGCCTCGACCGGCGTTTGCAAGGTCTGTGCCGATGTGCTGGTCGGCACGGCACCACGACTGGCGATGTGACTGTCCTCTTCTGTCCAACGATGCTGCTCTTGGCCTCTCAGCCCGGGGGATGCAAGCGCTGGCGCCGCACCAAAGTGGATCGTGCTCCCGTGACGGCCCACATCGTCGTCCGTCACGTCGTCGAGCACGCGTCGCGAGGACGCGCCGGTCCTAGATTCATCTCTTTGATGTTGCTGAAGATGCCCGTCTTCGCGATTGTTGTGGCTGGTTTGACCCGCGCTGCCGCTTCGCTCGAGAGCTTGCTGCTCTGTCATCATGTCAAAATGCGGGCTGGGTGTCTGCCGAGGAGCACTTGAGATGTTGAGGGGAGAGCCCTGGCGTGCAGGTGCGGGTCGATTGTATTGTGGGAGTTGCGCTGAGCCGGAGCTTGCGGCACCGCCGCCGATAGGTGCACCACCATCTTTCAAGCTCTTGAGACCGAGAAGCTTCAGAGAAGGAGGATTCTGGGACGCGCTGTCGGGAGGTCTTGAGCCAACGGCGGCCGCACGCGATGTCCAGCTGCCGCGTTGATTGCCCAATTGTTCGCCAGCAGCATTCATGGCACGGCCCGCGACGCTCTTCGCGCCCGCTTTTTGGGGTGACGGCTGTGTCGAAGGTGCGACACGTTGGTGAGGGGCGGGACGGCGAACACGGTCGTCATCCGAGTCGCTGTCACTGTCGCTATCGCCCATAGTGCCTGTCATCAAGCCGGCCCAGGCCCCGCCACCGCTCTCTTGACGTTGATGCGACGGCCCGCCTTCGTTACCATCGTGTCCCTTCGTACCTGAGGCAAAACCGACGCCACCAGATTGCCGGTTTCTGGCAGCAGACATTGGCGCGTCAACAACGTGGATGGCAGTTGTCTTCCTTGTGTGTCGAGGTGCTTTCGGGGAGTCTACGAACGAGTTTCGCTCGTGATGCTCTTGGAGCTGTTGGCGTCTTTTGGCGGAGGCTTCCTCTGCAGCACCGTCGTTGCGGAGGATTGATTGCTTGCGTGCGAGCTCGCGGATGACTGGATCGGGCGAGTATAGATCCTTTGGATCGTAGAGATATTTGTCGTAGATGGAGTGGAGACGTTCGTCCCTTTGAGGATCCGATGAAGAGCGAAGAGGGATTCCCATGAGTCAACCGTCGGAAGCAATAAAGACGGATTGGCCGACTGGATCAGAGAGCAAAACCCAAGGAGAGTCGCATGAAGGCGCGATCTACTCTTTGTATGCTACGCCGAGTCTGACTTTCCGTTAGGAGCTTGGCAAATTGGGAGGGTCTCGAAACTAAAGAAGGATGAGGAACAGATTGGAAAGATGTCGGGCCGAGTTGCAGACTAGGTGAGACTTGAGAGGATGAGGTAAGAGAGCGGGTGCGAATCAGGTCGGATTCACAACGAAGAAGGTCCTATCGAGCAAGGAGGCTGAAGTGTGCGCGGTCGTGCTCGACTGTGCAGCCCAGAGACACGGCGATCGTACGGGGCGACTAGCAGAGACTGGGCGCGAATGGAGAGAATGGAAGGTCGCAAGAAGGAGCGAAGACACCCTGAAGAGGAGTGCTGGATGTGTTTGAGGTACTGAATGAAGCTATCGTGGACAGTCACAGCAGTTTTGTTTGTTGAGGGCTGGCTTGCTTGGGTGAAGCACGACTCGAGGCATTTACAAGCGCGCCGTTGAATGTGGGCGGTTGGCCAGTGTACCAGACGCGCCCAACGTCAGCAACGTCGGGCGGGCAGCTTACAAGCCGTATAGCATCAGCAGCAGAGCAGACGTGCTGCCGCTGCGTGTGCAGCATGCACTCACTGCATGACTCCTCGTACTTATGCGCATCACTAAACGGGGACGGGCGCAGCCAAGTCAGAATAGGCGGCCGAGAGCACACTAATAATTCTTACACGGCCAATCTGAGCGGTTTGCAGAGAAGCCGATTAATTGTATTCAGCGGTCGATTAGTGATCTGACCTGCATTCAAGATCTGCTTCTCAGCCGCGGAGGCCCATAGCTAGGCCAATTGAGAATTGCGGCCCCTGCTCAAGCGTGCAAATGCTGATGAATCGGCTATTCAGATTCAAGATTCACGATTGCAACCGACGTCCCCAAGGCGCGAGCCTTCATATGCATTAGTCACTGATACACACGCATTCACACAGTCAAGATCGAGCCTCGAGTCAGCTAGCGAGGGCAAGCAAGCAACCAGCGGTCACCGTCGACACGCGACATGCTTGGTCGGAGGCTCGTTGACGAGAGGGAAGCCTTGACTGCTCACTTTGATGTGGCTGTCTTCGCCCGCAGCCTCAGCATCGTCAAATCTATACATTGTGCATGGCCTCAAAGGAGCGATCGCGCGGCCATGGTGCCGGTGCCGGTGCCACCTTAGGCCAATTTGAAGTTGTTTGGATGGAAATGCGGCTGTCTTACATCACTTGCATCACTTATTCTCCGAACACAGAACCGTGACCGTCCAGGAGGCAAGACGAGATGTGAATGAGATCATTCCTAATTGATTCAAGTTCGTAATTTACACTTTTGACTGCGTGCTAATGGTTGCTGATGACAACAGTAGCAGCACCGAGACATGCACGCTGATCGTTAGCGTTGGCGTGGGGCGTCGAGGCAGCATGCGGCCGGTGTGGACTACCCCCACAGTTTTCGAGGTCTGTCTTCTGGCTTCATCGGCCACTCTCGAGTCGATTAGAGCAGAGAGGTGCATGCAGCAGCGGCAGCTAGCATGCAATCAAAGGCCGGGTCTGCAGCATGTCTGTGCAAAGTCGTCACTTGGACTGCTGCTGTGACTGCACGCATGCTCATCAATTCTCTGCTCGGGCATAGTCTTAGTGCTCCCCTTCTGCTGCGTGCATGCATGCACATATAGGTGGGCGCGCATCCAACGGCAAGCTCACCAAAGAGACGCGCCATCTCACATTTTGACCTTGCAAAGAATTAGGCGCCAAGGTTTCGCCGCGGATGAATATCAGCAGCGGCACTCGATTTTCGTCATTCGTGATTGTGATTGTGGCCGTGTGGTTGCTTTGATTGACTGACTGCATCATGACCTCGACTGTCCGACGACCGCGATATGGTCTATATACATACTGTATATACAAGAAGGTGGGTGCGGCGACATGCTGCGATCCATCATGCATGCATGACTTGGCTTGATTGGCGTCCATAGTCTTGAGTAGTATATATAGCTGAAGAGGTTCGGGAAGGGTCCTTGCTGATCGAGTGCACTCACGACTTGCGCTCCCAAACGGCAGATCGCTTCACTTGATTGCAATTAAAGCGAGGCCCTCTTTGTACAATTACAATCTGGAATGTGAATCGTGAATCTTCCCGTGTCAAGAATGGTGGAGCAATAATGAATGATATCATACATGGAACTTCAATGCGCAGAGTCGAAGTTTCACCTAGGCGATCTCATGACCACTCGATAACTTTCATATGCTTCCGTATAGCTGCAGATCGATACCCATCGGGAGGTTTGCAGTCGTGATCGAACTCCAAAATCACAGCCGCACCATCCACGAAACAATTCCACTCACCATTCAAATCTCGAATTACATTCCGTGCAAATAACCGCGACGTCAAGACTGTGACTACTACCGCCGGGAAACCGACGCAGAACGTGCTGCGCGCGTGGGCGACAATAATACCACTATAAGAAGTTCCACGACCGACACAGGCCTCGACGGGTCGACCAATGTGAATACTGCAAAAGGCGCTTGGCTCCTCACGCGCAGTCGAGATCAGTGCGATCGCAGCTTTCCCCTTGCAGCGGGACATGAGGGCGACGAATTGTGATCGGAATGACTTTGGCCAGCCAGCGCATGCTGCGTGCCAAGCTTCGTGATCTGCAACTTTTTCGGTTGAACGCCGGTCGCGCATCCCGCCTCCAAGCTCACGTCACCATTTGACTTTGCCCATAGGCCAGCTCGGAGCGCCCGATAGATCTTCCAGACCGGTTTGGTAGATGAGGAAACGATGGCATACTTCATGATTGCCTCGACGCGGCTCCTTTCGTCTGCTATGAATTTGCACGAGCCTGACCAGCGGGAGACGACTGACCGAAAGTTCCGAGCGTACAGAACTTTGCACACGAAACTTATTCCGGGTCAATAACTTCACATTCAATTTGTAGACTGCCGCCATCGTCGTGACGCATAGTAAATGGGCCGTAATGTGCCAAAGGGCGAAAATCCTGCCGAGTGAAGGATTCACCACCGGTCTCTCTGCAAGGACCAGCCGAGCTGCGGCAGTGGTGCTTTCACGTCGTGTACGAGGTCGAACAAAGTTGGTATCTAGAAAGGACAGTGAGCGAGAGCAAGGAGAAGACAAAATGACGCAGTGCCCCCAGAGGCGACGTGGTGATGCTACACAAAGGTCGATAAAGGTAAATGCCGTCTGAAGACATGTACGATCCGTGACGAGGAGATTGTGGACTAAGCAATGAAAGGCTCCACTTTCGGTCACAGCGCCGCTCATAGATAGGCGAGCCCGTCAGCGCTATCGATCGAAGATACGCTAGACCTCCTGATATCGGCTTGGGAGCGGAAGATTTTTGGTCCTCCTGGCGCTGGACCGTGCGGTGCGAGCGCGGGCTTGGATTGATACTGACGAGACTGCTGCTGCTGCTGCTCAAACTCTCTTTGCTGACGCCGCTTTTGTTCCTCCCAGCTTTCCGAGACCTGTCGAGCCTGCAGCTGCGGTTGCACCTGCTGCATCTGGGTGTCGTACAGCCGCTGAGCTGTGTACGTCTTGGGCGGGTCGCGGAACGGAGAGGTGGGCATCATGACTTCGCACGCGACTTCGGGTGGTGAGCGGCTTGGCAAATTATTCAGGGGCGTGGGCAGCCCGCCCGCGCGAGTTGCCGGTGAGGAAGCCTTTGCCTTTGCCCCTTCCCCTTGCTTGCGAGTAGCTTCGTACTGCTTCAATCGAGAGGCGACTTCCGCATCATCGTACAGTGTGGACATGTGGGTGTACGGATCCAATGCCGATGTTTTGCCAACGGGATGGTAGCGTGTGGTGACGTCATCTTCCACGCTGCGCGCTGACTCTCGTCGCACATGAAGTGCAGTCTCGTGGTCAGTATGAGAGGAGCTGGGAGGGTGTGCCGCGTCGCGTTCGCGCTTGAGGGTGCGCTCTAGCACATCAAGTTCGGAAGCGCGTGCCCCTCGGCCTTGACGAGGTGACCTGGATTCTCGCTTTCCAATTAATTCGCTGCTCCTCTGGCTGGGGTTCAGCGGTGCCTCCTCCGCCGGCGCCATGCCTGATCCGACTCCGGCACCAACACCGCCGATCGGAGTGCCAATGTTGCTACGTGAAGCAAGTGAAGATGGCGCGCGAGAAGCTAGAGGTGGGAACAAAGCGTCATCCGGAACCACGCGAGGAGCAGGAGGCGGAAAAAGCGCATCATCTGGCACGGTGGAGTGGACGCTGGGAGCGCGACTACGGTTCGTACGCGTTGTCCTGGTACTTGGCGGAGCACCGTGCCCGGAGCTGGCACCAAATTGTGATGGTGTGCGTCGGTGCATGCCAGCAGCTGTCGCGGGGTAGACAGAGCCGATAGAGCTCGTTTCCGCTTGTCCATCGAGCCTATTTGCGGCCACGAGTCCCGTCGTGTCATTGGCTCCATAGCCCCGCGCGTAGGAATCTTCTGCTGCTGCAGATTTCTTCGGCCCTGCCATAGCAGAGAACATGGAGCTCATCGCGCGGAAGCGACCACCGCTACCTGATGCTGGCTGACCATCCACTTCGTACCTCCAAGGTGATACGAATTGGTCGTCAAACGGCTTTGACTTTTCGTCTTGGCCCCTTTTCCGCTTCCACCAGAAGATCGCTCCTGCAATCAGCGATATACCAAGCAGAGCTCCAATGATGCCCCCAGCAATCGCCCCGCCGTTCGAGCTACTGTTCTCTTCCTTGGCGGCATCGTCAGCACTCGGATTGCGGGGCTGCCCACTCTTCTGGGAGGTGTTGCCCTTGCTGGAAGTGCTCGTCGCCTTGTGTGCGGCGTTGCTGCTAGCTGGAGTCGCTTGCTTGGGTACACTAGAGGTGGCAGCCATTAGACCTTGCGTCAGACCGGGATTCGCAGCATCGCAGGAAGCCGACCCTCGAGCGCTGGAGACGGTGTAGATCAGGCCAACTCCTCCTGATCCGCTCTTGCCATTGTCGGTCATTGCAACGGTGAAGCGAGTGCCGCGGGGATATGACACCTGCCAGTCAAACTTCTTGTCGCCCTTTGACGCCGTGTATGTTGAGGGTACACCTCCCTCTGGCAGGAATGTAACCGAGACTGGATCGCCGATGCCGTTGTTCGAAGCGTCTTCCTGCCACTGGATCGGCCATGCGCTGCAGGCGCGCGGAGATGTCTCTGGCCCGAACCAGACAAAATCAAGCGACTCTGAAGGCGCGGAACAGCTGCCACCCGTTGAGATGGGCTGAAATTGCGAGACGCCCGCAACCTTGCCGGATGCGTCAGAAACGCCTACGATGACACTGGAACCCGAATCTTTGAAGCCTGGCACATCCCAATCGTATGACCACGTCTTGTCGCTAGTGTAGCCGCTTGGGAATGTCAACGTGGTAGAGACGTGGTTGGTAGGAACGATAGACACTGTCCATGGTGCTGTGCCCCCAGTCGTGTCCCATTCGATGCTCATCGGTGAGCCTGAGGAGGAGGACGCATGTGCACATCAGCGATACCGCTGCTTGGACACTCGTTTCAAGCCCCATGCCACACACTCACAGCTCTTGGCATCTCCCAATTTCACCTGCAGAGGTGCGGCGGATGTGGCACCTGCTAGAGCACTCATAGCAACCAATGACCCCTTTGCCGCGCGGGCCCCTTTGCCGTGTCGAAGCTGCATGGTGAGCTGCAGTGTGGCACGACGGGTGGGCAAAAAGGTAAGTCTCCTGACAGGAAATGTTGTGTCGCTGGTATGTCGGATTGAAGCACGCCTGTGGACGCCGACTCGTCAGCTCGATCTGATCGACGGCAGAGTTCCTAGAGTGTTATTGTATCGATCCCACTCAGCGAGCGAGCGAGTGGGCCCAGGTCGAGAATGAATGTGAAATGAGCAAAAGAGCGTGGTAGAAGGGGTGTCCTGTTGGGTGGTGTGTGTCGCGCAGAGTCCCACTGGGGAAATGGTCTAAAACCCCTAGCGAGTACAGCTTTCCAGCTCTTCGAGCGGCCCTGTCGTTTTCGTAAAGGCGGATGCAGTCGGAGCGACTTGAAAGATGCAAGTCGGACCGATGAGGTACCAAGCCGTTTGCATGAATGACGCGAGCGTTGACACTCGCGGATGAGAAAGAGCGAGGCAGTCGAAAGCGTTTAGTCAGAGAAAGGAGCGAAGCCGGAACGGAGGGAGTGGTGTAGGAGGGGAAACGAGACTGTCGAATGGGAATCGAAATCAATCAAGAATAGAAATGGACGTTGATCAGGCAGAACAGAGATGAGGGCGATGCGCGAAGTCAGCGTCAATCACCAACCATGCATCAGGTATCACATACGTTCCAGCGGTCACAGACACGCGAGTCACGAGTCAGAGAGAGTGAGCTCGAGACTCGGGACTGGCTTGCGTGATGCGCGCGCGGTACGGCGCGCCTCCTTAATTCCTCTCCGCGGTTGTGTGCGCTCAAGGTTTGGCGCCGAGCGCCAGTCAATTCAAGCTTTGCCGGTACATTCAAGAATCAGATTCACGATTTTGATTGCCCTGGACAGGCTGGTAACAATCACAATTACGATGTGAACAAGGCCTATATAGTATTCTCCATGAATCGTTCCCGCCCGCAGCAGAACGCCCGGACCTGCCAACCAAGTCGCACCAATGCGGGAGCCGTGCACAAGGAGCCGGGAGACACCCTCGCGCTCATTCAGATTCGATCGATTCACGACTCGCGACGCGAGACTGACGACTCCCTACTCCTATTTGGACTTCGAGTACTGTACACATTACGAAGAGCGGAGCTGGCTGTAGAATTGCATGGCGATCGTCAGCGACACCCGCCAGTCAAGGCTAACCGTGCTGGATACTGATCCACGACGGATGCTACCTACCATGCACCACCACTCATGCAGCACTAGACTCGTCCAAACTTCCGCTGCTAGTCGGCGTTACATAGTCAAACAGAGCAGCTGCCGCCGCACGGCTCCTTGGCCTTGGGGGCGCGGGCCCAGCATGATGCTTGCTGCTGATGAAAGGGATGCCATGCTCCCAGCCAGCCCCCTACGCGTGAGCGCGGTGAGGAAGTCTGGAAGGAAATGTTCTCCTCTTCCTTCTACGGCCTGTCAAGCTTTGCATGACCTCCAACATTCTGGCCTCATATCAGTCAAGCGTTCAGAGGAGCATTCATGCTGCGAGCGGAGTCTCAATTACGATCAAGTACGGTACACCAGCTGATGAGACTCTTACGCTGCCTGCTCTACTGACAGGCACGCTCGGATGTAGCTGCGAGCGATATTCACCTGCATGAGAAAGCTGCATGAGCCCTAAACAAAGGGCTGCACAGCAGAGGTCGCAACAGCTGCAGGGACTTGAGGAGCACCTTCCCAAAAGGCTTACAAGTGATGGGGAAATGCTGTTCGCGGTAGCGGTCAATGGTGAGTACAGCAAGCAAGTAACCCTTCCCCCTCCCCAGTCAAGCATGCATGCGACAGGCCGAACGCCTGCAGTAGCCCGTTCTCGGCGCTTATCCTCGCATCCCTCATATTCTCAAGCCCTGGCTGCCTCTCGTGTCTGCCCTGCTCTGGCGCGCGCAAATTGCGTGAATCGACGAAGGGACAGGAAGGAACGCTTAATTGACTGACTGCCAGGCGTGACTTTGAAAGCGCAGTCAATCTCTTGACGTCGCACCGCTGTAGCGTCCTCGAGCCCGCGCCACGAGTCAATGTAGAGTTTGTTGCCTGCTGGCCGCAAATCATTCGCGTATAGACCATCGGATCGAGACGTGCTAAGCCCAGTCAGAGTGCAGGTCGGGAGCGGTAGGTGCGCTCGTGGCCTTGACTTATCGGTCAAGTCGATTGAGTCAACTCTGGAGACGCTGCTTTCCCACATCCCGCATAGGTACAGGCCTGGCCGCGTCAAACGCAAGGGGCTGGACGCCCTACCGATTGACACTTCGGCGTTTCCAGAAGCCCAGAAAAGAGAGTCACGGCGGAGTGTGACGTGCACGCCGCGCAATCAGCTGCCAAGCCGTCAAACGACGCAGCGTGCAAACAGGGCCAAAGTAGCGAGGCACGCTCAATTCGCGAGGAGCAGCCCCGACGCATTCCTTCTCCTCCTCAATAGCCTCCAAGCTGAGTCACGCGGAGGCGGACAGCCAGGCTCTGCTCTGTGCGCTGTATGCGATATGCCATTATTGAACCTCGAGACGCGGAGACTTTGCGCTTCACGAAGCGTCCACTCTAAGTAATAACCATCTCAACACGCTGCAGCCCTTGCCATCAAGCGATTGCAGAGCTCCGCCCACTCGGCGAGTCAGACGAATGTTGGCGACCATCGTCCCAACCTCCGTCATAGTCCGTCCGAACGACCAACTACAAGTGGCTCGTCATCTCGCTGGGTTTGTAGTCTCCCGAGCTGATCTGGTGCACTGCTGTGAAGAGTGGGTAGCCTTGTTGCCTGCCTCGCGCTTCCAAGAACGTGTAGACTTCCCTCGCCGTTTCCACCCCTTGCAACCTCTGGCCATTGAGGAGCTCCTTCTCCAGCACAGGGAATGACTGAAAGGCAGACATTTGGCGGCAGAACGCCTTGTAAATTCTCTGCAACTCGACAGGCGGCCGACATGAAGTATGGCACTCACCTTGCCAGTCTTGACGAATGCTTCCGCGCACTTGCGGTTACGCCCTCCGAAGCCTGATAGAGTGCCACCCACGGAGGGTCAGCGCTGCGTTGCGTATTGGCTCGCGGAGCAACTCACAAGTGGTGATCAAGTCTGCGATGCCCGCACTTGTTTCTGTGAATGTCTCTGCCTTGACGCCCTCAAAGAATTCTTCGCAGAAGGACTTCATCTCCATCAACCCGATTCTCATCACAGCAGCTGTTTTCACGAACAAGTCGTCGTCGTGAGATGTGCGCTCATCCGAACTATGCATGTACCGAACCTGATCGCTCACCCTTCGCATTGTCTCCCCAGCCAAGACCATCTGTGAAGCCTGCAGCGATGGCGACGACGTTCTTGAGTGCTCCGCAAAGACTGACACCAGCGACATCCTCCACCAATCCAACGCGGAAAAAGGGGGTATCAAAGACCTTGAACCACAGCTCCGCTTTCTCATGCTCTCCCGGCCTGTACCCGATGGTGGTTTCGCTGAACTTGTCTTGTGCGACTGGACAGAAGCATAGAAGAGGGCTTCCCGGCCTGAGTTTGGTTGCCCGATCACACTCTGCAGGGCTCTTCCACTCACCTTCATTGGCAATGTTGGCTCCGCTCAGTGCGCTGCATTTGCAACCGAGGAGCTTTTCGATGACATCTGCGAAAATGTTGATGTTGCCATCCTTGACCTCTACACCTTTGATCATGGACAAGGCCTGAGTAGAGGGCTTGATCTTGCCTTTGAGCTCTGAGCAGATGGACGCAATAAACTGCGGAATGGCAAGGTGCGTGCATAGTTGTGAGCAAAAGGCAGGGAGCTTGACACAATTTCCACTCGAGCCTTCCTAGACAAGCCATGTTTGGGAATTTGGACCGCACTGCTACTATGCCGGTCGCCTAAGTCCTCCAGCGCGCTTTTGCAAGCTCCCTCAGCCCGATGAACTGCTGCCACTGCTTGCGAAAGCCAGCAAGAGCCCACGCCTCGTCCTCTCCACTCCGCAATCCCCTCCAGAATCCAAAGTATATTGCTCTAGTCGTGCAGGCCCTCAACTGACCTGATGCGGGGTGACAAAGATGAGCAAGTCGGCGTCCTGTGCAGCAGCAGTCGCGCTGGGCACAGCCACGACGTTTTCGGGAATGGGAATGCCAGGCAAGTATTTGACATTTTCGTGTTTTGCGTTGATGATTTCAGTCAGCTTTTGGCCATTGATCTGCAAAGGTCGCAGCAGGACAGGGGCAGCGAGAGAGAGAGTGATGCTCAGTGTTCGATCCTCTGAACCAGCTAGACGCCGGAAGGAAAGCCAAAGCTGACTGCAAACTCACCGATTCCTCGTGCACGTACATCCGCACCTCGGGGTGGAATGTGTCGGAATGCCTAATCATATTCCTGCCCGCGATTCGGGCGATGGCGCTTCCCCAGTTTCCCGAGCCGATGATGGCCAGTCGCAACTTGTTGCCGCTCATGCTGTCCTCGTTTGCGTTGTGCTAAGATCGCCTTCCTGCTCTGTGCATGTAGTCCACGCCAAAATACAGCTTGTGGAGGTGTGAGAAGCTGGAGAGGGAAGCTTGCTCGGCCAGAGGAATAGAGTAGAGGGGGTCTAGAGGAATCACTTCAGCTTGGTCTAGAGGTTGAGATGAAAGAGGAGTGTAATTGGTGTGGTACAGTGAGGGCTTGTTGGCAATCACGGGTGACACCCAGCAGCAGCAGCACAGAGATCGCTCCGAGGTGTCGCCAATGAGGGCGCGATTTTTGGGACGCCGCATGGGTCGCGTGTTGCGTGTGATTCACGATTCTGATGGCTGCTTGCATATGCCTATGCCTATGCCTGCCGGCTTGTCTGCGCTCACGCAGCAGAGGGATGCATATCACACTCACTCACAAACCCATGCAACTACCTCTCGGGGACACGCGGAAAGCCCCAGCAATCGGAAGTTCACGCGTGCTGTGCGTGATGCGCAATTAAGCCTGCTGAACCTCGAGCACGCGCACGCACACGCACACGCACTCGTGACTATTCGCCCGCTGCGAATCTGCACTCATCCCGGCACCGGTCTTTCCGCCCTCCCATGTACAGGGAGAAAGAGGTCACTCACACTCTTCCACAACAAGCTCACAGGTATGCGTGCGTGCGAGCGTGCATTCACGATTCTCATTCACAACTCAAAAATTGACCGTGGAAAGCGTTTGCGTCGCACCGAAACGACGCCGGACAAATCGACGGAGGTTGCTGTGTGTGTGTGACCTTGCGCGGCGCCGTGCCGCGAGAGCGGATTCACGATCGACGATCCTACTGATGTGATTGTAGCAGATACGCGAAACGCAAGGATGCGTCACTCGCGACAGCTCCCAAGCGTATACTTACGACTGTACATCCTGCTCGTGACTCGCCATGATCTTTGACTTTGACTGTTGTGACTGCTGACCTTCCTCTTCAGCCTCGGCGCCTGCAGGCCGGCTTCTCGAAGCCCTGCATACATCTTCACTCGCTAGCCTCTTCAATCACCTGTTGAAAGCCTGCTTTTGTTCGACCTTGTGCGCGCTCAAGCGCAGCAGACTCGCGCTCGTGACTGACTGTTCCTATCGATGATAGCATGACGCCTAGATCGATGGCGCACGACATCCCAGCGATTGGATGGCAGAGAGACGCGAAAAAAGAGCAGATTCGATCGATTGCGCACCCGCTTTCAACCGCCTCCACCTGCCGATATCTTCGACCGCTGTTCAAGTATGCCGCATGCCTTGCTGCGGTGGCTTGACCTAGCCATACGAGCGGCCCACGGAGGTGCGCTAAGCGATTCACTGGAAGCACTAGACAATCAATCCCTTCAGTTTTTCATGCGCACCAGCCTCGAATCTGCAATTTTGAACAGCATGTCCGTGGCGAAACTCGTGACAAAAGCCACACACATCGCGAGTCGGTGCGAGATCGTGAATGCAAGCTGATGAACCGGACCGGGGCGCACCTGAAAGCCGGTGCATGAATCGATGCACGGACACGCGCAGAGTCAGTCCTCCATGCTTCTTCTCGCTACCAGCATGGTCGTCTCAGTCTCGATTCAAAACGCCAGACATCGAATACAAAGCTATCGCAGCATGTCCGGCCGATGCTCGACAGACTCGGGCGGAGACTCATGTCCTGATCGACCTGAGCAGGGACTCAATCAACTTGTAAATACTCGTTGTCACGTGGGCAACGTTGGATCTTCCTATGGTTCCACCATTCGTGATTCCACGCGATGTCCAACATCAGAATCAGTCAAGAGTATAGACGTAATCCTGACCTACAATGGTACACAGCCTTCGCTGGATTCGCAATTCTATGCACATTTCGACAACAATACGCGTGACTATACGACCCTTCGGATCTCCTTGATGATCTTTGGTCTTCTCCCTCGGTACAACGCAGTCAATGTAGACCTCTCTTCCCAAGCTCCTTTAGCTAGAGGTAAGAGCTCGGTGTCAAAGATGAGCGCCGACTGTTCTCCGCCGTATGCCTGCATCACGGCGAGGATAGAAGCTCATGTGAGTGGGAGAAGGGATCGGGACCCAGTGACGGGCGCGGACCTACCCGAGAGATTCCAGTGTCTATGAGCAAGACCGCGGCGTCGCATCGGACTACAAAGCCATCAAAGTGAGGCGTGCTGGCGGACGAGAAAAGGGCATCGATTCAGCCTCGAAGATGCATCAGCGTGAATGCGGACTACTCACTGTCCCATGACAAGATGCCTGACACCCAAAGATTCCTTGGCGGCGTGGGCCAAGTGACACACCTCCTCCTCCGTCTCGTAAGCATATCCTCGATACCAAAGCGGGCCCATCTCGTCATACAGCGACATCTCTTCCCTGCTAGTATCGGGTGGCAAGTGCCCTCTGGGACTTTTCCAGTCCAGCGCTCTGAAGAGCAGAGATCTTCCTACTTCGTTGATGTGATCCAGACCTTTGGCAGCCCACTCAGGGTGGATGCCTCCGTGCACAAAGCTAGCATGCGGCACCGCGTAATGAGATGGCACACCTGGTGGGACCTTGTGGGGTGAGAGAAGAGGCACAGTCTGGCTGATCGTATAGTTGGACATCCATGCTTTTCCGATCCAGCCTGAGCTTGACATGACGTTCCTCCGCGCTTGAGGACCGCCAAACGATTTGACGTCTCCGGGCGTCACATAGCGCCAGTCGTGAAGCGCATTCATCTGAGCAGGGGACAGAAGCGCAGCGATCTCAGCGCACAGTCTTTGTACTGCTAATTGTCTTCGTTCTCACCATCTCGTGATTTCCGAGCTGGGAGGAACGCGCACACCACACGCCCGTGTAAGAACTTCAATTCGTGGACCTCATAGGCTTGCATCTCGACCCTACTCACGCAGTTTCGCACCTCTCCGCCATGTTCTAGTGCCTGCTGTCTGAGCCTATCAAACATCTTGTATAGCTCGATCGTATCGTCTCCTCTATCCACAATGTCTCCCGTACTAGCCAGCACAGCATCACCACCTATCCAGTTGGCGCTCGCATCGATGATGCCGGCCATGCGAAGCACATTGTGCGCGTGTTGCAGGTCCCCATGTAGGTCGGCAACTGCCACCACGCGTCGAGATATGGTTGCAGAGGAAGGCGTAAAAGAGACGGCAGACTCGAGCACTTTGTGTGAGCTTGGAACAGTGGCTCGATAGCCTAGGCTGGATGTGTGCACCGGAATGCTGCACTATGAGCTCGCATACACACACATGCGAGCGAGCCATCTGAGCAGCACTTCCACGCACTCACTACACCAGCAAGGCTCCGAAGATGAGGGCAAGTCGAAAGAAAGGACTACCTGTTCTCGCAGCCTGGCCCCTGGATGCTCCGACAGCGCCAACGCCAGGAGATCGGGGCATCGTGGCCGTAGGCGGCATCTTGAGCTGTGTGCAGATTTGCTCCTGTGTGCTAGCTGAGCTCCACTTGGCCGAAGAGCCTAATGGTGGGTGGACCAGTCTAGCGACGCTTGCTGAGGATGGAGGTGAGTAGGATCGGAGTTGGTCCCAGCAGCCTGCGATGTGCGTGCAGCACGGGCAGAGATATGAGCATCGACAGCTGCGAAATGAGACGCCAACAAAGTGGAGAATAAGCGCTGCGCCAATCAATTCGGCGTTGGCTGTGCTGCCGCACGAGAATCGCACGCACGCACGTTCTATCATGAACTTTCTGCGAAAAGTCCAAGTTGTTTGTGCCTGCGGCCGCAACCCTCGGTGCACACGACACTCACAAATCACAGCTTCGCTTCAATCAGCTTAGCTTCCTCACTGCCAACCCTCTCCCCGTCCGCCTCGATCTCCTTGATCGGACCGCATCTGGCCTATAGCCATCGTTTCGCAGCCCGCTCTGCTCGCGCCCTCCTCCAGCGCAGTCTCGAGCGCAGACCAAATCACTCCAGGCCGAGCAATTCCGCCCACACTCAGATCAAGATCCAGACCCGTCAACCCCTTGGCTCCGACACAACACCACGTTGGCAAGCTCAAAGATGGTTCGCGGAGCAGCAAAGGCGCAGGCGCAAGCCAAGAATCAGGCAAAGGCGAACTCTAGCAAGGAGGCCAAATCTCAGTTGGACAGTCGAGGTGCAGCTTTGAAATTCGCATGCAAAGTCTGCAAGGCTCCTGCGCCTGTGAGTTCGGAGGGACGAGGATTTGGGGCGATGAGGGAGGGCATGAGCGAGCAAGGGCCAGGCGATGGTTGGTGCGGATGTAATAAAGGGCATGTTGGGCACTACTGCTCCATTCTGCCGAGAGGTGGCTCGAGAGTGCCAGTCACCCTTAGCATTCAGACACGAGGTGGGAATACCAGGCACCCATCGTACCCGCGACTGGTTGTGCGCTACTCCGAGGCGGATTTTGCCATCTGCCTTGTCAGATCGCGAAGAGGCTGACACTTCGCTTCTACCACCTCGCATACACGCCAGTCATACAAGACGCTCTTGATACACTACGACTCAAAACATCCCAAGGAGACTTGTCCTTCAGAAGCCAGCTTCGCAGCATAGGAACGGATCGGCGTGTGGCACATGCAAAGGTAGATGGCGCTCATAGAGGAGCGTTTCGGCGGCGCAGTGCATTCTGATATGAATGCGGGAAAGCTGGTCGCTTTGGCATGCCGGCTGAGCTGACAGCTGCAACACTCGGCGCCTCATTCCCCTGCACTTGCCAATCGCACGCCCACCATGGAGCAGAGTTCAGCCTCTCGTGACGCAATGCTTTCCCATGCCTGGTCCCACGTGAAACCGCGCAGTGCTTTCGACCTCGTCCTAGTCTACCCCTCCATTCTCGATCGCTCAGCAATAGATGTCTTCAGTCACGCGACCTCACCAACTTCTCAATGCCGAATATCCCTTGGAAGCACGCCCCCACAGCGTTGAAGGTGCTGCCTTTGATTGTCTGGCGCTCATCCCATTGCACCTGTTGCGGTATCTGACTCATATACTCATTCATTCCTCTTTAACTCCTACCCTCGCTTTCTCGGCCAAGCTTTCCCTTCTCCTAAAGTAGGTAGCGTTGGCAAGTCCTGGGCCTAGAAGCGTTAGTCCTGCCAGGCCAAAGATGTCCTCGACGATAAAACGCCTGTGCATCACCCTCTCGCCCGTCACCGCGACCCTCGCTTCGTCGGCGTACGAGTCGACCAAGATTTGAGTGTACTGCGCTATGAGTACTCCGACAGTGTCCCAAAAGAGCAAATGGGCACTGAGGGAGATTCGTGAACATGTGCGTCAGCCCGCTGCTCGGCAAGGTGCGCCTGTGAGCTGGTCTTGCTGCTCACCCGTCCTGCTCGAAGACTCCCGTCTTCCACGCCTTCTTGAGTCCTGGGTAGGCGTACCACAGACCCACCCACCAAGCCAGGGCCAGCCCGAAACCCAAATCCCTGTACAAATCCGCAGCTTTGAGTCTTGGCAGGTCTTTCTGAACGCTAGGTCTACCAGCGAGAGCAAGAGGCAAGTAGGCCAAAGGAAAGAGCTGGAAAGCAATGTCGAGGTAGACGAAGAAAGATGAGGTTGGATCGACGAAGCATTGAGCTAGACTCAGGATGCCTGCCAAGATGGAGCAGATGAAGACGAGGTTGACGTGCGCGGGAGATGGTGAGGGTGCAGGATGGATGGCTGGCGGATTGGTAGAGGACTGTAGAATGAGAGGTGTTCGGTAAGCTTTGCGGCACAAAGGTTCGCAAGCGTTGAAGAGGAATCAGGATTCACCTCGGACCAGCGGATGTATGCGTAGATGGGGACCCACAAGGCGGGCAAGGCTGCTCCGACGCATACGAGTTGCGAAATCAGTGCGACCGCGATGAAGACCAGCGGGTGATGCAGCTTGCTTCTTCCAGCTTTGAGCGACTCGACCGACATGAAGCTCAGCAGAGGAGCGCTTGCTGACAGGATGATGAGCAGCAGCTGCGAGAAGTCCCGTGCGTACGAGGTTTTGAGGCGGTCTAAGCCTGCTGCTCATTGTTGTATTGCAACTGTAGCACATTGGACACTCACCCCAAATGCTGTAGGATCAGATACGATGCTCTGAAAGAAGACGATCAAGAAGACCAGCAAGCGGTTGGTCAAGTTGGGAGCGAGTTTCCACGTCGCATTGAAGTCGTCTGGCAGCAGCCGAATCACTTCTTCATTCGTGAGCTTAGATATGCTTGGGACCAGAGAGCCGGGCCCCTTTCTGACAGCTTGGATGTGAATGGCTATGCCGGAGAAGAAGGCGATGAGGGAGATGAGGATGAGCGAGGAGGTGGGACGAGTGACCTCGGACGGCAGCGCTGTCAGCTTTGCCATGTTTGCGGACTTTGTGTGAGTCGATCGAGGTGTGGATATGACGCATCAGTGACGAGTGCGAGTCTATGCAGGACTGAGCATTGAACAGGTGAAGGCGGAAGAGATGACATCTTGCTACGACGTTCGAATCACCCTTACCGCTCACACTCTTCTTGACAGTTGGGCGCTCGAGATTCACGATTCTCGCTCGCGTCGGTCGGCATTTCGCATTGTTGTGATTCGTGAATTTTTAATTGCCCTCACGATTCGCGTTGCTCAAACACCGCGTCCGTGCGCGGTGCAACACCCAACAACGCACCCATGCAACGAGTTACGCGCTCGGCCGTGATGAATATTGCGGATCAAGTTCACGACGGCAAATTCCAGTCGCGGCGCGCTTCGTGGTGGGACGGACGAGTTGGACGAGTGGATCGATCGCGTGCACGTCATGACTGACAGTTTGAGATCGCGATTGGGCAATTCACAGTTCGTTGTGAGTGAGTGGTGAGTTAGTGAGTGTCAATCTTGGACCGAATGTGAGCGTCGCGGCAGTCGTGAATGTATCGGGTATCGCAGATCAAGTCACAATCGTGAATGCTGAAAAGTCGCGAGTCGTGCTTTGCGAGTCAAGCAGTCACGAGTGAATGTGAATCACGAGTGAATGTGAATCACGAATGAATATGAATACCGCATGCATTCACGTGATTCGTCCCTCAAAGCAAAGGCAGAACTTAGGGAAGACTATTCAACATTCACATTCGTGATTGTATATATACCGTAATAGGCGATGCTGTTCGTTGTGTCTCATTTTTGATTGTGCGCAAGTTCGCAAGGCTGTGCTTGTGCATGCGAACGCTGCAAGCTCGGCGGTAGCGGCAGCATGATATTTGACTCGATCGTCAGCCATACTCGTGACTCGTGACTCCCTCTTTGGCCAAGAAGCAGCAGCTCGCGGTGGGCCGATTCCCACTTGCCCGTGCACTCATCACAAGCACTCTGACCTGTGACTCGAACATCCAACGGAACATCACTCGCTCCCACGGAATCCGCCAGCTGGCTCAGGAGTACCTGCACGCGCTTGCTCTGTTCACGCTCATCAATATCATCCTCCATCTGCACTCACGATATTGTTCGCGGTCGCTCCCCACCTCTCTCGCCTTGCGTGATCCCGTCAGCATGTCGGTCCCACCGCCCAGCGCAGCCGGACAAGAAGGCGGCAAACACGTGGTCATCCTAGGCGCAGGAGTCATAGGTCTGTCCATTGGCATCTCATTGCTGGATGCGCCCTCTCAATCCTCTGTGCCTCTGGCAGTCACAATCGTAGCCAGAGACGTGCCCAGCTCGGCAGAAACGAAGCAGCCGGCCAGCTATGCGAGTGCTTGGGCTGGAGCACACCACGTATCGGATGCAAAGACTGCAAAGTCGAGATGGCGCGATCGAAAGACTTTCGAAGTGATGCAGGCCCTCATCAGCAATACTTGCGGAGTCCGCAAGAGCATTGATGATGTGGTCCACGAAGGAAGCGCTCCACCCCTCGGCTTGTTCTACACTGACCAGATTGAGTACTGGGACGCGCAGCAGGATGCCAGGGAGGATGCAGAGGAGAGCAAAGTGCTCGATTGGTACCCCGACGTGAGTGTCAAGCTTCCTGGATAGCGCCGTCTGTATGCTCACTACATCGGCTGGGCTCGATTCGGTAGTACGAGCCTTTGCCCAGGTCCGACTTGCCTGCAGGTGTCGTCTCGGGCTGCAGCATGACAACGCTCAGCATACACGTAGCGCACTATCTTCCCTGGCTGTTCGAGCGCTTTCAAGCTCTTGGTGGTCGTATCATACAATCTCAAGTCAAATCTCTGCAAGATGCTCTTTCAGCGGCTTCCTCAACCGCTGGCCCTCAAGCCAACGCGCTGGTCATCTCTCCCGGACTGGGAGCTCGCAGCATCGAAGGTCTCCAAGACCCCACATATGTACTTCGGGGCCAGACGCTGCTCGTCGAAGCTCCCTGGCTGGAGCACCGCATCGGCGCTCCCGGTAGCAGGCGCCGGTGTAGATGGCAAGGCACTTCGGTGGTCAGGTCTCAGGGATTCAGAGATACCTATGTGATTCCAAGAGGAGAAGGCAAGTTCATAGTGGGCGGGACGAGGCTCAAAGATGATGAGTGAGTAGCAGCGTTCTTCAAATGCATAGCAACGCATGTCCACTGATCGGCACCTTTTTCGCAGAGACTCTGAGGGGAGGTCATCGACGACAACAGAAATTCTCGATAGGGTTCTGACCATTTGTCCCCACTTGGTTAGCCCCGACGCCACTCTGGAAGAACGTAAAAGCGCCACCAGAGGCGTGCGAGTCGCGGCTGTCAATGTGGGGTTTCGACCAGCAAGAGACGGTGGTCCAAGGGTCGAGCGGGGAGGAAGCGCCTCATACCCCTCTATATCTGGTCGTGAAGGAGAGGTGCCTGTAGTGCACTGCTACGGGTGAGTGCTGCGTCGCCTCACCTAGCACGCGTCCGAAGCGATGCGAGATCAGGCACCCACTTCAAAACTTCATTTGGCTAATTACTTTCCCTTCCTTGACTCAGATTTGGAGGCATTGGCTATCAAGCATCGTGGGGTGCGGCTTTCGAAGCGAGACAAGTGAGTGATTGCTGCGCATGCCTTTCTTCTGGTCTCGCCACTCAAGCGAATAAATCATTCTCACCGCCTCCGACGCAGCTCGTGTATGAAGCGCTCGGCCTGCCTGCTCTGAGACAAGAGTCCACATTACGATCGTTGTCGTTGGTATAGGTACATCACCCGCAACACATCGCACGATTGAACTCCAGCTTCGCGAGCTGATGCATGCATTGCCCTAAAAGGCCATGATCACTCAGAGTCAAGTATGATAGCCGATCACGAAAGAGCAGCCTGAGCTTTTTTGACGTCGGCATCGGCGGCGAGAGCAGCGTGCCACTTGCCAACAGCAGGGTAAGGGGCAAGGTCGATCTTTCCAAACCCGGCAATGTTGACCCAAGGGTAAAAGGCGATGTCGGCGACTGTTGGCCTCTCGAGAGCGACAAAGGAGCTTCCGCGCTTAGACTGAGCTTCCAATTGATCGTTGAGCAGAGTGTACAATCGTGCCACTTCGCCTTCGTAACGAGTAAAGACCGACTTTTGAGGCTTTTCACCATACGTTGCCTCCCAGTCTGATGGGCAGAGAAAGGAGAAGAGCGGATGAGATCGGGATCGCTTCAGTACGGCGTGCATGTGAGCCGTGACTCACAGTGGTAGGCATAGTTGACCTGAAGTGGAGTGGTAGCGAGCGACGTTTGTCAGATACGAGCGACCTCGGACGTGCGAGTGTTGACAAACTCACCTGTCCTTGCTGAGGACCAAAAGTGCTGAGCTGGAGCGCGAACCACTGGTTGACCACAGCCCTCTCCTCTGGCGTCTTTCCGCCAAACGATCCATCTTGACCGTACTTGTCGATCAGATACAGCAAGATCGCTCCGCTTTCCCAAATGGTAAAGTCGCTGTTCTGATGGTCCACCAATGCGGGCACTCTTCCGTTGGGGTTCACCTTCAAGAATTTCTCACCCTTGACCCCTTCATTCTGGCCGTCGCCGGGACCAAAGACGAGTGGAACTACGTCGTAGCTGAGACCCAACTTTTCGAGCAGGATGGCCACCTTGAGAGGGTTGGGTCCGGGTCCCTTGTGAGAGTAGAGGGTGAATTGAGCCATTCTGTCTGTGAGCTGAGGAAGAGTAGATGGTTGGTGAGTCGTCGCGATGTCGGTGACGGGGGCAATGAGGTGGAAGTGGACCAGACCTGGTTATATACATTACGTGGCACGAGCAAGGCGAAATGCACCGCACCTTCTCAGCGGGTGTTGGCTCTTAACGCCGAGGTGAGCCCCACCCTGCAAGCTCGCAGCTTGCATGCGCTCCTACAGTCACACAACAGAGTTACGAGTGGAGTGTGGAGGTGGTATATGTACACAGTATGACGACTCCCTACGAGCCTCGCGTCAGAAGCTGGCGCGAACGAGGCACTGTAGCACGCGATCAGACCGCGCCGGGACCCAATCGTATGATTATGATGCGAGGTGGATGTGCAAAATTCTTGAATGATCACGATCGATGTGGGTCCTCCGCGCACCACTTGATGAGTGAATGAAATGTCCGATGCGTGCGTGCACGCACCACTCGAGCGTTCAACGTCCGATGCGCGCGTGCACAGGCGCACTTCTCTGCTGCTGAGCGCAGGCGTGAGTTGCGAGAGTCAAAGGTGGGGTCACAGTTTGAGCGCGGTCGCCGAGTCATGGGAGAGGGTAATCACGGCACGTGACGCAGTTGCTTCCGCCCGACCCAGACGTCACGTGTGAATTACTCAATCGTTTTCAAATTCTTGGACTGAATATGTGTCACAAATTTCAATGATATTATCAGCGTCCCGTCGTTGGAGGATTATTGACGATTCGTGATTGGCGATGAATCGAAATGAAAATGGTGTAGGCACAACATGCATATCAATCTGACTCGTCGCGAATCAAGAATCTGGAATCACGAATCATGGCACGTCGTCTATCGGCTCTTTCACATTTTCGACCACACATCAGGTCTCTTGTTCTTGCATCGAAGTCTATCAATCTTTATGGCCCCTGCGTACATCATGGCTGCAACTCCACGCTCTGCCATCCTTCGCTTCGGCGGTCGATCGGCATTCATCCAGCCGGCGCCTATCTGCGCCAAAGTACCAGCGCTCAGGACCTCATCTCAACTCTCTTCAACTCGCGCCATCAAGAGCTCTCCAGCGCCTGAACGGATCTCGAGGCGCTTCAGCACCTCTTCACGAACATTGGCGGACGAGGCTGCCGCAGAGCCGGAGAAGCAGATGGACGATGGGGAGAAGCACATTTATGATCTGCTCACTAATCGCTTCAAACCAGAAGCCATCAGGGTGCAGGATGTGAGCGGTGAGTTTCTTCGAGCAGGAGACGTGTGATCATGCCAAGTGAAATGCAGAACCGGGGAGATTGGCTAAATTGTACGACGTTTCGCTGGCCCAGGTGGCTGCGGCAGCTTCTACGCAATCACCATCGCATCGAGGGAATTTGCGGGCAAGCCCACGGTGCAGGCTCATCGATTGGTCAACGAGACGCTCAAGGAAGTGATCAGTGGCATACATGGACTGCAGGTGCGTGAACATGCCGGCTCCTGCCTTGCTGTGCCCGCGCTTCAGAAGCTTACCTTCGCCTCTCATCGACCGCTCTGGCCTCGCAGCTCAAGACAGTGCCGATCAAAGACTAAACATGAAATGCATATTGTACACTCCAGCGTTGCCAGCGTGACGCGGCAGCTCAAAGAAGGATCTACAAACTGTCAAAGAAGCTCAAGTCCGCCTGGCTCAGTCCGGGAGCTTTGGAATCCTGACTGGCGTCCCGGCCTTGCTGCGTACTGGCAAAACCCGCAGCAACATTCTGAGCACGGGGCGCGGCTGAAGGAGGAGCTGCTGTGAAGCCAGAAAGGTCGAGCTGGCTCGTCGCTGGCCGTTGCGCCGATCTCGAGGAGGGCGGAGGGGGCGGAGGCAACAGGCTGCCAACTCTCCCACCCGCTGTAGCGTAGCCGCTCGTTGCTGGTGGTGGTGGCGCCAAGATAGGGGGTGTCGAGGTGGAAGACCTGGCGATCGTGGATTGAGGAGTACCTGACCGCAGAGGCGGGGTAGCAGTGGCCAATCGAGAGGACGCTGCAGACGCTTCTAGGCTGCTTCTCGCTGAAGCAGGTGCGAATGCGAGGGGTTGGGCTAGCTTAGGAGGCAACGCCGGGGCAGGTGGAGAAGCTGGAGTGTCTTTCCAGAGGTGAGGCTGCGGCGAACTCGTCGTTGCCCAGTCCCAGCTATCATCATCCTTTGCGCTAGGATCGTCCGAGTATCTGCCGACCTTGCGCTGCTGCGCGTCGACGTTCGTCTCCGGCTCGTAGTCCTCCTCATCAGAATCAAGGTATCTCCTGTCATTGACAGATTTGCGACTGCCGGCCAAGCCGGTGATGCGTTGAGCATATCTACCTCGTCCACGCCCGCTTCCAATCGTTGCCTTTGTTGCCGACCGATCCCGATCGCTCAGGAGAGACCCACTCAAGTCTGCGCTGCCAGGCGTATTTGGGGTCTTGTCTTCTGGACGAGAATTGCCGGAGGGCGCCGTCACTTCCCAAGAAGTATCAAAATCGCCAAGCAGATCATTGGAGTCGCCCGTGCGAGAGGTGGAATTGCTGCCTGCGCTGCTCTTGACTTGGCGTTGCTTGCCAGCCGATTGAGTCGCAGCCATTCCAGGTGCGCCACGAGCGGTGCTTCCAACCAGACTGTTGCTCCGTCGGGGTGGCTGATAATCATCCTCTTCTCCGCCGCTGTCATCGATGCTATATCTCACCCCGGACTGCTGCCAGCGCGGTGCTGCGGCGGGTGGTCCGGCGAGTCTTGGTGGCGGTGCTAGCTGAGGACTCGCTCGCGAGTGTGGACTTGACTTCAGCGGCGCGTTACCACCGCGAGCAGCCGTTTCAATGCGAAACGTGCTACCGCTGGTCAAGGGCTGCGCATTCAAAGGCCGACGTGCAGCGCTTGCCGCAGCCCGCGAAGCCATGGCATCTCCAAGCCAGGACTCGAGATCATCCGCTCCGTCTGCAGTCTTGACGCCAGTGACGGAAGACTGCGGTGCTGGAGGTAAGCTCTCGAGCCATTCGAGATCGTCTGCTGTCATGCCTTCGGGCGGCGGCTTGCCCTCTTTGCGGCCCCACCTCAGCCATCTCGCAATACCAGCTGTAGCAGTCGTCGCAGGTGCGGGTTGCGTGCCCGGAGTATCCTTCGAGTCTCCAAATATGTCGACTGTGGCAGTAGGAGGAACTGACCTATCTTCGTAAGGCTTGTCGACGTGCTGCGCCTCTTCGTCTTCCTCTGCCGCACTTTCGACTTTGGGCGTCGCCCCGAGAGCGCCGGTTGTGCCGCTGAATAGTCCGGAGAATCGAGCAGCGATTCCCGCCTCGCTCTTCTTCGAGACGTGCGCCCAACCCGGTCCCTGGGACTGCTGGGCAACTTTGGCTGGCTCAGCTGGTTTAGCACTGTTACTTGGTGCAGTCACATCGGCAGTAGAGGAAGAAGCCTGCTTCGATGCGGGGATTGTCACACTGGGTTCTGCTGCCTGGATCGATGACGTGTTGGAATTATTGGGACGTCGCCAGGAGGAAAAGGCGGCAGCCATTCGCGAGCTGATGGGCTGAGCGGCGGAGGAAGTAGCTTCTTGACGCACACTTTCCTGATCATTCACATCATTGCTGGTCTGTTCGGCGGCAGCAGGATGGCTCTGTTCGTTTTTGGGCGAAGGCGCAGGAGAAGGATTCGGACTAGCCTCACTGCGCAGGGGAGAAGCATTGCATGCCCGGCATGAGCAAACGCCAGAAACACAGGCCTGCATCGAGCGAGTAATCGAAGCGATGCTCACCTGTTCGCGTTGGCGTGCCATGATGTCGCTGGCGCCTTGACACGATCAACACGAATGGATCAGCTCAACTCTGCCCTTGACGCTACGCGCTGAGCGAGGGGCTCCGTGATGCTTACCTGAGAGGTGTCTGCTCCCCAAGGATCTGCGCTCTCACCTCCCCAGCCGCCGGTGTCCGGGATGGAAGCACCTGCTTCCCAAGACGCTGCAACACTTCCGCCAGTACCATCCGCGCCCAATGCAGATCCCGAGCGAGCAGGAGAAGCTGGGCGTGAAGTCTGCGGCAGAGTAGCATCTGATGCAGTGAGGCCGCTGGAGACGGATCTTGGCTCAGGTGGCGCTCCACCCCACGCCGATGCGCCTTCATCCACCCATGTCTCACCAGATGACGCATTGCTGTTGACAACTGGACTCGATGCAGGCTTGTGTGCTGCGGGAGAGCTCTCGTGGGTCGAAGTGCTCATCCCTTCTGGTTCAGAGGTCGATGGTTTACGCGCATCTGCTGCAATCGTGGAGCTCGTAGCCCATGGATCGTGGTCCACGTTGTCAAGCTTGAGCTTGATCGGAGACGAGGATGTTGCAGCGGTAGTTGAGGCTGGCTCGGCCTGCCCAGAGGCTGAAGGGACATCTGCAGCGCTGCTCTCGGCTGAGACTTCTTCCGCCCAAGGACTCGGCGATGCCCACGGATCCATGGTGCCCTGGCGGCGGACAAACGTGCCAAGCAGCTGTCTCGACAAGCTGGGAAGCGAGAGCGAGATTGCAGTCTGTCACAGCTTCGCTCCAAATATCCTTGATCTGTGATCCACAAGAGTTGACAGGAACGGAGTCGGTCGAAGCGCGCGAAGTGCCTTTGGTGGCGGATGTAATCCGCCTTTGCCCTGAGAGTTGCGAAGCTGGAATGTGTCAAGATGTCGATTTTGTGGAAGGACCAGCCAAATGACAAGTCAAGCTCGAGCCGAGTCTTGAGTGTTGGTCCAGACTGAGCTTTGGATGCTGTCCGCGTGCCTGTGCAGCAGAGAGCCAAACGGTGTGGATCAAAGCGCACAGATGATGTTGCCGATGCCGGTAATCACGTGACGCGTCGCAGAAATGCATCGAACACTCACGTGAATCAAGAATCGTGAATCAGCAGAAGAATCATCTGATGAGCATGCAGCAGCTGCCCCACCGCCCCAGCAGCTTGATGGGTAGTCATGAGTCACGAGTAGACTCGACTCACAGCTGTGAATGCGGCGGCGACGACCGTCATTTAGAGACACCAGTCAACCTGAGGACGATCAGCAGTTCGAGTCGAGTGCAGAGCGATGCTTGTCGCCATCTATGTGGACCGCGGAGGTTCGGCCAGCGCGTGCATACAGCCTGCTGGAAAGCCTGATTTCGCTCGCTCGTTTGCCTTTACTCGCATAGACACATGGCCCACAGACTCTGCTTGAGCAGCGAGCAGCTTACACCTTACCACTCTACGGTGAGTCAGGAACGGTGAATTTGAAACAAGTAAGCAGTGCTCAATCACGATTTGCGACCCCAATGAGCAGAGGTCGTGGCGTGCAACACGCTTGTTCGAGAAGGATCATAGCGTTGCCAATCAGCTCTGTACCACTACTCACGACTAGCGCGGAATCGTAAGCGCGCGCTTCCACCCCAAATGCACGATTCCGGCGAAACCAACGACAGCGGTAGAGCGCGCAATCAGCAGCAGTGCTCAGACTACTCTGACTGTCCATCGATTCTCCTTTTGTCCGGACCTGTACTACTGTAGCATGCAGCGTCAGCAGCAAGAGCAGCCGCTAAAGAAGGCTCAAGCAGGAGAGAGGCTCGCCGGCGGCTGCGTGAGCAGCAACGACCGACCCGCCGTCTCCATTGCTCGCCGTCTCTTCCTGCCGGACGACGGTCCGTCGACTGAATGCTCCTTGTATGGCGCAGGGGCATTTGTTCCATCCAAATGGCCGATGCTGCACCCCACTCCGATCATGCGACCTTCATTTCTTTAAGCAACTTCGGCGATTCTTGCGTGCTCGATGTGAAACACCAAGCGGCTGCGAGCACGAACAGCGTCAGATGGATGGAGCTGATCAGACGCAATGTCAGACGCACTGTCAGCACGACGACTAGTCAGACCCAAGCAGACGCAAGGGTTTCGTCTCCGAGTCCACTCGCTCACTCGTCGCGATGCTGCCAGACAGACATCGCGCCGCGGTACCTACAAGCTGGGGCATACAGCATCAGAACCCACTCTGCTCGAAAAAGGGCCCTCGGAGCAAAGTGTCCACCGCATGACTGTCCTCGCGGTTATAAGGCCAGGTTGACGTTCAGCGTGAACACCGGGCTTGCCTGCTCCCCGTCATCTACAACACTTCATATCGATCCACTCGACATCGGCTCAGTATGGCGCACGCATCGATCGATCCGCGCGCCCTTGGTGGCGGCCTGGCTCCAGTGGCGGAAGATGTCACTGTCGCATCCTCGCCGAGTGGCCAGAAACTCACTCGAGAAAGCGAAAAAGTCACCGGCGCAGCAGTACAACGCGAGACCAACGATGCCGAAGCGGTGGAGGCTCACATCCTTCGTCGCACTGCCGAGCAAAAAGCGCAACAGCGCGCTGCGGATGAGAAACGTCTGGTGCGCAAGATCGATATTCGCTTGATTCCTATCGCCATCATCCTGTACCTATGTGAGTCAACACTGAAATGCATGCACTCACCTTGCGAGGTCGAAACAGATGCTCACGTTCGCGGGCCACCAGGCAACTACTTGGACCGGAACACCATCAGCGCAGCACGACTGAGCTTCATGCAAAGGGACCTGGACCTGGACGATTCTCAATGGGCGACGAGCATTGGCATTCTGTTCGTCTCCTACATCCCTCTGCAGCTAGTCAGCAACTTGCTCCTGGCCTGGTTCGGACGCCCAAGATTGTTCATCCTATGCGCAGTCATTTTGTGGGGCACAATCTCCGCTCTCACCTCCTTGGCACACAACTTTGCTTCTCTGATCCTCATTCGCCTCTCGTTGGGAGTGGCAGAGACTGTCCTCTTTCCCGGAATGCTCTTTGTGCTGAGCAAGTGGTACACTAGAAAAGAACTCAGCTTGCGTAGTGCGTAGTGTACTTGTCCAGCGGAAATGCGGTATGACCCACCCCCCCTGACGCTGTCTCATGGTCCATCTACAGTGGCCCTGCTGTTCTCCGGTTCCCTCATCTCAAACGCCATCTCCGGTCTTATCAGTGCAGGCATCCTAGGTGGCCTCGAGGGAGCTGCCGGCATTCGGTGAGCAAGCCTATTTGTGCTTCCGCTATGGCCACGTCAGACAATTTACTAACTTCACGCTTACGGTCCATCACAGCGCCTGGCGTTGGTTGTTCATCATCCTTGGAGCCTGCACGGTCGTGATAGGCTTCCTTTGCATGCTTGTCATGCCTGATTTTCCCGAGAACACTTCCTTCCTCACCGAAGAAGAAAGGACCTTGGCCGTCGGTCGCATCGCAGAGGATGGAGGAGAACGAGATGATGGAGACGATCAGGATGGAGAAAATACGCCGATGAATGGTTTCAAATTGGCTGTCAAGGATCCCGCAACTTGGGTCTTGACGCTCATGCAGACGACCATCACTCTTGGTACAACGTGAGTGCATTGCTTTCTGTCAAGTGAAGTCGCATGAGGATCGATGTTGACGCCTCTATCGTCTCATTCCTGCAGCTTCAACCAATACTTTCCCACCGTCGTCAGCACCCTCGGTTTCGAAAAGACGACCACGCTGCTCATAACATGTCCTATTTGGGCCTTCGGTGTCATTGTCTTGCTCCTCAACGCATTGCACGCGGATCGCACCGGAGAGCGCACATGGCACATTATCACTCCTCTCCTCTTTGGTATCGTGGGATTCATCATCGCCTCCGCAACTACTGCTCTAGGAAGCAGATTCCTGAGTCTGTTCCTCATGGTGCAGTCCTAGTGAGTACTCGTGATGGTCTTCATTGTCTGACCCCGTCATCGACCCTGACAACTACCACTCTGCGACAGTGCTGCTTTCCCGATCATTTTGAGCTGGATCGCCCATACCCTTTCTCGGCCGACGTACAAGCGAACAGTGGGTATCGCAATTTGCAATGCTCTAAGTCAAATCTCCAACATAGTCGGAGCGTACATGTGGGGAGAAAAGTACGCCCCGCGTTACTGGCCCGGTAACTTGGCCTGCTCGCTCTGCTTCTTGATCTGCATAGGTTCAGCTCTTTCTCTAAGAGTCATGCTTCTCAGGCGACAAAAACAAATAGATACAGAGCTGGACGAGGCCGAAGGCATCGTCTACGATCATGCTGGGCCTACGACCGACCTCACCATCGCTCCAGATGGTGAGACCGCAGGTGCGGCCACGCAAGACGCCAGCAATGAGGCTGAGAGCAACACCTTCATGAAGGCTCTACACACCCTCAAGAGCCGTCAAGACACCATGTCGGACTTTTCCGGTCCATCGCGCACCGTGATGCGTCGGAGGCCCCAAAGGTACTTGGTGTAGGCGCTCGACACATTGCGCTCTCAACCTACTGCGCGCACTATCTCCTCCCCCCGCTCCTCGTGAAACTGCGCAAGCTCGACGTCGGTTCCACCTCATCAATTTTAGCGGAAGGAATGTCATTGTAATTGTGTTTCTTGCTTCTCTGAAATAATGATTGTGACGCGCAACGCTGCATTGAGGAGTAGTCGAACATCACCAGCGGTGCGAGGAAGAAGGAGGAGGAGGAGGGGGTATCCACGGGAAAGAAACCAACAGGATCGCTAGACTGTACAATGAGCGAGAGCACATGAGCTGTGCAAAAGAGTGTGAACAAACCAGGGCTTCCTCTGAAGCGCCAAGGCACGCCACCTCACGTGGACTTGTTCAGCAAAAGCTGATTGAAAGACAGTTCATCCGTCCTTGCCCGGCGGACTGTATGTTGCAAAGGGGTACTGTGCCAGCTCGTGTTGAAGCCTGAGCGACTCAAAGTCAGTATTGGCGCCCATGTTGACGATTTTGGGCTGAGCGGGCGCGCTCAGAGAGGCGCCGTCTTTCGACTTGGCGCTGCTTTGACTCTTGAGACTTGTCTTTGATGAGGCGGAGCGTAGTTCAGGCTTGCCTGCATACACCTTCTTTGCAGCAAGCATGGGCGAGCGGTCCATAATGACCGCAGCTTCAAGACTATCTTCATCCTCATCTTCGTCCTGCTCTTCTTCCTCTTCTACCTCGTCTACATTTCTGACTCCGTTTCGAGCAGATGCCGTGCGGGAGGCAGACCGAGGGTTGGCTACCTCGAGCTCATCTCTAGAGCCCACGTCAGCCGCCTGAGCGCGCGCAATGTTACCAGCAAAGTCTTCAGGAAGTGCAGGCTGTTCGCCGACCTCTTCCTCCCCTGCGGAGTTGGAGTGCACGAATGGGATGCCGTCAAAGACGCTCAAGCCACCAATCGAGCTGGCCGTGCTCTGACGCAAAGCGGTGGTAGCCGATGATGCTGGGCGTGAGGCAGCTGAAGCTGCAACCGCACGCTTCGCCAGCAGTCCTCCGGCCCCCGATGGCGCCGCGCTGAAGCTCGAGTCCGGTCGGCCTGATGTGGAGCTCATTGCCCTCGAGTCGCGGTTCCCATCAAAAGTCCAGTAGCTTTTGCGATCTTCCGCGTCTCCACCCGCATCGCGAGGACTGTTGCCCTGCGGTTCTCTGACACCTCGGCCAGCAGAATCGACAAAGGGTAGGCCAAATGACATTGTGGACACGGGCCTGATGTCGTCCATCGTGGGAGGGGCCGAGCCGTCTGGTGAGGACTGTGTCCACTGTGTCCACTGTGTCCCGGTCGTTGGCGCTGCAGACTCGAAGCCGCCACCAGGAGCCGAACTTTGAGTCCATTGCGAGCCCGTCGTTGGCGCGCCCGAGGCATAGGCTGTGTGGGATGGCCCAGAGGTTGGCAAAGGTGGAGCCTCGTACTTGCGCCACCCACTCGCACCGTCGTCACTCGTAAATGCGCTTGCAGCACTCGGAGCTCTCGTGCTGCTGTCTCCATGGCTGAGGTCGTCTTCGATGTCCGTAGATGACTGTGGACCAATAGACTTCTTCGCGCGAGCGTCGCCTCCAAACGTTCCATAAGACAGCCGGGAGTCGCTGCGCTCTCCTTGTGCAGCTCCGACAGCGCCTTCTTGGTGAATTCGCTCCACTGACTCCGCTGTGGCAGAAGCTCGCGCATCGGCAAAGGGATCGCTGGCTTCCGAACCAGGGGTGGCTGTAGGGCTCGCATCCGTGCGTTCGCCTGCTTCTTTAGCTTCCCTCCTGCGCTGGCTCAGGCTGCGAACCAGCTGCGCCTTGCCTTGTCCAACAATAACGCGCTTAGGAGCTGCGGCAGATACAGGCGTCATGATCTTAGGCGTGCTCAGCACATAGTCCAGTCCCGAGGTACCGCTGCTGGAGGCGGTGTTGCTGGTCGCAGTGCTCAGATGCCTGTCGGCGTACTTGCGAGCATACACAGCGCTCTTCTGCAGCTCTTCCGGGAAGTTGTCGTGCTCGGCCGGGTCGGTCCTGCGGAAATCGAATTGCTGGGAATGCGCCGTCGAGGGGGCAGCAGGAGACATCAAGGTAGTGAAGTGCTCTCCTTGCGCAGAATGCATGAGCGCGCTGGACGCAGCAGTGCCAGCGCTGGTGCGCGAAGACTTGCGCATGCCCGGCTCGGATCCATCTGGTAAGCGCAAATTGAGCTCCGAGTCTCTTGTTGGTCTCGGAGGCCCAGCACTGGGAGAGGCACTTTGAGCTCCCGAGCCGAAGTAAGAGCCGCGTAGCACGACGCTGCCGCCTGGCGAAGTTGCTTGTGGAGAGGATACTGAGCTGCCCCGTTTGGGAGCGCTGCCCGACTTGAGGTCGATGAGTGGCGCTCCTGGCGCTCGATGTGCAGGCTCAGGAGCTTTCAAGGGCGCGGAACCAGACATGTTGCGATGCGCCGTTGAAGCAGGGGACATGCTCTGGCGCTGTTGCTTCTGCCCACTAAACATGATCGGAATGATCTTGGTGCTGCCTGACCCATCGCTTGTCACGGACGCACTATCTGAGAAGGGGTTCGCTGCTGCCGAGGATATGGAGCCTGCCTGAAGGAGGTTGCGACCGCCCGACCCGCTCTGCACGATGCCTCCGTACGGATCCAAGTTGATCGAGCTAGTGGACCCGAGGGATCGATGACGGGAGTTCGCTCCACCGAACCCGTTGCGAGAAGAGAGAGCTCGGCTGCGCCTGGCCATCTCTTCTTCCTCTTCTGCCCCCTCGGTAATCCGGCTCAGGTGAGTGGCCGCACCTGTCGAGCGACGTTTCACTCCATTATAGCCCATCACGTCGAGCGTATCATCCACTAAGACCTCTTCTGCTCCACTGCCTGTTGCTGGCTTACGGTAGGTGGTGAGGCCATCAGAGCGCAGCTCGGTGTACTCGACATCCTCCTCGTCTTCATCCTCTCCCTCCTCCGTGCCATGCAAGCGCGAGGAAAGGTGCTCGCTGGAGGTCGCGCCGGCCGAAGAGGCAGATCCGCGCTTATTGCCGCCGGGTCTGAACTTTTCCGCCTCGGCAGCTCTGACCTTGGCGTCCATACGTGCCCGCGCAGCTTCCGCTCTCGCCTTTCTCTTGCGTGCGAGCCAAAACCAGAAGAGAACCGCAGCCAATGCGAAGGCGCCAATGACGCCTCCGACAGCTCCGCCAATCGGTCCTGCTTTGCTACCGCTCTCTGGCGCTTGGTAGTTGGGATCCGCGACGCATACATTGCTGGGGCAAGAGGAGCAGTCCTTGGCAGATCGAAAGATCTGCTGGCACGTCTGACCTTTGGGACAGACGGGACACTTGATGTCTGTAGGACAAGAGGCGCAGGCTCGCTTGGCGAGCGACGGGGGCAAGTCCAGCGTAGGTGTGCCTCTGCGCCGAGACATGGTGGGTGCTTGAACCATCTTGAAAGTGGGTGAGGCGAAGAAGATTGGCGGGCAGGTGCGCACAGCGCACGCTGGTGACACTAAGATGCGTGCCCCTAGTCAACGTGCCAATTCCAGCAGGATTTGTTGCACGGCAAAGGGTCGGTTTGAATAGTGCGACTCGATGTGTGGGTAACGCAGGTCCTTCTTTTGGAGCGAGACGGCCAGTTGAAAGCCAGCGCTGACTGTGCCCGCAAGCGAAAGCGATGGCGTAGTGACAGCGGATGATGTCACAGAGGGTTCTTGTAGTTGCTAAGAGGAGAACTTCGCGTGTGTTTGTCTATTTGGGGTACGGTGAGGGAGCGTGAGGATGCGATCAGCGTTAATGCGGGAAGGAGTCAAGGTCAAAGTCTGGCCGACCAAGGAGGGCTCGTTTCACGATTGAGATTGGGTGCGCTGCATGAGAGAATCACGAATAGTGGATCGAAACGCCCAGTCGAAAGTGATGACCAGGCGTCCAAGGGCGGATGAGGCATCAGCACCCATGCCGTGCTCACAAGAGGCTGAGCCATGCAGGATAGAAGCAGCATGCATGTATGTATAGTAATTGAATGTGTACAGGGCACTTCAAGACTGTTGTGTGTATGCATGCAAGCATGTATAGAGGGGCCATCGGCGCCTCGGCTCTTCATCATGCAGCACGGGTTTATGCATGCATGCAGGCACAAACCGGCTTCTTCATTTGACAGCAGTTGGCAGGAGGTCGAGGGCGACCGCGGCGCTGCTCAACGCGCGAATTGTAGCTAGGGCGAGCGCTTTGGTTCAACTATACCGTACATATATATAGCAAAGCTGCGTTGTCGAGCGCAAGCATGTGAGCAGCACAGGCAAGGCGCGGCTTTGCGCCGCCAGCACGCAGCCTCAAGCAGCTGATGGGACTTCGATCAAGACCCTCTCTGGCCTTGTGTTTGGCTGGCCACCTCGCGCCTCCATGCACATACAGCCGAATCACTTAATTGGGTGTGCCTCACCCTATAATAGCTGCATCTGATCAGCAGGCTCGCGATGTGGCTGAAATTGCGAACCTCGAACAAACACTCAGGCAACACGGCGCCGCGCGTATACCTATACCGTACCTGCTGGCGTCTTTGCACGGCCATGCTTGTCCAGATCAGACCAAGCTTGTAGGCAGGTAGGCTATTCTTGATTCTCGGACATCGAGTCACATCGAGCTCCAAATCGACGTTGAAATTCGATTCGGGGCGCTATGCCCCCCGCCCTCGCTCCGGCCGTGAGGGCCAACAAAATCACTGCTCTCGCAGTCAGGATCACAACAGTCTTTGAGTCAAGATCGAGTCTTGTCGCAATCTTCGAAGCCTTTAATTGAATCTGGGTGTCAAAGATAAACGCAACAGAATTAAGAGGCTGCGTTGATTGAATCGACCATTCGCTGATCTTTAATCACGAATGATCTACGTCGATTTGATATTAATTGGTTTCGCCCCTTCGACCTTCGGTAACTGCGCTTCCCAGCCGCGCGAACAGGCATGGAGAAACTTGACGGGCTGCATACATGCAACGATCACGAGTCTCAAAGTCATCGATGGCGCGGCGCCATGTTAACACTGTTGCGCGCCCGCGGGAGCTTTCCTATTCGGAATACCACGGCTTGCTGCACCATCAGAGCCAAGAGTGAAACTGTCAGTCACGAGTGGCCCCAGCATCCAGCATTGCGCCAAGATCAGCAGTCTGGCACATGGCGGGGCGATTCGCCTTCCAGCTTCGCGCGCTGCTGCTGCTGGTCACAGGCGCAGTGCGCTAATGCACAACGGCGCAATTGATTGAGAGGAGCGGGTCTAGCGTACTTAGACTGAGTGCTTGGCATACTCACACTCTGCGTGACTGTACGCTCTGCGACTGACCGCTTAGCAGTCCCTTAAGTTTCCGTTCGTGAGGTTGGGAAGCAGCTTGACGCATTGAAGAATCGCCAAGTCACCACGATGGGTTCGTTCTGTAGTACTCAGCAGAAATTCGGTCTACAGCAACCGATCAGAGACCGGAGAAAGTAGCCTGTACCCGCTGATATTCGGGGAAGATCGATCATGGGTGTGCTTGCGCGTGCGCAGCAACGCTGCATGTCCTCAAATGGTCACATGACGCCGCAATCTCCTTCCACTGCCTCGCCATCGGCATTTATCTGCCGTAGATGCTGACAACGAGAACGAGAACGAGATAGGCGAGCTGCATGAGCGAGGTCGGCAGATCTATATTTGTGGCGTGCGTGTCCACTCACACCACCAAGCATGGCTAGCAGACCTCCTGGATAAGATCCGGAGCGCCTGCGAAGCGATCCATGAGCAGATCAAGACATCAGTCAGGGGACCTCGCGGCACACAAGCGCAGCTGAGGGACTCACCCTTCTGTCTCGGCCTCATTGGCTTCCGCGAGCCCCTCCACATGCTCCCTCGACTCTCGGTACACCCCTCCGTCGACGCCATTCGCATAGGAGGTGGCACTAATGAGTTTGATCTCATCGTCGATGCCAGAGACGGCAATGACAGGCAAAGTCGGATGGGGAACCATGACGTTGACCACATGGCTATCTCCACAGATCACAGCTTTGAGCTGTGTGCTGGCCGGATCGTAGAGGTATAGGCGCCCGTCATCCGAGCCCGATGCGATATACGGCCCGACAAAGTTGACGTCTTTGACTGACGAACAGAATGGGGAGTAAGATCATTAGAGTTTTGATCGCAGCAGGTCAGAGGAGCAGTAACGCACCTGTCTCCCGGTTGATGTGGCCCTGATATCGCGCGCGCGGGTACACCATCGGCGCTTCATCGAATTTGCTGCTATCCGAAACGGGTCGCGTGGGAAACACGAGAGAGTCCCCGTCCTCGTCTTCCTCCTCTTGCTCCTCATACATGTCCAACATGTCAGAATCCCCATCCTCCATATCCTCATCGTCGTCGTCCAAGCCACCATTACCACCGTATGCAGTGCTTTCGACCTCGTCATCGTCGTCTCGCTGCTCAAACTCAGCAAAGAACTCGTTGGCGTCATCGCCCTCGTCGACTGCGCTCGGCAGGAGGTTCCTGCTTCGGGTGAGATGCGCCAGATTGAGGTGTGCCTCTGCAAAAGGGAAAGCCGGCGGCCGTGCGAGCTCTTCGTGCAAGTCTTCGTCTTCATCCGGCCCGTCCCATGTAGCGAAAGCTGGGCCTGTTCGAGGCTGAACGTCGGACTCTCCTCTTATCTCTGGTCGTGGTACAGCCTCTCTCCAACTCGCGACGCCATCTTCAGGAGGGTCTTCCCAGCTGTCTGCGCGATTCCAAATCTGCTGTCGAGATTGGTGCTGTGAAGGGTTTGAACCGAAGGCATGGGGCGCGTGAGACTGTCCAGAATTGCTCGTCCACTGCCAGCTCTGCTCGGCAGCTTGAGGTGCAACAGTACTGATCGAAGGATCCTCATCCGAGCTTAGATCACTTTGCCCCGAAAGTCGCATCCGATCAGTAAACTCGAAGCACTTGCTGCCCCAAAACGCCCGTAGCACACTTTCCGCCTCGTCGAAGAGGACTTCCAGAAATTTGTGAAATGTGGGGATATCAGGAGTGTTCCTAGCCTTGTCATCATCGACCAGACCTTCGAGGAGCAGAAGAAGATTATTTGAGACATCCATGCCGGGCTCGACATCGTCTTCATCCTGGTCCTCCCCATCATCGTCGCTCGATCTTGCGTTTTGGAGCAGCTCCTTCGCTCGTACAGCTGTCTCCAAGTACCGGCTTCTTCCCTGCACGAAGGTCTCTGTTGCAGCTGGCTCGTCCAATCGCTGAAACAGAAGCAGAGTCTCACAGACGCATAAAGGGAGAGTTTCCGAAGAGTCGTGTTGCATAGCTTTGTACCTTTCGACGTAAGCGGTTGCCTCTGCTTGTCGGCCCTCGCTGAGCGTCCGTCGCGGAAATAGCAGACCGACGATCGCTGATCGTATGTTCCTTGGCAGAGGCAAAGCTTTCTTGGCAGCCACCAGACGCCTGAACCGCTCGACTGTGTGGTTGTCATCCAATGTTCCGCTGCTATGAATCTTCTGCGTAGACGTTCTGACTTCGCTCGCTCTATTACGCTCCTGCTCCCGCACCACCCATTGGCTGGCTTCGGGATGATGCATCTCTTCTGGCTCGTCGTACAGATTGAATCTACAGCCCGAACACAGAGTGTCAGACTTCGCACCGCACGAAAAGCATTGTAGAGAAAGCTCACCGATAAATGGTCGAGTCGGTATCCGAATAAGAAAGGAGCAGCTGCACAATACATAACAAGTCAGCCCAACGTTGACCCCCATCCCATTGGAGCAGTGCTCGCTTCACTCCTTCACTCACTTCTCGACCCGTCGATTCTTCAATCTTAGCTGCAGTGATGTGCGCCCTTCCAAACGCGGATTTGACCGGCTCACCAGAATCCCACTGTCGTTGGGGTCTGCCGAAACGCCTGACGCACTGCGTAAGCGCATCACGCTCAGGCTCCGGGGTTGATTCACCCCATTCCCGTTTCAGTAGGCGGGGGAGCATTCTTCGATCATGAAGATAAGCGTGGGCGGACGTGCCTGCTACAACGAACAGCCAAGGCTCCACCTTGCTGACGCTGAGGCTGTACAGCTCCATCGAATGTCGTACTAGAGGCGAAGGGCACGTCGAGCTCGACAGTGCGAATGATTGGCTCGAGCTACGACCTCGCTCGCTGCACGTGTGATTGACCCGGAGATCCGTCTGGCGCACTTCACCATCCTCTGCGCAGCTTAGGAAAACATCGGGACTATTCTCTGTGCTGATGCGTTTGACCCGCGCGCTGTGACAGCGGAGAACGCGCGTGCACACGCCTCCACCTCGAGGCCAGACCATCACTTCTCGATTGTCGTGCTCGTACTGCCTCTTGGTAATGGCGTGAGACAAAATCTTGGCATCAGACTGCGCCAGGTCGAACACTCTCATTTCGGAGTCACCAGCTGCGGTGAACAATCTGCTAGGAAGAGTTGGTGCAAATTTGACAGAAAAGACTGCAAGGGTGGTAGAATGGTCAGGCAGCTGAGCTGCGAGTGGACCCGATTCGCGCGATGCGACCGAAGCCACTCACTGTTCGCTCGATGTCCCTGGTCCAGCGTGTCAAACAATCTCGGTAAGCTTGCTGGATGAACACTCGAAGCCCAGGCAAAAGACACCCACAGTCTCCACCACACCACTTAGACCAAAGCCTAGATCAGGCGCAGGCCACTGCTCCGCAGCTTTCGCTTCTGCAATCTCCTCGTTCAGCTCATCGAGCAGGTTATCTCCAGCTACACCAATGCCGCTGTTGACGCCCCATATTCCTCCAGTGCGGCGCGATTGAGGGCCACTTCGAGTGTTTGGTGGTTTACGATGCACGTGCTCGGCTCTCGGATGCGCGGCATCTGTTCCGAGCCTCCAAAGACAGACGGTCTTGTCATCAGAGCCGCTGGCCAGAGTGCTTCCATCGGATGACCAAGCCAGAGCATTGACACATCCTGTGTGGCCTATGTGCTCTCTGGCTGGGGTGAGACCGCCGAGTACGTCGATACGGTCCAGCGAGCCGATGGTAGACGGGCTCCATTGAGACACTCGCCTGAGCTTCGCGCTCGATGCGACTGTGGGCAGCACGCCGTTGGTACGATGAGAATAAAAGCCCGGTGTGAACGTTTTCGGAGATGCATAAGCTAGTCGCAGCGTGGATGGTCCAGCCTCGTGCGACCTGTCAGATGGGCAGTAGGTGTTCATGTCGATGGCAGCTTAAGCGTCAACGAGCAGGTTGCGAGCTTTCCAGAATGGCGTCTCGACAAGCGCGATTGGCGCTGCGAGCTGCTTCAGCGGATATGCCTCAAGGGAATCTGAGGCAAGGCCATACGAGGTCAAGAGTTACAGATGCCAAGTGCGCAATACGGTGTGCCTTGATGAAGAGGTCAGTTGACTAGTGACTCAGCATAGCATTCATCGGGGTGTATCGTGAATCGTGAATGCAGCGCAATTCGCGTGTAGCTCCCTCATCAGCAGCCAGGGTCGCCTGCAGCAACCAGTCATGCATATACTCATCAAACTCAAGACTGTGTAGGCGCGCCACCCCGCACAGACCCTCTCGCGCTCAGTCTTCAATGACCCAATTACGAAGAACCCTTAGTTGACCTCAATCTTGAATCCCCTCTGAGGATCACGTGATAGAGCACTCTTAAAAGTCAAATCTCTCTGTTTTTATTCAACTGTCTGAAGAACCACTTTCGTAATGACGCGCCCGGCGATATTTATTAATCACGAATAAGAGTCGCAAATCTTGAGCATCACGAACCGCACGGCGAAGACCTGAACATCTTCCCGATCGTCATCTTTCGCCCTTTCGGCCCTTGGGCGACTACACAAGCACAATCGACTGCTCCACCCGAGCTGCCGTTGATCTGCGCTCTCGCGCTGATCCGCCTCGATATCAACGCTGCTGCACGTCCGAGGTGCCACGAATAAGTGGCGCCTGTGCAGCTATCCAAGTCCGAAGTCGCATTCAGAGCATCATCAGAGCGACTCTCAGACTCTCACGATACATGGTAGCTACACTGTGCTCGCTTGGGATCTCATTCGAAAAGGCGCAACTTTGCGCTGCCCATCGCTAGCGGGCGGGAAGTCGCTCTAGCAGAGCCACAAGCAGGCCACACGAACGACAATCTGTGGTCTTCTTACCGCAACGCACGTGTGTGGTCACCATGGCCCCCTTTTACGGCTACTATGGAGCGCCACCGCCAAGACCCTCGACGTATCGCGGGCGGTATGGACTGCATCCTCCTCCTCCTCCTCGCTCTCGACCTCGATCCCCAGACTCAGTAGCAGCTGCCCGGAGAGAGAGAGCAGCTGCACCCGTTCCATCGCGAAGTAGGCACGACGCAGATGTCAGCACGGTCTCCGACTACCAGTCAGGCAGAGGGTCTGGAAGTAGCAGTAGACGCAGAGACTATAGCGCGAGTACCTATCGTCCTTCACCCGCAGCATCCACCAGCAACGCTGATCGAGTCAGAGCAACAGACTGGAAAGGCAAAGCGCGACTGCAGGATGACGACGACGATGTTGCCAGCAGCGACGGCTACACCAGCAAGGCGAACGGTGACCAAAGGCTGGACCGAGCGCGCAAAGAGGATGAATGGAGCAGGAGCAGGAGTAGGAGTAGAAGTCAAAGCATCGAATCCTCCTCCCAAAAGCGGGCCCGCAGCCGCAGTGGGAGCAGCACCTTGCCTCGCTCAGCTATGATCAGCAGAGGTCGCGGAGCGGAGCGGGATCGGTCTTGCGATGACCGCAACAGCGTCCATTCGCGCGTGCACGCCGAAAAGAAAAGTGCGCACACCTCCAAGCCGAGTGGGGCCGATGCCGGGGCGAAAAAGACGGAGCAGGCGTCGTTAAACAACCATCTCAAGAGCCTCGGCAGTCGCAATGCAGATGGCAGCTATGAAGGCGTGCCTACAGGCCCTCGAGCCAACAGACAAGCCTCCGCCGTCTTCAACAAGCCTGCGCCTCTACCTGATGCTTCTAAAAGTAATGCTGAGTGGTCCACGGTCGATAGGCGCTTGCTTACAACTTCACGTGCTGACGGCTTCGGCCTGTCTCGTGAGAGGCCTCGTGAGCGGAATCGATCTCGTGATCGCACGAGATATGCCACGCGCGAAGAGGACCGCAGGCCGGACCGCGAACGCGAACGCGACCGCGAAGGGGTCTCAAACAAGCAGGTCGACGATGGCAGAGACCGTTCTTACCGTCGGTCTGATGAGCGTCTGAGAGGCGCTCGATCACGTAGTCGCAGCCCAAATGTCAGCAGGCAGCATGGCACTACTCGGCAGAAGGATGAAAGGGATCAGCGAGAGCGTCACTCTCGATCGCGATCTCCCAGGCGGCCGCAAACGTCTCAGAAAGAACTCGACCCCAGAGCCAAGAATGTCCGCTCGACTTCAAGCGCTGCAGGCATCGAGAACTTGGATAAAATCCGCAATGCTGGCCAAGATGCAACCAGCAAGGGCAAAGGCACCAATGGGTGAGTTACTTGTATCTTTACTTTCGCGCTGCGACTACGCGAACGCCCGGGGGTATCACCCTAACAGGCACCTCTGCGAGTGCCTCCTGAGCGCCAGGGCATCGCGAGCTTAGACATACTGAATTCTGCGCAGCTCGGCTCTTGACGTTTTTTCGCGCCCTTCTCGTGCGCCGCCGCCCGCCCCGCGAGCAAATTCGATCGGAGCACTTTCCTATGGCTCAGGCTCACCCCGCCGGTCCCATAGCCCCGAAATCTCTCACGTCGGCAACGTTCGCGTAGAGTCCGGCAATGGACCACTGCCTGACACCACCAGCAACGAGCCGGCAATGGAGGGGATGCCGAAGGCCACTCCAGCGGCTCACCGCGAGCGAAACAAATCATCCAGCACCGAATCTGGCGCCATTTCCGAGACGCCTTCGTCGCTAGCACATAGGCAGCTTCTTCCTGCAAGAAGCCCTGCCATCTCCTCTTCGTCTTCTGAAGCGCGATTATTGGCTCGCAAGAGCGTATCCCCGGAGGCTAGGCATGCTGTCCTTCAAAGCAGCGATGACACTGGCGATGCTCAATGTCCGCCTCGCAGAGGTGGTTGGACGGTAATCTCGCGAGGAAAGCCGACTTCTGCCCCTCTGGAATCAGTGCAGGTCAGTGAAGCCGGAGAAGGGGAGCGCATAATAGACGTGTCCGGACGAGCTCCTACAATCGCAGTAGAACCAGGGCAGACCGAGGAACCGCGGTCGCCCGGTCCCAAAGCTTTCACGCCATCTCCTGAGCCGGACATGTCGAGCTTGGCTGCGCAACCAGCCCGTGGTTTTCCGGACGAGACGTATACACGTATCAATCAGGTCGGAGAAGGCACGTACGGACAGGTCTTCAAGGCACGTGCGGAGAGATCTGGAGCCTTGGTCGCTCTGAAAAAGATTCGCATGGAGGCAGAAAAGGACGGGTTCCCCGTCACGGCAATGAGGGAGATCAAGCTACTTCAGCACCTGCGACATCCGAACGTGGTCAGGTTGCACGAGATGATGGTGTCCAAAGGTGAGTGTGCGTTCAGGAGCTTCGTGCGCTGAGTCCGACCCCTGACTCGACCGCCACCCGCTATATATGACCCAGGATCAATCTATCTGGTCTTCGAATACATGGAGCACGACCTAAATGGAGTGCTTCAACATCCGTCGATCGAGTTCAGCGCCGCACACCTGAAGTCGTTGTCTCGTCAATTCCTGCGAGGGCTCGAATACTTGCACAAGAAATCGGTGCTACACAGAGACATCAAAGGCTCCAACATTCTCCTCTCCAACCACGGTATCTTGAAGCTGGCGGATTTTGGCCTGGCTAGATTCTATGCCAAAAGGCGGGCAGACGATTATACGAATCGCGTGGTGACGGTGTGGTACAAGCCGCCTGAGCTCCTGTTCGGTGCTACGCGATACGGACCGGAGATCGACATGTGGGGAGCAGGCTGCATCTTTCTAGAGCTTTTCACCAGGCGTCCTGTGCTGCCCGGCAACAGCGAGATCCATCAAGTGCAGGTCATTTACGACACCTTTGGTGCTCTGGTGCCACCGAGCGAGTGGCCTGAAGTGGAAGCGCTACCTTGGTACGATTTTGTCAAGCCCGTTACTAGTCTAGATCAGCACGGCAGCGAGCCACTGGCCTCCGAGGTCGAAGAGCCAACCACGTCGCCCGGAGCAGCACAAGACGCCAGTCTCAATCCTCGCTTAGGACTGCAAGCCCGCGAGAAACGCTTTCGGAAAATGTTCAGCAAGTGAGTGTCTTGAGGGTCGAGAATGACTTTCAAACCCAGCTTACCGCCCGACGCTTTCTGCTTCGATGTTTGCAAGGTGGCTCTCGCCTGCCGCACTCTCCGTGGCGTGGGCTTTGCTCGCGTACAACCCTGCCAGACGAGCGACAGCCAGTCAAGCGCTCAGCATGCCCTACTTCACGCACGAGCTTCCAAAGCCAGAAGTCCCAGCTGGGTGAGTCCCTCAATGATGCGATGAGCTGCGACACTGGCCGCACGCCTTGAAATCTCATCATCGCTTCTGCTGTCTTCTGCTTCCTCGTGCAGCTTACTCACTGCCGTCGAGGGAGAATGGCACGAATTTGAGAGTCGACGCGCTCGAAAGGCGCGCGGATGATGCACTGGTCGGCTTCGTTGGCGTCCAACACCAGAGATTGTTTGAGTCTCGGCTCGCCGCGACAAGGCAGATCGATGAGACGTGTAATTATTAGGAGTCCATCACACATGAGCAAGACATCGCATGTCTGGGTGCAGACTCGCGCGAGCAAGGGTGAACGATTTATGATTGCGGAAGAGAATACTCAATGTTCGTGTTCCATGATTGAGATTGGCCAGGCAGAGCCGGCCGAGTTCTTTGAAGGTCTCATGCTGCACTCGATGCTGGCGCTGCATCGCTCTCGGCTTGATCGGCGTCGGCAGGTGCACCAGACAGAGAAGATTTGGCCAGCGCTGCCAGAGGAGGGTCATCAGCATCGTGTCAAAATGAGTAGCTTAACGCATCAATGCGTCTACTCACCCTTTTCGACCTTTTCGATGTTCAATTTGGTCTGGGTCGCTTGATTCTGGACAAAGTAAGCCTTCTTGAGCTTGAGGTTCTCCACCACCCGAGGCAGATCCGCCTGGCTAGTGGGCGGTGGGATCGAGAGGGCGAACAGAGCGCTCAGAGTGCCCAGAGGAACGTTGAGCTTGCCAGCTGCAGCTGGCGCGCCGCCGTTGGGCTCAGCGTCGTCTGCAGGAGACTCGCCCAGCGCCAAAGGTGTGCCCCTTTTGCCCTTCTTTCCTTTGCCGCCAGCAAATCCCTTCTTCCCCTTGCCTCCACCCAGCGTGAATGTCTCTTCCTCTTCTTGACCCTTCTTGGTCAGTGCCTGTCCGAATGATGCATCGGCTTCGACTTGGCGCACAGACAGCTCTTTGACGCCTGCCAAGTTGGCCTTGGCCGCTTCGTCTTTCGTGGCATTTGCTTCAGCGCCACTGAAGTACTGCAGGTTCATGAGGGCCAGGCAAAAAGAATGGGGGAGGAGACGAGGTCGCGTCAGCAGGGAGAATCGAGATGAGGAATGACATGAAAAACTCACGTTGATGAGCACATCGCAGTCCTCGATCTCCTGTGCGAAAGCAGGCAAAGAGGCCTCTTCCCGCATTTGCGCCTCGTGCTCTTTGCGCTTAGCTGCATCCTGCGCCTGTCTCTCCTCTCTGTACTTGGCCGCCTTTCTCTCCCTCTCGGCACTCAGTCGCTGATAGTACACATCATTGGCAGCTCTGAAGGCAGTCTGCCTGTCTCTGCGCTGAGCGTAAAGCGTGTCGAGCTTCTTGCTGAGGGCGTTGCGTTGATCTAACAACTTGGTGCGCGATCCAGCGCTCGCTTCGACCTTCTTGTTGATCTCGTCTAGCTCCGTCTTGATCTCGTCATACCGCTTGCTGACAGCTTTCGAAGCCGGGTCATCCAGCGCGCTTCGCAGCTCATCGGCCCGCTTCCGATCGGCATCGATGGCCGCTTGTTGAGTCGCGAAAGCCTCAACATTCTTGCGGTCTCGCTTGAGATTGGAAATTTGAGCCAGCGCTTTTTTCTCCTCTACCAGCTTCATAGAACCACTCTCCACTGATTTCTCGAGCCTCGCGATCTGAGCATCCACCTCTTCGGGTGACTTGAAAGCTGCTTTCGACTTGGCCGCTTGAAGCGCTTTGATCTGCGAGCGTACAAGCGTACAAGGGTGCAGGTCGAGAATTTTGAGCGCTGTGCTCCACAATGCAGCAAGGATGCAGGCATGAAGGGGCGCAAGCATGTACGCACTTTTGCACCAACGCCATCCTGGATGGCACGCAAGTCATCCAAAACTTTGCCTCTTGCTCCCTTGTTGCCGGCTTGTTGGCTACGAAGCTCATCCAGCTCAGCGCGGAGAGCTGCTCTCCTTTGACCTTCTGGCGTGTCCTTGCTAGGCCCCGAGCCCGAAAGTATGGACTTGAGATTGTTCTGCGAGCGGCAAGGAGAGAGAGAGATGAGTACAGCTGCGAACACTTCTCCCTCCTCGGCTGCCCACTCACAATTTCGGCATGCGCTGCATCGATTTCCTTCTTGATCGCTTCAAGCTTGGCATTGTTGTCGTCTGGATCCGGCTTGCCTCCTGTCAGCTTTGCGATGTGGACGGCTTCGCTAGTGGCAATTGCATCATCTGCTTGTCCAGCTGAAGCTTCATTTGCTGCGGCATGCGAAGGCTTGACCTGCTCATCGCTTGACGCTGCCTTCTTTGATTTGGAAGGAGTGGAGCCGTTAGCCTTGGCGCCGTTCGACACGGGCTTCTTTGTTGAGGTGGACATTATGATTCGCTCGATAGCAGAGAGACACCTGTCAGCGCGAGCAGAGAATGAGAAGGAGTTGCTTCGATGATAGTTGGAGGTGAAGAAGTCAGAATATGCCGAGCACGAGCGCTGTCCTCTATGAATGCTGTCCCCAACCTTGCGACTTTGGGTGCTCGCATCGGGTCGTCTTGCGTGCGTGCGTGCATCAGCGAGCCTTTGCTGGAAGATATGCTGGTGCCGTGGTTGCATGGCTGCACGCACGCGGCATTCAATGCGCGGGCGGCCGGTCTAGGCTTCGCGGCAAGCGCTGTCCACACCCAAGAACCTTCTCGATGGTCAGCGCTTCGCCCTGCTGTTAGAACAAACAATTTTGCCTCCGCGGTCAGGTAGTCGTGAGTCTTCTGTCGCTCCAACCCAAAATTGCCTGTGCTGCATGCAGCATGCACAGCTTGCATATTACCGCATCGAGTTCCTCCCTCGTCTTGCTCTCGTCCAAAGCCTTTCCGCCCTTTCCCCTCAAACAGTGCACGACGCGCTCCGGCACCATCACGTAGGTATACTGTATATGCCCTTTTGCGGGGGCAGAAATGGATGATGGGCCGGGTCTGGGACAAGTCACAGTCGTGAGTCGCCAGTGTATCCAGATTGTTCTGCATACAGAAGCCATCATGTGCCATTCGATTCGTGATCTGCTGCCGAGGTGCGCGATGGCAGAAGCTAGCAAGTCCCTGCGCCCGCTCGCTTTCTCGCGCATCGCGTCCTCGATCATGGTCAGCTTTCACCCCGCAAAATTATGCAGGCTTGTTTGGTTGGCCGTCCACAGGCAGAAGACGTCGACGCTGCTGATGTGTGCTTGTGTGCGCGGCAGTCGCACCTCTTCCTCACATGCTCCTTGCGCCTCCAATTCGGTGCTACGCTGACCACGACCACGACGGCGTCCCTCATCTCATTCGCAAAATTGGCCTTGCCGCCGACCTTTCCCCATCTTATCCCACCCGCACTCCGATCGCTCCTCTCCCTTCAAAGGCTTCATCACCCACTTCATCCCACCCATCCTGAGCTTCAAGTAGGGCCCCTGCTTCTCCTCGTAGCTCCATCTATCGGCCCGCACCAGCGCTAGCACCTGCCAACCTCACTTCCCCTCGCTTCACACCCTCTTCGCCCAAAATGGCTCCTCTTCAACCAGTTCTGCTGGAGATGCCCTTGCATCTGTGCTACATGGGCTTCGGTGCTGCCATGATGGGTCTCTCGGGCTCTCATCTAGCCAGATTCAACGACATCAGGCAGACTAGCGATGATTCTGCCACCTCTACCTACCCAGGATTCGTGTATGTTAGCGATAATGGCATGAACATGGTGGACCTGTGAGTGAAGCTCTTCCAGCTCGCCTTGCTCGGTCGACAGGCGAGACGATACTCTGCGCAGCACCGTGGCGAAACGGTACTGCGTGGCTCCGCAGCCTAGCAAACAAATAAGCGTATGCCTGGTAGTCTGCGACGCCTCAGTCCCTCGGCAGCCCCGCATACAGCTTGGGTACCGCTAGTCCAGCCTTTCGGCTCAAGCCCTGCACTGACCCTTCCATCGCATCCCACCCCTTTAGCGGTATCCTCATCATCTCTGCCATCACTTTCGTGACCGGCATTCTCTTCGCCGTCCTCTCTTGCTCGCAATTCAGAGGTCGTCGTGGAGAGTACAGCGGCAAGGGAACCGGAGCATGGTTCCTGGTCGGCTTCTGGCTTTTGCTCCTCTCTGGCGCGTGGGCCGGTCTGGTCTCCGCATACACTGCCTTCTCCGTTCAACGCATCTGGCAATTCGAGCAGGGACCATCGTTTGCTGGTACAGAGCCCTTCGACATTGGACACAGGCTGTATTTGAACCAGATCGACTACTACCTCACTGCTCAACGTGCTCAAACCTTGGACATTTCCGGTCCTCTGCGTTTTGTTGATGAATCCTTCCTCGGAGAGTGGGGAAGCGTCACCACTCTGCAACAGGCCAACGATCTGCTTGCTAGTCGCAACGGCTACGTGCACGCTATTCAGAGCTACAAGGCTACCGTCGCTATTGGATGGGTCACGCTCGGCGTTGTCTTCTTTACCATGGCCGTTCACTTTGCTCTGCCCTTTGTCTGGAAGTGGCTCGGATTCATCCGTCAGCCAGAGAAGAAGAGCTACAACGAGATGTAAGCGAGGCTTGCACACTCGGCAAGCGTTACTACCTCGCGACTCCCGTCTTGTATGCTTGGTGTTTCTGCCTGGGCGTGGCCTCTGCCGTCCCATGGCGCAATGTGCAGTTAGAGACTGTGCCGCAGGCGGTCTCGCGTATGCCCAACGCCTCCTCAAACACGGTCATTTTCGCCTTCTCGATACCTTTGCGTGGTGTTGGATGCCACCGCTGCTGATGCTACTGCATATACACTACTTGTTCACGTGCTCCCTCGTCGAGCGTTGCTTTTTGTCATCTCCCCCCCACCATCCTTGGCTTGTGTCCGGCCCGCATGTTCTGCCTCAGCTTATACTGTTTGTCCACTTTGCGACTCCGGAATGGCAATCATTTTGATCCGGCATTTTGATACGACGGAGTTGTGCTTTGGTGTGCGTCTGCTCTTGACTGCTCCATGTGGAAGTCAGCCGCGGCCTCGTGTCGCCCGCGCGTCCACCTCACTCCCGCGTCGTCGGAGGTCGACCAGCAAAGGTACGCCTGATCGACGGTTTGAGCAGGCGCGGTTGACATGACTCAACGGCTTGAAATTTCTCCTGCGTGTTAGGTGGATGTAGGATCCGATTCCCAATCATCTGCCATCGCTGCTGGTGCCTCCTGCCGTGCTGTTTGTACAGCTGGCGCGCTGCTGCACCATTGCGCTTCGCCATTCGTCATTCGACCGACGATTCACGATTGGGTGGGGGACGGAGGAACCGGATACCGCGTGAGCCGGAGAAGCCGCGCGCGCGTGGATGCGCGGGGAAGCGTTCAACGCACGACTGGAGGATGCACGCATGGATGGATCATATAATGGCTGCGCTGCTTGCTGCGAGACTCACACTCGACGACGAGAACGTCAGCAACGAAGGCTGCCTGCCGCATCCTTGTGAGCTGCTACGACACATCAAAGCGAAGCTTCCGTCTTGAGCATCTGACAGGGGCGCACACAGCAGGCGCGCGCTTTTTTTGGGAGAACATCATCCTGACCGGGCACCACAGACTGGAGAGGAACAAGACACCAAGCACCCGACGAGGAAGAGACGCGGGATTCTGAATTCGGGGACTGGGGCGATCGAGGCAGCAATCATGTCACGAATTCTTGCGAGGTCGTTTGCGCTGGCGGCGAAGAGCACGGGCAGGAACGCTGGCGCAGATCCGGTCGCTGCAGTTCAAGCGCACTGGTTTCCAGCCTCGGGCTCAAGGCGCACGGATAGGCTGCCGAGCAGCGCCAGGCATCTGAGCAGCAGCAGCAGACTGGCATCCCAGCCGCTCGACCAGATCGCAAAGCCTGTGCCGCCTTCTATCCCACCGCCTCTCAAAGGAATCAAAGTGGTGGACCTTACGCGGGTGCTTGCAGGACCTTATTGCACCATGCTGCTTGCCGATCTCGGCGCGGACGTGATCAAAGTTGAGCATCCAAAAGGTGCGTAATGCTCTCTCTGCAGCATCTTCTACGCACTCTCATGCCGAGAACGGGGCTGAATCCGCTGCGCATTCGTCCCTTGAAGGTGGAGACGATACGCGCGCATGGGCGCCGCCCTCTGCCCCTTCGAAGCCGATCGATCAGCAGCGCGTACCCAACAGCAAGAGGGACGCTTGGTCCAAGTTGCCCGAGGAGTCGGCCTACTTTTTGGCAGTGAATAGGAACAAGAGGAGCATCACTGTCGATTTGAAGAGTCAAGAGGGTCGCGAGATTCTGCACAATCTTGTCAGACAAGCTGATGTGGTCGTCGAGGTGAGACGAGGCAAAGTAGTTGACAGCGAGCTTTTGCCTGGCGCGGCAAGTGTCTGATCACCATCTTCCCCCTTCATCGCCTTTGCCTGGCGCCAGAACTATCTGCCTGGGTGAGGCTCGGGACGCTCGCTGTGTCTTTTCGCATTGACTACGGCTCACGGAAGCGTTCCTCACATCGTAGCAAGCTCTCCTCCATGCAACTGGGCTATGAGGATCTCAAGAACATCAAGCCTGACATCATCTACGCTTCCATCACTGGATGTAAATCGAGGGTGTGGTGCTGATGCCCTTTCCTTTCGCTGATCAAAATTGCGCACCCATTGCAGACGGCCAAACAGGCCCTTTTGGTCCATCGGCGGGTTGTAAGTGCAGGGCGATGATGTCTTGCGCCTAGCTCTACAACAGATCGTTGACACTCTGCCCGTCCTGGTCGCAGACGATGTCATCATTGCTGCAGACGCGGGTCTTTTTCACATGCGAGTCCCCAACCGAGCAAATTGACTCCTGTGATTCCTTGAGCTCAGCCTCTCTTCCATTCGCAAACCTTCAGCACTGGGGAGCCTGATCGCCCACCCGTGAAGGTCAGCAAGAGTTTGCAGGAGAGAGCGAAGGCCGTCGCTGAGCTGATATAGACCGACTCTTTTGCGCCTACTCGTCCATTCGCAGGTAGGGGTTGCAGTCACGGATCTTACAACGGGCCTGTACGTTCATGGAGCTATCATGGCCGCCCTTCTGGGTCGTGCGACTACTGGACAAGGTGTGCACATCGATGCCAGGTCTGTTTACACGTGACGAACTAGGCTTCATCGTGCCGGAGCGTACCAGTCAGCTCACGCATGGTGCGCCCTTTCTTGCACGTCCCTTCGCAGCTTGTTTGAAGCTCAGGTGAGTTTCCTCAGTATCTCCCGATGTTCGGACCTCCGTTGACTCAGACCCCGTTGCCCTTCGTTCTCCTTCAGATCGCAACGCTCGCAAGTATCAGGAATCAGCCCCTCGCCGAGGTAGACCTCGCTGCTGACACCGCTGCTCTGCTTTGCTCGCTCGCAGGCCAATGTTGCATCATCGTGAGCCACTTCTTCGATACAGATCGCCGATCGGCGCTGATGTGACGCCTCGTCGACTCTTGCAGCTATTTGATCAGCGGCAAGGAGGCAACGAGATGGGGAACGGCACATCCTAGCATCGTGCCTTATCAGGTCATGCCGACCTCTGACGGCTACATCATGGGTGAGCGTGCGTGTACATGGAGCCAAGCTTCAGTCTGTATGCTGATTGAGCCCTGCGATCTTTGACTTCATACAGTGGGTGCAGGAAATGATGGGCAATTCAAGACCCTTACTGGTGTGCTTGGAAAGCCAGCATTAGCAGCAGACGAAAGGTTCGCCAGCAACGCAGGGCGCGTAGCGAACAGGGATGTCCTCATTCCACTGTTGGAAGAGCTGCTCAAGACACAGACCGCGCAGCATTGGATTGACAAGCTGGGCGGCAGAGTCCCAGCAGCGCCCATCCGCAACATCAAGCAAACGTTCGAGCATCCCCAAGCTGTTGCTAGAGGCGTCACGACCGAAGTGGATCATCCTAGAGCGGGCAGAATCAAAATCTCAGCACCGGCTGTGAGGTATGGAGAGGGCAAGATGCCGGTGAGTTTGTGTGCGAAGAGAGCGAGTGCGCCATCCATCAATTGAGCGCCTCGCTCATCTCTGGCTCCGCATCGATGCGATCTTTCCAGGTCACGAGACCACCGCCAGTGCTTGGAGAGCACACGGACGAAGTGTTGAAGGAGATGCTCGACTACACCGAGGAGCAAATCGCCGAGCTTCGAAAAAGGGGCGCCATCGGCGCGTGAAAAGGACGTTTCAGCTTGGTGACATGATCGGTCCTCGAATGCAATCACAAATCGCGAATGCCACCTGCTGCGCACGGAGGGCTAAGTTGTGATCGTCGCTGTGAGGAGAGGTCGAGTCAGACAAGGATTCGTGATTGCACATGGTCGCGACCGCACGACGGATCGTGACTTTTTTGTCCATGAGGACATGCGTGCCCGGAACTACGGTAGCCGGAGGTGCCGGGGGCCAGAGGCGCTAGCTCGTCCTGGCTGGACCCAGGCACGTAGCTCGATGCTGACTGACGTCTTTGCATGAGAGCTATCCATATTGTAGCCTTCGGCAGCAAAGATGGACCCAGATTTGGATTGGCCTTGACCCATAGCCTAGCCTTGGCGCTCATGACTTCTCAGGACTGGAGAACCTTTAGAGAAAGTCTGATCTTGTCGAGGTGAGAGAAGGGCAGAATCGATGACGTTGCGTGCCATGCAATGCACAGCCAACTCACGGACTGCATGACACCTCAAGATCGTGCAACTCTCAGACTCTGCTTGAGCACGCTCACTCAGTGACTCTTTCTGCAGCGAAAGCCACGCGCGCCTGCTGATGCACGCTTGCTTCGGATCTCGGCGCACAGCAGATGTATCATCGTGGTGTGATGCGCGCACGCACGGACACCCGCCCGGTCTGCATCAGCAGTCATCATGAGTTGCTGCTGCCTCGATCGCAGCTGCTTTGTGTGTGCAGCAGCTTCATTCGCGGCCGGCTTCGGCGTCTCCCGCAGCTGCAAACATGGCCGGTCAAGCACCCGCTTTCCGGTCCGATAAGGGCCATTCACATGGACATCACCACCATCCACCCCCCCGCCTACATCTGGTGCACGCAATTGAGTAGGGTTCATAGACGGCAACGCAAGTGTTGCTCTAAGCGCCTTCCTCTCCACCTCAATTGGTTGTTGGCTCACGACTGCAAGTACATTTGAGTGTTCCGACCGACTGGACAGACCCATCAAGCTTGCTCGGATACAATATCACGCGCTACAATGGGTAGCTTCACACCTAAGCAGTCTCTGACTGTGCTCGACAATCGCACTGGAAATGTGAGTGCACAATGTCTCGGCCCTTGTTTCGCCTGGCAGGTGCAGCCAAGGGGCTCCTCGCAGCGCATTACCAACCGTTTGCTGTACTGCGGCTCATAGCGGATCAATCTCACACCGCGGCGCTGATCATCTTGGACGCCGCTCGCTCAGTCTTACGAAGTGCCTATCAAGAACAATGCCATTCAAGCCACGGCTTTCACTCAGATGAAGGCGACGCCTCAGGCCGTCTTTGGGGCTCAAGACAGGCCAGAGGATGAGACAGAGAAGGGCATTCGGGTGTCGGATAGCGCATACACCAACACTGCGGCCGTCACCAGCAGCATCACCTTCATCGATGGTGGACGAGGCATTTTGAGGTATCGCGGATATCCCATCGAGCAGTTGGCGAGAAAGAGTCACTTTTTGGAGAGCGCATATCTGCTCATCTACGGAGAGCTTCCTACCGCTCAGCGATACGATGCGTGGAGCAACGAAGTGGTGAGTGACAAGGAGAGGAGCAGCTTTCAGATGCTCAGGAAGGCGACCGCGCCACCTAGAAGGGAGCGATATCGATGATACGTCTGGAAACCTAACGGCCTCCACGTGCAACGTCATGCCTTCAGCTGCACCACACCTACCTGCATCATGATGTGGTGAGTGAGAGGATGGCTTGGAGACGCGTCAAGCATCGTTCCTTATCTTGTTCGCGTGCATTTTCCAGGAGCACGTCATGAGCAGCTTCCGCTACGACTCGCATCCAATGGCCATGCTCATCAGCGGTGAGGCAAGCCTGTTCCTGAATCTTGCCAGATCAGCGCACACTCATGCGCGCGTCGCCCCTGTCGATAGGCTTTGCGGCGCTTGGCGCTTTTGCACCCGAGGCGAACCCCTCTTTGCAGGGTCAAAATTTATACTCGAATGCTGCCAAGGGCAACGTCGAGGCTCTGGCTCAGGTGAGACCGTCGACGAGTGCATGCCTGAGAAACACAGACTCATAACGTGACTCCCTCTCTCATCATGACTAGATGGACAAGCAGATCATGCGCCTGATTGGCAAGGCGCCTACGCTCGCCGCGGCCACGTACCGTAACCGCCAAGGCAGACCCTTCAATCGCCCTCCCACCGGGCTGTCCTACTCTGGCACCTTCTTGTACTGTCTGGACCAACTGAGCGAACACCAGTACAAGCCCAATGCCGTGCTGGAGAGAGCGCTCGACATTCTCTTCCTGCTCCACGCAGATCACGAGATGAATTGCAGCACCGCTACGATGGTTCATGTCGGCAGCAGTCTTGTCGATCCTTACTCCGCTGTTGCCGCTTCTTGTGCCGCTCTGTACGGACCTCTGCATGGTGGTGCCTCTGAAGCTGTTGTACGTCAGCTCATCGATATCAATGGGCCGGGTGAGTGTCTTCGCAGATGAGCAACGCATGGGCTGGGGCGCCCACCTCACCGAGACACGTCTTTTCGTCTTGCTGCGCAGAGAACGTACCCAAGTTCATCGAGCAAGTCAAACGCAAGGAACGCAACTTGGCGGGCTTCGGTCATCGCGTTTATCGCACTACCGACCCTCGATCGACCATCATCAGAGAAGTTGCTGAGCAAGTCTTCTCGGTCACGGGCCGTTCCAAGCTGCTGGACACTGCATTGGCTTTGAGAGACGCTGCGGAGAAGGATGACTACTTCAAGTCGCGCAACCTTCACGCCAACGTTGACTTCTTCTCGGGCATCATTTACCAGCAGGTGAGCTGCAGTGCCATCAAGCGTCCGTGACACCGCGTCACTGTGCTCATCACCCGAATCTGCTTCCCTTTCCCAGATGGGCTTCCCGCTCGATTTCTATCCTGTCCTCTTCGCAGTTCCCCGAGTGGTGGGCTGGCTTGCGCACTGGCGTCAAGCCATGCTCTCACCAAGCCAAAGAATTTGGCGACCCAAGCAGATCTACATCGGAGCGAGCGAGCGCGACTATGTGGACGTGAAGCAGCGTGAAGAGGCGAGGGAGCCCAAGTATGGAAGCGGACCCGTCTCTGTTGCGCACGGCGGCGATTCAAAGAGGCGTCATTTGGCCACTTACCTCGATGAGACTGGCAAGCTCCACGCTCGCAGCAAGTTGTAAAAGTACTCTCGAACCACCGTTGCGCGCTTGTACTTTCCGCCTTCTCACCGCTCAAGCCCATTTCAGTGCGTGCGTGGTCATTCTCCCTAGTCTCTGCGCTTCTTGATTGAGCTTTTGTGTGCTCGTCCGTCCGAATCTCATTCACCGCCATGGTTGCGTGCATGCTCCCTGTCAACACCCCACCCAGCAGTTGATGATGGTTGCCGACCGAGCGGAAGTGACCTCTTCAACCTTCTTGCCCTACGCTGAAACGCATCAGCGTCATGCAAGGGAGCAACCACACCATGTGCATCGATCAGCTCCTTCCCCCTGGGCCCTGAAAACGCATCGAAGGTGGAGGGAGATGCGCCGCGGAATCGACGGCACATATATGCTGCTGCAACTCCGCATCGCAGTTGCTGATGTCTTTCACGCGGCGCGATGAGGGGGCAGCACGCACATGCAGCAGCCACGAGCGTGTGAGTGTTCAACACTCTTGAAGTGCCGCGCGGCCGGTCCGCTGGGCTTCCGGTCCGGCTATATACCATCAGCAGCAGCTTGCGCAGCCGCCGCGCTGCATGACAATCACCATGCACGCAGCAATGAATCACGAATCATGAGAATCATCATCAGCAGCAGCAGCAGTCGTGACTCGTGAGTTGGCTGATGGGCTACAGCAGATTGAAACGCTCAGCAGCAGCATGCAATTGCATCGATGGATGCGCCAGTCAATTGTGATTTTTGTGAACTCATGCGAGAGCCCCGCACTTGTTTTTATGGCGAGCGAGCGAGCGATGGTGCGAGGAATCAAAAAAGTTGGCGGCTGCGAGTCGAGTGCAGTCACGAGTGTGAGTGCTCGACGATCGCGTCGGAGTTATCAAGTGCATACATCATCAGCGTATGGACGAACATGTGGGTTCGTGAGTGTCGAGTCCGTGCAACCTTTGAGCGTGAATCTTGAATCATCATCGTCCTCAGCAAAAGCCTATGTGAAGACTTGCTTCTGCCCCTCACCAACACGTCTTGACGCATCGCCAAGCTCAGACTGTATACCACATCGCTGCTCCCCGTACGTCTTGCCCGACTCGAGCGAACTCGTCGGCTGGGACGCATCCCGCCGCGCGAAAGCGGATCCATCGAGGTGAAGTTGGATGCTATAAAGATTGTGTGCCGAAAGCTGTCTGCGCCATTCTCTTCTTCCGCCCTCCTACGAGGCAGTCCGATCACACACAAACATACACACTGTAGTCCTCAAGATGGTCGGTCGCACACTGGACCCGCCTTCGTCGCAGGCCGCCAAAACAGTAGCCAAAAAGTGCTCCGATCTGGCTGCGGCGCACGACAGCCACGCAGAGGAGATCGACGGCCTGCGTGCGACTGCCCTCGAACAGCTTCCGGACGCTATTGCTGAGGAGCTGCAGCTGGGCGATGATGCCAGGGAGGAGGTGCGTCGTTTTCTAAGCGATCGAGGTGAGTGGGGCGGCTACAGTCAAGGCCGAGGGTCAGCGCTGCTAGGAAGTGGTGGAGCTCAAGCCGATCCGATGCCTACTCTTTTGCTTTCTGCGCAGCGACTCTGTTCCGCTTCTTTCGTCGGGCCCGCTTCTCGCAGGAAGGCGCCCTCTCTCTGCTCACAGGATCGCTTCTTTGGCGGATACGAACAGACCTGCCAGCGTTGAATCTGTCTTCGCTGCATCCCATCTTCGTCGCCCCTCCTGCAGGAAGGCCGCCGCTGTTCTGGGCCAATACGCGCTTCAGGGACAGATACAGGAGACCATGCGGCGTCATCAATCTGCGCTCCCTGGAACGTGCCGACGTGGATGGTCTGAACGAGGTCCGGGAGTACATTGTTGCTTGCATGGAGTGCATTCGCAGGCAGCTCGCAGAGGACTATGCGCGCTACAGACAAGATCGAAAGGGCAAGGGGAACCGCAATGCGCTGCAAATCGCCAGAAATCAGCAGGAAATTGATGATGGACTTGCGGTTCCTGAGGCCTTACCGCCACTTCAAATGGTCATCGCCATCTCCCTCAAATCGAGTGGCATTGCAAATTTGGAGATGGAGCTGCTGCCCTTCCTGTTGGACCTGCTCAAGAATCATTTTCCTGGCATGGTCGGCGCGATCTACATGATGCACTATGGCTGGGTGCACAGCGGCATGTGGGGCCTTGCCAAGCGAGTCCTTCCGAAAGAAGCCCTCGCTCGCATCTTCTTTCCCAGCAACGCCGAAATGGCAGCTGAGCATTTCGAGCCAGACCACCTCTTGACCGAATGGGGAGGAGATTGGGATGTGAAAATGACGGACGAGACGAACGACATTATGATCAGGCATGCTCGACCAGCACGTTCGGGCAGGCAGAGTCAGCCTTCCAGCTTGCCGGGTAGCCCCACCGAGAAAGATCAAAGCGCAAGGCCGACTTTGAGTCGCACTGGCAGCTTCGAAAGCGTGTTGGACGAGTATCACAGCTTTGCGCCTTCCGTGAGTCTGCCTGGACACGTGCGTCCCGCCCACGCTCTCTCTGACCAGTAGTAACTCGCTTCACTACAGCCCTGGGCTTCTCGCGTCGCAACGCCCAGAGCTTCAGCGCCTGCCACTCCCCGTGAGGATTGGAGCCACGATCACCCCTTTCCCTCCGCCTCGGCTGCTGCTGGAAGTGGTAGTCCGGTGATCCGCTCTTTGCAGCTCACCCCGGTGGCTGCCCGCAAGCTTCATCACCTTCAAATGACTCGGGGCGTCCCTGACGAAGACAGCTCTGCAACACCCAGAGCTCGCAAGCGCGCCACGTCCGACCCACGAAAAGGCGGCCCCGCTGACCAAAGGCAGTCATCATCAGCAAGCGCTTCGGGTGCGGCGACGCCGTCACAATCTGCTACCCGCAGCCCCACTCATCGCCGGCCACGCGTGCGATCCACTGCCAGTGTGACCCCTGGTATGGGCGCAGCGGCATCGGCAATGACTGGTCGCAGACGTGACCGCAATGTCCACTTTCACGCCTCGCCGTCCATCTCTCCAGCTGTCACGAGGGACCACTCGCCTGTACGTCGCGTGGGCTCCTTGCGCGACTTTCGACTTTCTTTGCCGCAGCATGTACCCGGCACTGGGGTGGACCCTCTCCATGCGCGCCGCGGTGGCAGCGGTAGTGAAGGAGAAGACAGCGACCACAGCGCAGCCAGCGGCAAAGTAGGCGAGAAGCTCGGACGCGGTAGGAGACAGACTCCCACCCAGACTCGAAAGGACCCGTCTTCTTCGGCTCTTGGCTTCTTCGCTAGGTGGAGATCAGGTAGTCGCGGATCAGCGAGCACGTCGGGAGACCAAGAGAAGGCGTATAGAGAGTCTCTGCGAGCTCAACAAGCTGCTCAATCCCAGGTCACCAGTCCTGTGATCGACGAGACGGATGCTCGGGAGATGACCGAAGCGGAGAGGCATCAATCCCAAGAGATTGACACGCCACCGCAATCAGCCATCGACGAGGCCTTGCAGAACGAGCCCGGGTCACCTCGATTGCAAGTGCCTTTCATCGAAGAGCCGCCGCTGAGCGCAGGTCTGAGTGGACCAGCACGTTACTTGTCGCGGCGTTCTCGAAGAGCCCAAAATTTGCCAGGTCACGTCTCGCCATACAATGCCAGCAACCCGTTCTGGGGCTACCCAGCATACACTTCCAGCAGTGGGGATGGCGAAGACTCCCGCTTCAGCTTGCACCAGATGCACCCGCAGCACATGCATGTCCGTCGAAGAAAACGAGACCTTCTGCGGACACTTTCGTACCTCTTCGTCCTTCGACTGCTATCAAGCCATCGCTCGATACGCGCACAAATCATCTATCTATGGCGAAGCTTTGCGCGAGCTGTCAGTGTTGGAGGAGATGCGGACGGCGACGGAGGAGACAAGCGATGGCGGGAAGCCGAGGATCGCTACAAGCGCCTACGCAGCGCTAGCCGTCACGGCGAAGCGCAACAGCTCGCGAGGCAGGAACGAGCGCGTCTGGAGGCTGAACGGAAACGATTGCAGGGGCAGCCTCTGGCGAGGTTAGGTATCCAGCGCCGGTACCTTGTCTTCATCTTGCTGCTTGCGCTCCTTCGCCAGGATATTCGAGCAAGAACGCTCAACGGAGTCAAGGGTACGACGGAAAGCGTCAAAGGCTTCTTGGCTGTGACTGCTGGTCGAGTTGTGCTCGGGCTTCAAGCTGGCGCGCATGCCGAGCCGGACACGGCAGCGGCTGCAGTGTCCTCTGCTACTTCCCTAACCGGTCTGCACCTTCGCCAGAGACTTGGACTAGGATCGCATTCTGAGCAGTCCTAGCGACGTGCAGTGCGGACGAGTGGGATGGACGCTAGGTCATGGGTGGATCAGCGGCTACGCGCAGTCATCATGTCTCTATACTCCTGATTCCATTTCGAATCGCCATTTGTATTGCCTATCAACTTCCACGCTGCGTTTATAGACCGCGTTTGACATAACCGCGAGCTGCTTGCGACCGTCAGCATTTGCGATTTGAGCGTGAGATTTGGCTTGTCTGGTGTGATCGAATATGGCATGCGAGATGGGTGTGCTTGGCTCAGGGGTTGAAGAATGATCGACGGCTGGACTTGGCAAACGCGTAGCCGTGGGTCGTCGCAGCCCCATCGAAATTCCTCTGCATCTCGCATGTCTTGGCCCTCTCCCTCATCGCTCTAAATGGCAACATGGCGCGTCGCAGCCGCAAAGTCATCGGAATTGACCCGGCGATCATGAAAAGTGCGGAGAGAAGAAGCGTTTGTGCCTGGCCATTCGTGATTGCGGCTGCTGACGTCTTCCGCGGCCTCGCGGTCCACGAGAGGACAGAGCAAGGATTTCCGTTCACGATTCACGATTGGCAAATCGTCGGTCGACTCTTCTTGAGCACTGCTGGTGACTGACTGCCTTCCCTGCGTTCTTTTCTGCTGGCTTGGGCGTCTCGCCTTCACTCCCATATTTCGTGCTCGAGGTGCCCTTGGGCATCCATCAGCTGGAGTGGAGCGAGGTTCGCACTTGACTCAGACTCACACCGTAGCAGATGCGTACATGTAAACTCACACGGACTCATGACTCCTGATTGGCTCACGACTACTCACAGAATACATGTATGGCACTGAATTGCACACCTGCCGTGTACTGTATACTGCCTCGCTTCAGCTCCCATCTGGCTTCAGCAATAACGGTACCGGTAGCGCACGCCGCGCGAGCATGTCGGCGGCCCAAGCATGCAGCAGCAGTCATATGCTGCGTGACGCGTCAATCTCGGCTTCGCTAGCCTCGAACGCGTTGCGTTGGACCGGCCGGAGGCCTGATGTGAGGTCGGCCAGTAGCGCTCGGCACTCACAGTGACTCATACGACGATTCAGGTTCGAGATTCAATTGATGAGAAGAGCGCGCTTGGTCTCGTTCTTCCATTCGTGATTCGAGCGAGCAAAGCGAACATGGCGCAACTCGATCGATCGAGGTCAAAGCGTGCAGCCGTGCGCAAGACTTTACCTGCCTGCGACGCATGCGCGATATTCGTAATTGTGATTGTTGTGAATGTGATTTTTGATTCTGATTCGATGGATCGGTCTGGTCTGGACGAGCAGTCACGAGTGCCGTCTCTCCTAGATAGCTATGCTGAATGACCATTCGTGATCCAAGCTAGATTGCGGTCGCATCTCGAGAGTTCGCGCACGGCAATTAAGCAGCTCATCAGGTCCGACCGATGGTCTGCCAAGCCTCCAAGTCTGCGCGCACATACCCTGGGCTCGGATCGCCAGCATATGCAAACAACTTGTCGGACTGCATGACGGCTGATGTGCATGCTGGGTCGTCCGTATGCGCGACGCGCAAGGCACAGCTAGGGGTTGCTCATTCAAAATGAAATCAAATTGGCGAGCAATGATAGAAGGCGTGTTGATGAATTGACACTTATGAGTCGTTCAGCAACACTTTTGACTCTCTGATGTATGACTCAGACTCTCTGGACTAAGCATTCGGTTTGACGGTAATTGAAAATGCTATATACCTGATTGACCTCGGCCGGCAAGTTCAAGACTTGCTGGCTTCAACTGCTACTTGACCGCGCCAAACCACTCATCAGACTGTCCTCGGGTCCGAGCGTTCGTGATTATAGCAGCCGAGCGCCCAACATCAAGAACGCGACTGACAGCCATGCAGCCACTCAAACTCTCATCAAGTGATCTGACCAGCCAGGAAGGAGCTCAAAGGATGGCAATGCAGCAAGGCGCAAGTCAACTTCAGTCATGTGTGCTGGATGCGGGCGAGGCGTCAGCTTCCTATACCGGCTCAATAAGTCACAATGAGTGCTGCGCTGCTGTTCGGACTTTGACTCCTGGCTGCGAGGTCTCGCGACTCTTACTGCAGGCAAAAGCGCAGCTTGCAGCAGGGCTTGCGCCAATGCATGCAAGGTCAAGCGCCTCCGCGACCCTTCGTGACTCATGCAGCGCGGTCGCGGTGAGTCAAGTCAGCACTCACACTGGCGTCACAGTGCGCTGATGCTGTGAATCTGTGAGCGTGAGCTGCAGCCCAACTCTGCGGATGTCTGCTTGCTCCTTGGCAGAAATGCTCGCGAGACTTAGCTCTCATCGTACCCGGCTGGGACCGCGTGCTGTTGAGCGGGGCTGAAGTCAAGCACATGGATGGTAGCGGCCAGGATCCGAAGGCACATGCACTAGAACGGTCTCAGAATCTCGCCGCATCGCATGAATGCAGACCGCGGCTGTCCTTCAGCCCCCCCCTCCCCCCCCCCCTCTTCCCATGGCCTATCTGCGGCAAAAGAGCAGCCTCGTACGTACGTACAAGCAACCAAGCAAGCAGCAGCAGCAGCTGCTGCTGCAGTCTCGCCGTTGACAGCCGCGAATGGCCAGCTTGGCGCATCGCTGCATTCTCTCCCCAAGCACCGATTGAGCATCTTCATTCTCCTCGTCCATCCACATTCTCGCTCGTCTCCTCAAATTCCCAGTTGTGTCTGCTCGAAGCTGTACTCTGCCGCCTCATTCTTCCACACATACACTCGCAGCAACTTCCACCCGCTCCATTACAGCGCCAAATCAGCACCCCTGCTTGACGCAGCCCACGCTCGCTCGGCTTTGCTCGCTCGCACCAGTTGCCAACGCACATCCATCCGCGTCCACCTTAAAGTCTACTGCGCTCCTCACCGACGTAGCGACTCTACCCCATTCCACATCCATCCCTCCCGACCCTGCCCTCGCCCTAGAAGGACGTCGCTTCAACCCTCACGCAATCTTGCAAATCTTTCGTCTTCAAATCACTCCCACACACACCCTCTCACAACTCTCGAGGCAATCCGGCTAGACCTCCTAGCTAGCACAGTAGCATACAGTCACATTTCGTGCACACGATTCTCACCAACAGCTTCTTCTCACACCAAACACCACTCGCAACCACATCACCATGAAGTTTACTCTTCTGCTTTCCCTCGCCGCCGTCGCGCTGAGCGCTTCCGAGGCTGTGGCCAAGCCCAACTCCGTTTACGACATGGACCGTCTCCCCAGCGGTATGATGCTCCCTCGTCGTAGCCGTCACCCCATCTCTGAAGAGCGTCGTCGCGCCATGGTCGACGCCTACTTTCAAGAGCACCCCTTGGAGAGGCGCGCATATGAAGACGATGCTGCCCCCATTCGTAAGCGCAAGGCTTGCAAGGCCAAGACTTCTAGCGCGAAGAACAAGGCTCACAAGTCCAAGGCCAAGTCTGCCTCCTCGAGCTCTTCGGCTGCATCCTCGGGCAAGGTCAAGGCCGCCGTCGGCGAGGACAAAGTGGCTGCCAAGACCAGCTCAAAGTCAAAGACCTCATCCTCTTCTGACAACAACGACAACGGTGGCGGTGACGACAGCAGCAACGACGCCAGTGGCGTCGTTGCCGGCATTGGCAAGGGTCTCATCGGCATGAAGTTCGCCGGCGCTTGCTCTTCGTCTGGCGCCACGAAGTCGGATCCCAACGGTAGCATTGATTTCCTCAACTGCGGAATCAGCAAGTCTAACCCGAACTCCAAGTGGAAGGCTCCCAAGGTCACTCTCAAGGATCTCAAAGTCATCAGCGCCGATCAAGCTGCCAACACCGCCGCGTTCAAGGCTTGCGCGAAGTACGAGGGCTCCTTCAAGTCCGCCGAAAAGTCTTCCGGTATTCCTGCCGTCGTGCTCATGAGTTTCGCTATGCAGGAATCCACTTGCAACCCGAGCGTCAAGGGTGGCAACGGCGAGATTGGCATGATGCAGCTTACCCCCGACAAGTGCGGCGGCAAGAACTGCTGGGACGTCACGACCAACATTGCCACTGGTGCGCACTACTTCAAGGACGAGATTGACAGACGTGGCGGCAACTTCCTTGCAGCGCTCGGCGCGTACAACGGTTGGCAAGACAACCAGATGAGCTATGCCAGCGCCACTTCTCAACAGTACGGATGCCACGCTCAAAACAACCTCGACTACCTGATGCAGATGCTCAACTACTGGTTCCAGGGCAAGATGGGCTACGAGTACAAGCACTACAACAACCTTGGATCCTGCTAAAGGGAATCGCGTCAATACGGGCTTGCCTATTGAACACTGCGGTTGATCCGCGGGTCTTCCAAATTCAGACTGCTCCTCGACATTCGCTCTCGGTGTTTCACATTCTCTAATAGTTTCTCTCCCCTCCAAGCACGCAAATGACACATTTGGCTGATCTTCATGTAGACCATCTCTGGCAAATGGAATGCATACGCGCTAGCCGCGGACCGGTCTCATGATGGTCGTCGATCGATTCATCTGGACGGTCCGCGCGTGTCGATACATCAAAAGTCGTCTGAATATTCTCGAGTGCGGATACCGGTCTGAAGCCTCAGAAAGCCCCGGTGATAGCACTGAGTCGAAAGGGGCATGTCTGCGAAAACTTGCAAAGTAGCATTCCCAGTCTACTTGATCGTACAAATACACTGTCCGACTCTCAACTCGTATAGCAACGAGACATTAAATGCCGTAAGAGCGAACGACGGAAAAGCTGAAAGAGAGTTTTTGGGAAGCGTTCATCAAGGTCGAAACTTCTGCTGTGCGGAGGTTGACGCTTGCGTAGTCGAGCAGATCAAGTCGATTGTGTTTGCCCAGCTGGGAAGGGTGCGCATGTAACGTCAGCCTCCTGACTGTTTACCGAGTCGGATGAATCTGACATCTGCGGTCTTCATCGAGCAGACTCACGCTGGTCTGTCGCAAAAGCAAAATGACTCGGAAACAGTACTTGTCCATAGACCTGTCCTTGAGATCCTCGATGATGACTTTGGGACCGGGCGGTCTTGCTTCTTCTTCATCGTCGGCTAATCCGTACGGCATGAGCTTCCAACGACCAATCGCGAATCCTTTGGAGCGAAGTCCAGGCTCCATACGACGAACCGTATCGGCTGGAACGTCTGTGGTGAGCAATGAAAGGGCTCGACCATCTGGCAAGAAGCGCAATGAGCGATAAAACTCCACAAGGTGCAAAACGTTGACCCATCTGTTCTCCGCGTTCAGCCCTTGCCTCGTATATCGACACGAGGCAATGTAGACGCCGTTCAGACGCAGGCGGGGTTGATGCACGAATACATCTCGCCAGTGTCGCCCACCGTGCATGTCGAGCAGGGAATCATGGTCAGTAGCTTCGGGCAGTTGAGGCGGAAAGTATGTCGCCTTGACGATATCTCTATCCGAAGCAGAGACGCGGTGTTCAGCGCATCGTCAGTGGAGCAGTACGCGGCCTTGATGGACTTACTTCCAGACGCCTTGCGAGAAGGTCAGGCGGCGTAACGTCGCGCTCGCGCGACCAAGCTGCTCGACGCTGGACCAGTCCGCTCCAGCCAGGACCACTCCAATACCACGTTTGCTTGGAGGCTCTCCAGATGGCACAGCCGGTATTCGAGCGCCTCTCTTACCACTTGGCGCCGCAAGTTGAGCAATGATGTGCAATAGCACCTCATCCGGCACACTGCATATATGAGAAGGTGCCTCCTCGTCCGCGGGAGTGAACCGCGCCCTGAGAGAAGGTTCGACCGCCTCGTCTTCCTCATCCTCATTCGGCGGAGCCAGCGCCAGCTTTTCCAGAAGTTCCGTTAACGGAACCGGCGAAGCTTTCGATGCGGATGGTGTTAGCGAGGCTGATGTCTGCAGCTGCGTTGTAGGGTTTGTCGAGTCGATCTTTCGGCCATGAGTCGTCAGTCCCCGTTTAGCTCGCTTCTGCGCAAAGGTAGGCGGCATTGTGGTGCTATCTGAGGGAGCCGCATCGGGTCTGGAGCTGATGGATGCTGAAGCGGCTCGCTCGTAGGACTTGACTGCATCCGACGTCGAGGTGTCCGCTGCAGATCGCACGGCATCCGACACTTCCTTGGTTTGAAGCAAAGCATCTGTTGGCTGCGCTATGCCATGCTCGTTCGCATCCTTGGAGAGCAAGACAACACCTCTCTGGAAGAAGCGGTCGACATCATCATGTAGCTTGAATGCTCTGCGGTAATGCTCAATAGCTGAAGGCGCGGCCAGTCGCAGGTAGATCATGTCAGAGTCGATGCTTTGTGACAGAGCCGCGAGTGTTATAGCGCTCACTCACCCTGCGAATTGTTGCCTCGCTTCTCTGCTGCCACCGCCTTCGCGTAAAGCTTGATACCTTGCTCGATACGCGCTTGACCATCCGGAGTGCTGAGATCCTGAGCATCCTGCTTGGCATGCTCAGCGGCGCGCTTAGCCCTCGCCGCAGCCAGATCGGGAGCTACGGGCTTCTGAGTGGCGATGGTATCTTCGACCTCATCTAGTTGCGCAGCAGGAGGTTCTCGCCGCCAGATTGTTGGTGCTTGGGCGGCTTCTGGCACACCCAGCAGGCCTGAAGCGAGGGATGGAGAATGTGGGCGGCTAGAGCTCCCCTCTTCGTCCTCCTCTTCGATCAAAGAGCGATCTAGCTCATCATGGTGAGACAAATTTGCAGCCACGCGTCCTTGGTCTGCGTCTGGGGCACATTGTGCTGCCTTGGCTGTTCTGCGAGCCTCCTTCGCAGGGAGAGCAGTGCTAAGCACCGCAGCTTCCGATTGTTCTGCTGCCTTTCCCAAAGGGATCTGCTTAGACAGACCATCTGGACTCGGCGAGCTCGCTGTTGCCTCGCTCTGACTGGCGCCTGCAGTTCTGCTCTGAACCTCTTTGCGCCACTGCTGCCTGAATGCTTCCAGCTCCGCGTTACCTTCCGTTGGCGCAATCGAGTGATCAGCAAGCTTTGATACTCCAGGCGTGACGGATCTGGAGATGTCCGTGGACGTTGCAGGCGTGACCCTCGCTGTGGACGGAGTGGAGAATCCGCTCTGACCCTGCTCCTCGCCTCTCTCACTCGGCTCGCTTGGCATCCTGATGGCGGAGAGAGATGCGCCTCCACGGGCCTTGGAATGTCGCAAGTATGGCGTTCTCCCACAGTTTGTGAGCCACTTGAAGCTGTGCAGCACAAATGGAGGTCAGAAACGTGGCTGAATCTCCTCCGCTAGCCACGTTTAGGCATGCTGGGTATGGGCAACTCTGACTCCACTCTGGACTTCGCATTGCATCAGGCAGATCACGTGGTTCGCGATCAGTACGCGCATGGCTTGTGCGCAAGAGTAGTGACGCAGGCTCCATCTTTGCATGCTTGGAACCATCAGCGTCAGCTAGACAGCTTCTTATTACGACCCCTCACCTACACAACCCACAGCTTGCACGGCTTGACGAGGTGCCAGACACAAGTACACATAATCCTTGCACACGATTCTTGATATCTCAATCCTGGATCTTGACCACGCTTGACGAGTCAGTGAGCAGGCATCTCGAACGAACACCTCGTGAGGGGATCCTTCTGGATTGCACCGTCTGTCAGGTGTATCCTTCAAGCCCGCCCTCTCTTCCCAAGAGGAGGTCTCCGCATCACTTTCCACCAAGATTGAATACTGGCATTCACTCCTCATCACCATCAAGGATCGCCGCGCAGATGAGCCTAGGATCTTCCTCCAGCTTCAAGCTGTCTGCACAGCTGGGCGGTCACAGCGGTGATGTCAGAGCGGTCGCTGCGTCTTCAAGCACGCCCATCAAGTTGCTCTCAGCTTCCAGGGATGGCTCAGCTCGGGTCTGGACACAAGGCTCCGGCGGACGCTTTGACGGAGAGCCTGCTGTCCTCACAGCGCACACTGGCTTTGTCAACTCGGCCGCATGGCTACGGACTGGATCGGGATGTGAGTGTCCTACGGGCCAGTCGACAAGAGCTGCAGTATGGTCAGACTGACACATGGTCCTTGCAAATCTCCAAAATGTACAGTGGTGGCCCTCACCGGCGGGCAAGACGGCATCATCAATGGCCACTCTTCAGATCCAGTCTCTGGCGAGATCAACAACGCTCCGGACTACATGCTACTTGGTCACCTCTCAAATGTATGCGCGCTCAATGTGTGGCAGGCAGAGAAAGATGAGGAAAGCTACCTTGTCAGCGGCGGCTGGGATCTGTGAGTATTTGAAAAGGGTCGCTTCCTCTGTCTGCCCTCTGACGCTGGTCATACCCCTCCCATGTTCTGCCTGGCAGCACTGCGAGGGTGTGGCGAGACTTCAAGCAAGCTGCAATTTTAGAGGGAGCTACGCAAGCGGTTTGGGCCGTACAGCCCATCGGTCCTTCACACGTACTCACTGCCAGCGCCGACAAAATCATTCGCTTGTACGCGTTGCCCGGGATAGCAGAAGACATCGACGATCCCGACAAGGCTCCATCAATAGAGCCTTGTGCAACTTTTGTCGGGCATGACGATGCTGTTAGAGCTCTAGTATCGCTGGACTCGAATCGCTTTGCTTCTGCAGGAAATGATGGGTCAGTGATTCGCATCCGAAAGCTTGGAGTGGCATCTAATGTCTGACGCTAAGTGTCTCGCCGTCTCTACAGCAACATAAACGTCTATGATTTGCCGGCACCATTGCCAGGAGGCAAACCCTTGTCGAAGCCTATCTCTCCTGTGGCGACACTCAGCGGGCACACATCGTTCATTTATTCGCTTAGCAAACTCCCGTCTGCCGAGATTTTGAGCTCCGGAGAAGACAGAAGTGTCCGAGTGTGGCAAGGTGCGTTCTGGACTCCAATTCGCGCCTGAGAGAGCGTGCTGAACCTAAATTCCATCTTCACACCGACATGCAGGAACAGAAGCTGCGCAGACAATAACTGTCCCAGCGATTAGTGTTTGGGCGGTGACTGCTCTGCCAAATGGAGACCTCGCTTGTGGAAGCTCTGATCACGTTGTGAGGGTATTCAGCCGCTCGTCCGAAAGGCAAGCGGACGCCGAAGCGCAACAAGTGAGTGCATCTGCGTCTTGAAGCGCTGAAATGGATCGTCATACTCATGTCCTCTGCTTTTGACAGGCCTATGACAGCACTATTGCTGGCCAAGCTTTGAACAAGACTCAGGTCGGAGATGTTGAAAAAGACTCTTTGCCGGGTTCGGAGGCCCTTACGACTCCAGGAAAGAAGGAAGGGGACGTGAAAATGATCAAAGCCGGCGCGCTCGTCGAAGCGCATCAATGGACCCAAGGGCAATGGGTCAAGATCGGAGAGGTAGTCGGCGGCGTCGGCTCGGGCACAAAGAAGCTGCACGAGGGCAAAGAATACGACTATGTCTTTGACGTGGATATCGCCGACGATGCGCCTCCCCTGAAATTACCTTACAATCTCACGGACAACCCTTTCATTGCAGCTCAGAAATTCTTGGAGCGTAACGAGCTGCCGATGTCCTATCTCGATCAAGTCGTCAAGTTCATCGAAAGCAACACAGAGGGGAAGACGCTGGGTCAAGGAGCATCAGAGTACGTTGACCCTTACACTGGCGCGTCGCGCTATCAAAGCAATGCCTCTGGCAACGCTGGTGCTTCTGGCCCTGGCGGCTACACAGCTGGCTCAAACGTCGACCCGTTCACACGGTCGGAGACTGTCAGCAAGCCTAAGACGTCGATCCTTCCACAGCGAGCGTACCTCGACTTCAAGAATTTGAACACTTCTGCAGTCAAAAGTAAGATCACTCAACTCTCGGACGGGCTGAAGGACCAAGGTGTGAGTGATGCCAAGGGTTCCTTTTGCGACGTAGCTCACATCACGCTGTCCCTCCGTCTTTCTACTGCAATAGTCTTTGTCAGCGCCTGAGCTGCAAACGATTGCCAAATTGCTAGACTCCCTGGCAAGCAGCGGCTCCGGAAGTGGGCCACTCGACTTGGGTGCATTGGAAGTCTTGCTGCAGCGCTGGCCTTCAGACTCGCTTCTGCCAGTTCTCGACACGTATCGCGCAGCTGTCTTGCGGCCCATCACAACGCCCCGCGAAACAGCTGCTCAAATTGTGCTGGACGCTGCTCGATGGAGCGAACCATGGCCTTCTGATGCTGCCCAGGCTAAAGCTCGCGACACAAATTCGATGCTGGCTCTGCGCGCGATTGCGAATTTGTGGGCCAATGCGACCAAAGAGGAGCGAGACCGACTTGCTGGCCGCGTTGAGACCGTGAGTATGAGCTCGAGCTTGTCCACGTGCAATGCACATGTTGACGGCTCAAGCGCCGTCATACTGCACAGGTCATCGGGCTATCGCGCAAGAGCAACACGTTCCCAAAGCTGTCCAAGAACGCTCGGGTGGCGTACGCCACGGTTGCACTGAAGTAAGTTCACGTTGTTTGCCGTGCCCTAGCCCGCGTTGCAACACCCCTAATGCTGCTTCTCACGTTTCTCTAAAAGCTACTCTGTATACCTCACGTCAAACCTGGGCTCGGTCGCCTGGGCCGGCGCGCTGCTAGATCTCCTGATCGATATTCTGTCGACAGAATCTGGTGAACCCGAGGTTGCTTTCCGGGCTCTTGTTGCGTTGGGCAATCTGGTGAGTGCGCCATTGTGAGACCAAAGATAGGGCACGGGACCCACGCGCTAAATCGCTTTCACAGCTCGTTTCGAAGTCGTCTGGTTCGCTACCTGTTGGCAAGACTGCCAGCGCCAAAGCTGCTGCGCAGAAGTGGCTCAATGCAACAGGCGACGACCGCGTCAAACAGGTCACACAGGAAGTGCTCGCCAAGACACCGTGACGAGCAACAGCATGCAATGCATTGTCCTAACCGTGCGTGGTGCTCAAGTAGTGAGAAATTGAGCAGAGATTCACATCTTCTCCGTGCTGCTGCTTGGCACACTTGAGAAACATAAAAGCGTGATGGGCCAGATAGCACTGTCGTGGGCTGAAGCGCCACTCAGCGCCAACAAATTTTGCCGGAAGAAGGCGAATTTGCGTACGAAGCGCTGACCAACAAGGCTCAACCTAACCCCGACGCCATGCTGTTCGCCGAGCACCTCGCCAATGAAGGTGTCTCGCAAGATATATCGCAGCCGGACCATGCAGAGCCTGATGTTCGTATGTCTAAGTCTGAAAGGGGCGCGCGGGCGCCCTGGTCCGGCTGGGAGAGTTCGACCTGTATCGCACTGTCTCACGTCCCTATTTGTGCTCGCTATCATCTTTCTAGCTTGCTTGATCTTGCCCTGGCTGCGTTTTCTGCCCTCATCCTTTGCTGTCGGAAGGTCAATGATATCGACACCAATCGCATGAGGAATGAGATGACGAGCAAGAAGTATTGAATGGCATACCGCGGGACGCTCATGCATCACTCCTCATGCTCCGTGCGAGCTGCAGACGCAGCATGGCCCGTGCTCCATCACCCTTTGGCACGCAAGCAAGCTGCGCATTCGTGACGGCAGGGGGGACAGCGGAGCAGCAGCGCGCGAGGAAACGACTCGCTAAAACCACTGACTGCCTGCTCCAGAAGGACCAACACCACACTCACACTCGCAAATTGCTGAACCACGCCATCATCCCCTCTCCAGACGCGTGTGCACGCTCTGCTACTTGACAAAGACGGCCTCGCTCGTCACCTCTGGAGCTCCGCAGGCAGAGTCTTCTTCTGCTCTTAATTCACGTGCACCTCACTGCTTCTGAAACAATGGCGACTGTTCAGCACATCTATCCTCCCAACCCGACCACCACGCGTGCCTCTTCCACGCCCATCGCTTGGGATGCGGTCGGCAAACGGCTGGTCTATCCGTGTGGTCGCTTGGTGGTCTTACGAGATCTGATCTCACCAACAAAGTCCAAGCTGTACGGCCAACACACCACAAACGTCACCGTCGCGAGGGTAAGCCCGAATGGCTACTATTGCGCAAGCGCAGATGCGGCCGGAAATGTTAGGGTGTGGGACCTGGCGGGCGAGGAGATGATCTTGAAGTTGGAAAAGAAGGCGCTGTCTGGGCCCATCAGAGATTTGGCTTGGGACGGTGAGAGCAAGAGGATCGCCGCGGTCGGAGAGGGCAAGGAAAGGTGAGCATGCGAAAGTACGCGCGGACGAGTGGCTTCGTATTCGGCGAATACAGAGCAAGGGCCTACTACGTCTGCGATGCAGATCACTGGCTCAGCTCCCATAGAGTCAGAAGGCCGAGCTGTGCTGCACATAAGCGCACAGTGTATGCTCTCTCTTCGTTATGGAGACACCTAACTCAAAACCGGGCCTATGGTGTTGCGCATAGATCTGACTATCACGCTGGCTTCGAAGCTGCTTCTTGCGCTTGGTCTCACACTTCCATCCCTTGACGCACAGCTTCGGCGCGTTCTTCCTCGCAGACTCGGGTTCCTCGTGTGGTGAGGTGACGGGACACAGCAAGGCGCTCAACTCTGTCGCGATCAAGCCACAACGACCCTTCAAGGCAGTCTTGGCTGGCGACGATAATGCCGTCGTCTTCTACGCCGGGGTCCCCTTCAAGGTGAGCCTCTTTGACTGAATTCTCACAGCAGTAGCTTTGAACAAGACGAGCGAAGGCGTTCCAATGTCTTGTTCAGTCGGTCTGAAAGGCTTGGAGTCAAGAGGAAGCTCACGTGCGCTTCTCTCCTTACTTTTCAGTACAACTCGACGCAATCCGTGCACACTCGCTTTGTGCAATCCGTCAGCTATGCGCCCACCGGCACATTTTACGTCAGCGCAGGCTCTGACGGAAAATTGCAGCTCTACGACGGAACGTCGGGCGAGCCCACCGCAGCTTTGACCGACAGCGCAGCAAACGCAGCTGGTCAAGCTCATGCCGGTACCATCTTCGCAACGAGCGTCTCTGCCGATGGTTCCCTCGTCGCTTCGGCAGGAGCAGACGCTATCGTCAAAGTGTGGGATGCAGCCACTCAGAAGCTCAAGCACGCTTTCGATTTGAAGAATGCGAGTGGCGGCGGTGCTAATGACCAGCTAGTCGGCGTCACTTTTGCGGACAAGGGCGAAGCTGTAGCGCTCGCTCTCGGGGGTGCTCTACACGTCTTGAGATACGACGAATCGCCCTCGTCAGCACCAAAGACGCTGCACGCTCCTACACGCGCCATAGGGACCGGGGCATTCGCTGTGGTTGATGGCGAGCTTCTGTCCGGTGAGCATGGCGCTCAATGGGCTAACAAGGGGATACATTGCAAGTGACGCAGAGCTGATCCATCGCATTCTTTCGTCTCAAAATCAGGGTCATTTGATGGTCGCATCGTCAGCACTTCTCTCGATGGTCGTGTCAAGCAGATCCAGGCGACGGGAGCTGCAGTGACTGGAATTGCAGCTGCTACCCCGAGCCTGGCTTGGGTGATTGGTATGGACGACACAGTCAGGAGGTATTCCAATGCCGCATTCGAGTGAGTGGCTTGCAATCGTGGTTGCGCGCCCGCACCTAGTCGCTTGGACTCCTAATCCCGCCGTCATGATCCGCTTGTGACGCGCACAGCTCGACAGCAGTCGGCACTTCTGGGCAAGCGCGATCCCTGGCCGGCTCCAGTTCTGTAGCTGTGGTAGCCACCTCGAACGGAGTGGACATTCTCAACGGATCGCCAGTGCAACGGCATCAGCAAAAGCTAGACTTTGATGCGACGGCTGTGGGCCTTTACTCGGACGGTCAAGTTGTAGCGATTGGCGGAGAGGACGGCAAAGTAAGATTGGGGTCCGTCGCGAATGGCGCATTCAAGCAGACCGCTTTGCTCGAGAATGGACGCAGAGGCGTGACGGCCTTGGCCTTCTCGCCGGATGGCTCCCTTCTGGCTGCAGGAGAAGCTGGCGGGCGCATCATGGTGTACGACGTGAAGGATGCCAAGGTAAGGAAGCACTGCGAGAGGACCCTTTGCACTCGTGAACACTTCACACTGATCATCACACATTGGTGATTTGACTTGCCTCGCATCGCTTTCCAGCTCAAGTTGAACCAGTGGACCAATCACACGGCTCGCATCAGTGCCATTGCGTTCTCGCAAGATGGCAAGCGCGCCGTCTCTTCCAGCCTGGACACCAACGTCATCGTCTGGAGCGTCGACAATCCTTTCAAGCACGTCGCAATCAAGAATGCGCATGCAGGCGGGGCAAATGGTGCCGTATGGCTCGACGCTTCCACGGTCGCGAGTGCGGGAGCGGACGGCAGCATTAGAAGTGTGAGTGCTGCCGCTGAGTCGGTTTGGATTCGCGTGTCCGCAGCTCACACGGCCAGTCTCGTCCGTGCCGCTTGCAGTTCAAAATCCCTCCTGCGCAATCCTGAAGCAGTTTCGCATTGCGCAATGGGCAGCGAGGCGTTGGACAATGGAGAGGAGAAAATTGCATGTCATTGTCACTTGTCCCGTCATTGTCCGAAGGGTATAATGAGTAGCGGCAGGAGAAGAACTTCTCGCCATGAGTGCGGGTGATGACTTGAGCCACTTGCGAAATCCAGAAGTGAGGCAGTGAAAGACTAGAGCAGGGCAAGGGCGTGGAAAGATTTCTTGGAAGCGGAGCGCGGAGAAGATGACCCGAGCACGCGATTCTAGCATATAACGCATTTCTCATCATCCTGGTCCATTTGAAAGCAAAGCCAGATGAGGTCAGCGCATTGCGCAAGAGAGAGAATCTGAGCGATCCTTCCTTCAAGGCTCACCTTTGCCTTCGTGGGAGCGAAGCCCATTTCCTGGAAGCTCTCGTACACCTTGACAGGGGCTTTGGACGGCGTACCACTGTTGGGTCCGGAAAGATCTTGAGGAGGTCCGGCGCTAGGTCTCCCGGCGGATGGTCTAGCTGACGAGCTGGGCTGTTGAGACGGGTAAGATGGTCTTTGCTGAGCGGGCAAAGGCGCATTGTTGCGGGGTGGAGTGGCAGTTGGCGCGTATGTCTCCGCCAGCGAGTAGCCCGAACCGTGCCTGCCTGGCTGATTCGTTGCAGGAGGCGGCGCAGCTCCCCCGTGCTGCTGTTGTTGTTGTTGGGGCAGACGACCTTGCTGCTGTGTCGGACCGCTCGGGATGCTTGGCACAGCAGCGGATTCGCTTTGTCGTCCAGCTCTTCGTCCGCGTCCTCCTGCTTGACTAATGGGTGCACCTGTAGTCTCCTCCACCATCCGCATGGTGCGCTTCCGCGAAAGATCGTGAGCAGCCTGTCTGCCTCCTCCTCCTCCTCCTCCGACCGCACCACCCGCTTCTCCCGATCTTCCGCTTGTATTACCTTGGGCGGCAACGCCTGCATTGTTGCCGCCTTGCGCTCTGCCACGGCCAGCTCGATCGGAGAGCATTTTGGCCTCGGTACGTTTGCGCACCAGCTTGGCATCGATCTGGGCTTCGTGCTCCACCCTAGAGAGCACAGCAGGTGCAGGGCCGTCGAGCGCTTCTATGCGCTCTTTGGCATCCGTGTTGCCCTGCGTAGCGGCCTGGTCGCGCAGAAGAACAAAGATTGTCAGTATGGCCAACGCTGCGATCCTGGCACAACGCAGCGCTTTGCGCTCACCCGCTTGTACCACTTTCTCGATTGATCCACATCCTTTTCACAGCCAACGCCGACTTCGTAGTAATATCCCAGAGCAAATTCTGCGCTGGCCAGACCTTTGCGAGCAGCCTTTTCGGCAAAGGTGAACGCCAAATCTTCGTTCTTGTCGAAGCAGCCATCAGCGCCGCACAAGAACCACTTGGACAGGGCCATGTCCGCCTCGATCTCGCCTCCCTGACTGGCCAAGGAGTAGTACTGCACGGACAAGAGCGGATCAAAGGGGCACTCCAGCTGAGCATACTCGTACGACCATCCAGCCTTGTACTGAGCTGGAGCAAAGTTGAGGTAGGCGGATCTCTCTACGCGCCTCCTAGCCTCTGACTGAAGAGTGGCTGGCGCGCGAGGATTGCGGGGATCCGGCGTCGGCTTCAGAAGGTGCTGAGGTATCTCCACGTGCGAGAATTCGCCTGGTGTCGCAGCGCATTGGTCAGCCCAGAAGCGATGCGATAGCGCACCGAGAGCAAGACCAACTCACCAGCGAGGAGCATGCCGTATATGTATGCTGGCTGAGGCGTGTCCAGATCTGCGGTGTCGGCTGCCTGTCGAAGCAGCGCAACGGCGCGAGTATGATCCACGGGCAGATTCAGCTGTCCTAGCAAATTAGCCATACCCATCCGATACACACATCCCGTATCAGATGCGTTGACACCCCTATTGTATGCATCCAGAGCTCGCTTGGCGTCATTCAAGACTTCGTAATCGCGACCGATGCGGAACCAGCTGGGTGCGTATCCCATCCTCGCCGAAAGCTCAAAGTCGTTGAAGGCGGATTTGAGATCTTTGCGTAGATATGTCGGGAATGCGCCACTGGCTTGCAAATCGCCTCTCAGGTACAGCGCTTCGACATCTGGAGGGTTGATGGACGCTCTCCTCATAATCTGCAGCAGGATAAATCGTATTCAGTGAATTTTTTTTCCCCTCTCCGGATTGAACGCGACCGCCTCACCAAAGAGATGGCTTCGTCCACATAGCGCACGAGCGCAGGGTCAGATATCCTCGTGCCATCGTGCTTTCTCTCGACGTACTTGACAACCTGTTTGGCCCACTGCAGCTTTTTGCGTTCATCGCCGCTCGCCATTGCGCGATCTCTGATGTTGCCTAGAGAGCCAAGATCTGGCAAAGGCGCATTCAGCACCTGGGGTGCGCCACCACCACCACCACCGCCCGGATTTTGTTGAGCAGATGATCCGTTATGACCTGCTCCTCCGCTAGCTTCGCTCGCGCTTGCTCTCCTGACTCCCGCCTCGTGGTGTCCCGCTCCCGGTCCCAAGCCTAGCTTGTCGAATCCGGGCACAGGATTGCTATTTCCACCGCCCAGACCTTGAGGCATGCTCTCAGAGTGAGACACGGAGAATGTTCTTGATCCGCCCTCAACATGCTGACCGGCCATGTGTGAGGGTAGAGCAGAAGGGGCTGGATAGCCACCAAAGGAAGGAGCGGCAGATGCGGGTCTGTGAATCGTCGACGGTTCTTGCAAGCTGTGATAACGTTGATGCTGAGAAGATGGCTGCAGGGCCGCACCGTACTGAGGCCGTTGAGCAGGACTGGGAGCCCGCATAGGTTGGGAAGGCGCAGCAAATCCTCCTACATGACGCTGTCCAAAGCTCTGCGCACCATTGCTGATGATTTGACCGGGGGCATAGCTAGCTCGATGAGCTTGAGGTTGGACGATGGAAGGCATAGGAGGTCCATATGCGCCAACACCGCCACCGCCTGCTGATGTTCTGCCTTGCTGTCGAAGCTGCTGCTCGCGTTGAAGCATGCCTGGCGGTTGAGGCGGTAATGGCGGCGGACCTTGACTATGACCATTGCTCTGATGAACTGGAGGATACGGTCCTGAGCTCTCTCCGAATCCCGTCGGTAAAGGCGGAAGCATGGGAGGGCGAGACATTGCGGCGGTGCCGTCTCTCGATGAGGCGTGGTGCTAGAGTTGTGGTATGTGTACTGCAGCAGTTTCGTGATTGCTCTACACGAGGTGACGGGGGTTCAGCTCGGAAGAGCGGAGCAGCGCAATGTGCAGAAATGCTCGCGAGCAGTAACTGGCGAGGAAGCAGGCGACAGCAGGAGTAGCAGAACGGCGCTGTCTGAATGGCTGCTTGAACACGCTGTCGATCCAGGTTGAGAAGGCGGACAGAGATTCGGTAGTGGAAGCTTTGGCAAGGAAGGTTGGTTTGGACTTAGATATGGAGGGGACAGAGAGGCGCGGACTTGGGGTACAGCTAACGTCGCCCTCATATGGATCACGAGGTTCCGATCACAGAACAGAGACAAGGGCAGGCGAGTGCCAGATCGAAGCCTCAAGTTTTCGAGGATGAGATCGATGCAGCGGCTAGCTCGGTCGCGGGCGGCAGCACAGCACCGCGTGCAGGACACCATGTGCGCTGTGCCATTCGTGCGGCGTGCGGCGTGTGCGGCGTGCGGCGTGCTCCCTGCTGCTGCTGCAGGCTGTGCTTGCTGCCTTTGCATCGCTCCGCCCAGCAGCATGCAGACAATCACGAATCTGAACAAAGCCTCTGCTGCATTGCTGCTGCTGTGATGCCGATGCGCGATGGGGGATGCATGATGCTAAACTGAATACATCAGGCGGTCACGGCGAGTCGTAAGTGCTGTATGGCTGTGATGTGTAGGCATCACTTGATACACGCGTACGCCCGCGCCGCGCGCTGCGCATCGCTGCTGTTTCGCCGCGCCGATGCTCCCTTCTTGGCGCAATCTGAACACCGCGGCGCGGCAAAGAGCATCAGCTAGCAAAGCGCTATGCGCGCAAATAAGCAGCCGTCATGGCAGACTTGATTGACTCGGACTGTCACGCCGCAACCACTGAACGCACACCTATATAGAGCTGATGAGTCCCATATACGAGGCATCAGGCACAGCATTCACCAGTCGCATTCGCATTCGCGTTCGCGTCTCCGTTCGTAATCTACGATTGCCCATATAGCTTGAGCTGTACAATCGGGACTCTGCATGACTCAAGACTCTTGATGGTAGAGTTGAGGCCGTTGAAACGTGGGACAGAATTGTGCCTCATAGAGGTGCTAGCAGTAGGTGCTGTGCAGTGCCCACAGCCGAAGCTTTATGCCTCGAGTGCGTGCGTGGCACAGCCTCCTCGCGCTGCTGGTCGGCCCATCAGCATCCAGCACGCGCATCCAAGCCAAGCTTCTCGATTCTTGCGGGTACCGTACTCTTGTGGTCAAGTGAGGTGTAACATACTATCAAATATGAATTATCATCATCAGAATCACCAATGTGATAAATAATACCACCGGTGTTTGCGCTGCTCATGCTTATAATTCCAGCTGCATGGGTGGACGCCAACCAGCAGAGTCAAGAGTCGTGTGCGTATCCCCATATGCAACGTCCACTCAAGGCTGCTCGATCGCGACAATCAGAATAGATGTTTGACTCGCGCCCTTGCTGTTGTCGTTGCATATAGCACAGCACAGCAAACTTCTTGAACAGGAAAGGTCCATTTCGTGATTCACATTCGTGAAGTTGTTCGTTCGTGACCCACGCGCGCGGCCAGCAGCGCCTCTGCACTCGTGACTCTGCTGACTGATGGGCGCGCGTCTATCTGCGTGTGCCTGCCTACCTGCCTGCCTCCGACAACATCCCCGCACGCACGATCTGCCCCGCGCTCAACGACCATCGAGCCAACCCAACCGACAAGCGTGACTGTGACTTGCATGGACGTCGTTGCCGCCTTTCTTCTTCTTCTTTTGATTCGATGATCCGCAGCTCAGCTGATCGCATCAGCATTCACTCACGCGGCTCGATCAACGTCATAAAGGGACGGCCAAGAGAGCCTACGCCAGGCGACCATCGCGCACTCGAATCCTGTGGAAATGTGCTGCCACGGATGCCGATTGAGTTGTCAGAGGGCGCGCGTTCAGCCCGCAGCATCATCGTCTTGAGCTGCAACCCGTGGTGACAGGGGGCAACACCTCGCTGTCTCCGCGCAGCATCAGGCAGCGACCGTACGCGTAATTTGAATGTGTTGGATCACGTGCAAACTAAGTTCGGGAAGCTCAATTTTTTGATTCTTTCCGCCTTCTAACGGTGTTTCTTGATTCAAAATTGTAAGCAAGGACCTCACCTTCTCGCTGCTTCGCTCGCACCTGCCCGTGCTCTGACATAAGCGTGTGGAAAGCTGACTCGCTCAGACCGGCAATGTTGACTCTTGACTGAACGTCAGCAAATCGATCGTCTCGGGTGCTTGATCCAGACGTTTGCCCATCCGCCACGTCCCTTCGTGTGGATCATGGGCGGCGATACGGTGGCGGTGGGGGCAGGAGAAGCGCAAGATGAAGTTGTGAACGTCGAGCAGCAGCAGCAGCAGCAGCAGCAGCAGCAAGTCGAAGTGGCAGGCGGAGCGAGGCAATGCCGAGCCCTTTTGCACTGGTTCCAATCCCAAAGCGGGGCGCAACTCCATCCTGCCGTGGAGGCAGCGTCATGCGTAGCAGCATCACACGGCAACGGTCTCTTTGCCAAGCACGACATCATCTCCAAAAACGCATCCATCTTGCGCGTACCCGTCGCTTTGTGCATTCATCCCAATGCTGCCCTCGATGGCATCGCAAAGCTGCTGAGCGTCAATGTGGAACAGGTCAAACGGGCCTTCCTCAAGCATCAGCTGGCTGCTCGAGACGCCATCGTGCTCTACGTAGCGCTGGCCGATCATTTGTGCAAGCTCAATCAGTCTCTCGATGAGTCGCCCAGTCAATCAACTTCCAGTAACAACTCTTGCCTTGTCAGCCCTACTTCCGACGCCGACGAGCACACTTCCAGACCCGCGCACAAGAGGATCGAGAGGGGAAAATGGCCTTCGAGCGATCACGATCCTTACATCCGTGCACTTCCCTCACACTTCCTCCTGCCGACGTTCTACACTCCTACCGAGCTGCACCTCTTCCACCACAGTCCCATCGAATCCCACGCGCTTCGGTGTTTGGAAAAGTATTCCACTTTGGCCGCGCGAGCATCAGCAGCTCTGCACGACCTCGACTTCGAATGGAGCGTCGGCAGCGATTTTGAGGAGTCGGGCTGCCTGCTCAATCGATGGAGATGGTCAGATGCTTGTTACACCAGTCGAGCTTTCCCTCCCAGACTCTTGAGCTTCCCCGACAAGTTTGGGCAAGACGAAGATGACGACGATGCTCCCGTGCTCATTCCCGTCTTGGATCTCCTCAATCATCAGCCCAAAGTACCAGTGACGTGGATTGCGGGTAGGCAAAGCGTCGCGCAAGACGGCGATGCTCCTCTTCATTCGTCTTTGTCTGACGAAGCACACCCACAGCGTTCTCCAGTTGCTGGAAATGGTACGCGCTCCGCACACGCTGAGCTTGCTGAACACTCTCACGACGGCCAAGGGTGGGCCTTTAGATGGCCGCCGGACGACGCCTACGTCGAGCTGGTCCTTCACGCAACCGTCGAAGCGGGCTCGGAAATCTTCAACAATTACGGTTACAAGAGCAGCGAAGTGAGTCTTTTCCTTCCTCTTCCCACGCTTTCTTGCACTTTGGCCCCCCCCCCCCCCCTCTTTTGCCTCCTACGCCCGTTCGTGCGCTCCTGCATCCATCTAACACCTTGTCCAAACCTCGCGTTGCGCATTCTGGCATGCAGGAATTTTTGGCATCGTACGGTTTCGTGAGCGAGTATCATGCGGTCTCGCTCCGGCTAGTCGCAGCAGACACAGAAGCTCTGTCTAGCATTGGTGGCGGCGAAGGCAGCGCTCGACCCGCGCTATCAGGCAAGACGCACTACTGGGATGGTCAAGCAGCTCCCGAATCCTTGCTGGCAGAGGTGCAAACGCAATGTTCGTACGAACTCGCTCGAGCGCATGCTCAGACCTCTCTGCAAGGTATGTTGCAGCGCCTCCAAGCTCAGCTCGGCATCGCAGCAGCAGAGGAGGAAGCGCACAGCATCCTCGTCCGTGGACACGCTCTGCACTTCGTCAAGACGCTCTTGGAGCATAGGTGCGAGAGGTTGCTAAAGCAGTGCAAGCGAATTTCGCGCGCGACTGGACTCACCATGTCGAGAGCGCATCAAGCTCAGAACGACTCGAGCGAGCTGACAGCTTTCAGCGCTTCGCCAGAATTGAGGCTGCCGGTCGCGTTGTTGGCTCGAGACTACACGATGGGCCAAGTTGATTGCTTCTTGCGGTGCTTGGACTGGGTCGAAAAGGAATTGTCTTCGCTCGCACACGCCGACATCATCCAAGAGTACCTTGACGCCCTCGAACCTGGTTCAGATGGTTCGACATAGCGTCCGGAATTTGAGCGAGACAGGCACTGCAAGCAAGGCGACCACGCGGATCAGATCGAGATCCATGGAAGCGGAAACGCGATTTCAATGGGCATAGAATCAAATCATGGAGCGAGTGATGTTACAAAGGAGCCTTCGAACTGAATCGAATCCCAAAAGTCAAGACGGAAAAGTCTGCAGGCAGCCGTGCAAAGAAGGTAATCGACCATACCGAGCTTCCATAGATGCAAAGAAAGGACGGGTGGCGCGGAAGGGGCGGCGGCAGGGAGGGACAGAAGACGTGGACAAGTATAGAAAGGTGACTCAAGAAACCCCCAAAAGAAGGACCGCGATGTTGAGCATGCGTCATGGACATTATTCTGCCTTAAAACTTTCTCTTGATGCCTGAGACCGATGGATTGACATCTTCGCCAGCGCTACCGCCGCTCGTTGCCACCGTGTCTTCGCTCGACGAGGTTGATGGGAGCAGACTGTCGTTGCTGGACTGCACAGCACTGCTGCTGATGGTCTCGCCGCTACTACCAGAAGACTCCTTGCCACCCTCTGCTGCGCGCTGCGATTTGAAGACTGGATTGACGTTCAGCGGTGGACGTTGAAGCGAGTCCCCTGCAGACGAGCGATGCGAAGGTGTCATGCCCGTGGGCTGGGTGTGACTATCACGACGACGGTGTCGCAACTCCTCGCGAAGCTTTTTGTTGGCATTCTTGAGCTGGTGGAGCTCGAAGACCCACGATGAGCTTCTGTAAGTGGACAGCTCGGCAAATACACTGCCTGCTCTGGGTTCGCCAGGTTTCAATGACGAGACAGCGTCACTCTCGGAGCTCGAATGCTTGGCGAGCGGAGCAATGTGTGCGCGAGGCTCCACACCTGCCAGTGAGAAAAGGTGATTGGGCACTAGCGAAGGCATTCTACCGTTCAGTCGTTGAGTGTGCACAAACACGGCAGGCTGCTGCTCCGCTACCTCCGCATCTCGAGCCGAAGGGTAGAAAGTGGACAAAACGTCGACCTTTGGACTCGAATGGCCATCGTTCATCGCGTGCGAGACAACTCCGCCATCGGAGCTCTGCAGAGCTGTGAGAATAGCCGAGTGTGCCTCCGGGTTGGTGAATCTTCGAATATGACGCCCGGTAAGCTGCGTGTCCTCGGCTTGCTGACCTAGAAGGTTAGAAATTGCTCCATTTGTTGTCAAGAAGAGGCCACTCTTCGAAACTTTTGACCAGACGCCAGGCGACTCGTGCCCAGGGGGGTCGAGACTTTTGCGCGCCATTTCCCATGGTAGATCGTACACTGGACGTGTACGGCCAGAGGAGATAACAACTTTGCGACCCTTGCCTTGCTCTAGATGGAGCTTGCCGGCGCTTTCTATCCAAGTGTGGCCTAGCGTTTTGTGCCTCATGCGCATCATCAAGTTGACCGAGGGACCGACTTGTCCTGCTCCACCTTTAGTCAGAGGGTTGACTGTGCCATCGGTGCGGGCGGAATGACGAGCAGCAGCAGCAATGCTTGCGTTGCTCGTGGAGTCCTTGAGCTCGCGGAAGACGGGCACTACATCCGACGGATGACAGAATTCGCTGATGCTCTTGCCGACCAGCTCTTCGGGCTTAAATCCAAGGATCCGCTCGACCGAGGGCGATACGTACAAGAACGTGCCCTTGAGCGACAAAACGTGAATGAGATCGTGCGAGTTTTCGAGTAGTAATGTAGCCCATTGCGATGTGTCCACGCTGCCGCTGCTGATGATGTCGGCGAGGTCCTTTGCCATCATCCTTTGTTGATTCGCCTTGACCACTGCCGGATCTTGCTGTGCGACGGCGCTGGCAGCAGCAGCAGCCAGAGTCTCGGCAGCATGCGTGTGTAGAGCGGTATGGTCGTCCAGTGGCTGGGAGCGAGTTGAATCTTGACGGTCACCGTTCGCATAATTCATGTGGTAAGTTCCATCGGCCTTGCGTTCGACGACAGCGCCAGGTGACTCGACGAGGTCGACCTGAAAGCCAATCAAGTACGTTGGAGGAGGCTCGCCATTGGGACCCACGTCGCCCCAGCTCAGGGGAACGATGGTCACCAGATTGATGAAGGGATGCCCATTCTTGCGATAGTTGATGAGTGTGGCCTGGCACTCTTGAAGATTATGGCATCGCTTCTTGAGATGGCGTGCAGCGCGACCGTCGGTATGTTGACGCTCTGATCCTGCTTCCACCATGCCGCCCGGGGCTTGAAGGAAGCGGCAGTTGCGACCCAAGACTTCTGCGCGCTCATAGCCGGTCAAATGCAGAAACGAGTCTGAGCAGTATAAGATGGGCTGATCTGGCATATTGGCGTCCGAAACGGTGAAAGAGCAAGACAGGTCGATGGGCCCGATCGTGATCTTTGGGTTGGGACGGTTGGCGATGCGGGTGAGCGCACCGATCAGATCAAAGCCAGTCGAAGCATACAAATTTGATTGTGTGCGCTTGTTCTCGATCACATCGCCGAAGTCGCCCGTGAATACTGGGTCGGAGTTGGAGCTCGGTGGCGATGGTTCCAATGCCATCCCGTTTGGCGACGGCGACTGCTGCTGGGACAACGAAGGTTGCATAAATTGCGACATGGAGCGTGCTGTAGCTTGCGCGGCTTCACGATGAAGACCCTCGTGTGGACCGAGACGCTTCTCAGCATCGCGCTTGGCGGCGTAGTTGCTGGCAGATGCGCTCGAATTCGAGCCGTTGGAAGACTTTGAAGCCGCAGCGGAGCGACGTCTCGAGAGACGACGGCGCTCCTGAATGGTCAGACTGGGACGTTCGGCTTTACCTTGACCTGTCGCGTTCTTCTGTGAAGGTGCCGTCATGCGCACCGCTTGGCTCAGAGGCACGCTTGGGGAGCTATGCATGCCAAATGCTGTGCGGCCAGGGCCACCGAGGCTTGTCTGAGAAGTCTGGAGCAAAGCAGGGAACCACTGCTTGAGCTGAGAAGAGTGATGTGCTGCAATTCTGGAGCGATAGTCTGTGGGCAAAGGCGCTACCTCGTTCATGGCCGTTGCAGGGTCGCGCTGGCTTGAGGCCACAGCAGCTGCGAGTGGCGCGGGGACAGTAGCCTCCATCGAAGGACCAGAAGGAATATGACGGCTGTGGTTGACGTCCTGGCTGCCAAAGGTTTGACCCTCAAAATTGGTGTCGTGACTGACGAAAGGCTGGATTCCGTGCGCAGATTCGGTCCACGGTGGCGCATTGTTTTGAGCAAAGGCGTTTGAAGCGAAATCACCGAAATCGGTGGAGGATCTGTGCAGAGGCGTACGCTGCGAAGGCGAGGCAAACATGGCCGCTGCAGTCATCTGAGCCCCTTGGATTCCTGCGTTGAAGCTTGTGGAGCGCTGCAAGTTCTCAGCAGCTGGAGGACCGTTGGCGGTGCTGCCGTCGCCCCAGGGTCGAGGGTCTTCGCCCATAGCGACGGGCGAATTGATGAAAGAGCCGAAGTCAAAGTTCTCCATGTTGGTTCGCGAAGGTGATGAGCAGACACGAGTAAGGACGAGAGCGAGGGGATGGATACCAAGTAAGTCGCAGTTGCGAAAGAAAAGAGTTGTGATCTAGTAGGATCGAGCGCTTGAAGTGGTGTAGCGAAGTCGGACACCTATGAGATTAGCGCAGGATTGTAGATCGTTGGAGGACAGGCAACCGAATGTGCGGTGAAAAGAGCCCTAGAGACCAAGATTCACAGGTGAGAAGCAATACAAGAGGGTTGTCGAAGTATTCCAGCGACTGCGGAAGAGACAGACGGACTCGACGGGGTGGATGCGACCTTAGCAAATCTAGTAATTTCGAAAAAAAGAAAAAGTAAGCAACCAAATGACGACGACGACAACGACGAGCTCGCAGTCCTGGCAGCGATAGAGACCACCCGACCTTGAAGCATGCTGGCGCATGGACCTGATGAAGCAAAGGGCGCGCGGGTGCAATGCACCACCGCCGCACCGCGCCATGCACGCAAGCAAATTCACCACCGCGCGTCATGACCGCGACCAGAGTGCGCATTTCACCACCGTCGACGATGCTTCCAACGAGCGATTTTGAATCCGTACTTGATATGTGCTTGTTCTCCGATGTCCGATGTACCACCATGCTGAACGTCGCCCAGATTCTGTGCCCAAATTTGACCTCTCAACAGCATAAACGCGCGCCGCGATGTTGCGGTGGCCTCGCGCAGCGCGGGCGCGCGGATTTCTCTGCGCGCAAGCCTGCGCCTGGCCCCGCGGTCCTTAAAGTCTGACATCTCTCGCGATCACCTATCCACATCCACCTCGTCCTGCCGTAACGTCTACCAACACTCACGGAAGGTTCCTTCGAAGCGAATAGTAAGCGTCCGCTGCTATATCCAGTGGCACGCGGTCGGGTGATGCGCGAAACTTTGGTTTGAGTTCCGCAGCAGATGCCCGACTCAAGGACTAGTTGAGGTACCAATTTGACCAGAGCGAAGCTGGCACGTATCTCTGCGTCGTGGCTTGTGGTATCTTGTATCAAGACGTTGAGATGATGTTGATGTTGATGTCAACGTTCTTCTGGGCTCGTGAAGACTCTTCGCTGATCGAATCGACCTCGAGTATCCGTCTGCTTCGACCTGTGTTCGAGGTCGAAAAAGGCGACGGCGAGGCACTCTAGATCCGATGAGGACGAAGAGGCGAGCACGAGAGCAAGCGATAGAGCGAGTTGACTGCCTTCGAAAAACGATTGCGGAGCGATATCGGCCGCAGACTGTAGTTTCTGAAGGGATTGTCGGGATCGTGGTGGGCGTGAGGGTGGGTGTCATCAGGCGCAACGCACGCAATCGGTTTCAGGAAATTTGGATGCATGTGGATCACACGCGCACGCAGCTACGCCGCGAGCACACGCGCGCGCTGAAGCCAATGGGCGATGACAGTCTTGAGTGTTAATTCAACACTTCAAATGTGGGTAGTAACTTTTGATTTGGGACTCAAATTCTCCCTTTACGTCAAGTTAAGCCTGGATGCAGCAGATAATAAATTAAACAAGGACCCTGCGTCCGGCAGCACACGCGCAGCCCTTGTTTCCGCAGTCATCGTGCATTTACCGATTACCGCCACCAGACCTGTGTTGTTGTGTGTCTTGCAGTTCGCACGGCGTGGACCCGTGGGGCCAATTTTGAATTTGCAGGAATGGAGCATTCACATTCAATTCTTGATTCAAGATTCACGATTCTTGATTAAAGATTCACATTCTTCACGCGCATCAGCTTGGCAAATTAATCAAGAATGGCGGGGCGCAGTCAGATGAGTGCTGGGTCATTTGTTCAAAATGTGAATTGTGATAAGGGAAATTCGATCGCGAATTGGCTTTGATGCGGGGCTGCTGATGTGCCTTGAGGGCTCGATCCCTCTATCGTTGGCGAAGTCAATTGGGCGACTGCTGGTTGACACGGGAATAATCACAATTAGAAAATCTCGGATGGCACAAGGCACATCTGCATGCCCGTCCCTGATGATGTCCGCCACCGACACAGATTCTGGATTGAGCGACATGATGGCACCACCAAGCCAAAAAATCTTGAATCCAATTAGCAACAATTTCAACCCGGATTCGAGTCAGAGTCAAGAGTAACATGCATGCTCTGACTGACTGACTGACTGACTGACTGACTGACTGACTGACTGGCTGACGCTTTTTGCTTGCTGACGCATGTTCTGGCTCAGGAAAAAAGCACAAATCCAAGCCGCACGCACTGAGCGAAGAGGGTCCAAACGATCAAGAATTGCTCACCGACTTCTGTTCTGTGCAGCCAGTCCGCCGTTCTACGTTCAATGCACTCTCGCCATCGCCATCACCATCACCATCACCATCACCATCACTTGTCATTTCAATTCTTTCGATTGTTGATTCCCTGATTCAAAACCGTACTCGAGACTCGTCGAGCTAGGCAGCCAGGCCTTCATCCATGTCACGTATCCCGCATCGCTCCTTCCATACCGATCGAGCTGACAGCCAAGACGCTCAATCAATCTTTGAATGGTGAATGGAGACTAACACAATGGTGAAGATCTTCATCTTGATTGCCACTACCATCCTCCGATCTGGGCTCCCAGAACGACGCTGGACGAGGACCGCGAATCGCTTGACGATCTCTTGGCTGTGATGAAGCTGCAATTCGAGGGACAAGACTCACGTGTATTCGTCGCCTTGATGCTTTCGTGAGCTTGGCGAGGACCTTGCACCAAATCGAATCGAGCACAACCACAATCGAATAAAAGAACTCCACCCAGCCGTTCAAATAGGCAACTAGAGCAGTGGTCATTCGCTCGCACAAGGTGTTTCACTTCGCCTGACTTTGCACCCTCGGGTTCCTTTGGCATGCGTAAGTCGAATGGCGATCAAAGCGACCGTGACAGCACTCTATGTCGCGCTGCTGCCATGAGAATCCTCACGCGGCGTTCGGCATGATCATGAGCAACTCATCGGCGTGTGTAGGTGATGCTTGATCCCAAGCACGTTGCGCCCGGTGCGAAGCCGGGGGAATCTTGAATGTTGTGAAGCACGTACGCTGGTCCGAACACAACAAACTCCTCGTCACGAGTCACGCGAGCCTCGGAAGAAGCCGGCTTAGCCTCTCGCTTGTGACTGCAGCCTCTCGATCGCAGTCGTGAGTGTTGCTCCTGTTGTGGGATCAAAACAGGCAGCTGTGTCCATCGAGACCGAGAGCGTTCGAGTCATGCCAGTTAGAGTCCGCAAGAGAGGTGGAGCGGTAGTCATCGTCCATTATTCATAGCAAAGTGCGCTGAAGCCTCTCAGACAGACAGCCTTCTCCGCAAAGCACATCAGTCAAGTCTCATCGGCTCGGCCAGTCTCGGTCGATTTGGGCTGCTGCTGTGTGACTCGTGACTCAAGACTCACACTGCTGAGCGCGCGCGCGTGTGTTGGGGGATCGCGGATTCGCGCTCATGTCGGACGCGCACCCGCGCGCAGTCAACCTGCCGCATGCACATGGTGCTTGCGCGAGCTGGTGCACCGTGCGAGTCATGGCGGCGGGCACGCGCACATGCATGCAGCTGAAATGGCCTGCACGCACCCGTCTCACGCAGCGCGGCGGGCGGCGGGAAGCACCGCGGCCGCGCGCAGAGGCAAGGATCAAGCAAGAGTCACGACGAGTTGAGTGTTGGCGCAACGTCTGCGCGCACAGGGCGCCACTGATGAGCGTGGAGGAAGGAGAAGACTCATCACGACTCACGACTGCAGCTGCGCTCTGATGACTCTTCATTCAGATTCAGGATTTGGGGCAGCAGCTTCTTTTTCTCCCTGCCTTTACGTCTCGACAACATCGTCGCATTCCTATCAGACTTCAACGTACCATCACAAAGCAAAAGTCCAACTCATCACCCACCCTTCAAGCTTGAGAAGCTCCTTTCAACATGTCGATCAACAAGATCCTCGCTCGTCAAGTAAGTAGCCATGACCGCTTGTTTGCGCCGCCTTAGCCTCATAAGAGACACTGAGCGCTTATTGTTACCTGCAATCACTCTACCCAGATTTTCGACTCTCGTGGTAACCCAACCGTCGAAGTCGACTTGTGGACCGCAAAGGGCCACTACCGCGCTGCTGTCCCCTCTGGCGCTTCCACCGGTATCCACGAGGCCCACGAGGCCCGGGATGGCGGCAAGGACTACATGGGCAAGGGTGCGTGTTTTACTCTTGTATCTTGATCATGGCGATTCACTCCTTCTCTGCGACGCTCGCTATGTTTGGCTGCTCACTGATTCTCTTGTCCTGCAGGTGTGCTCAAGGCTGTGGAGGCCGTGAACGGAGAGATTGCCAAGGCGCTCATCGACGCCAAGGTCTCCGTCACTGACCAAAAGGCCATCGACGACTTGCTCATCAAGCTCGACGGTACTCCTAACAAGGCTCGTCTCGGTGCCAACGCCATCCTCGGTGTCTCCATTGCTGCCGCGAAGGCCGGTGCAGGCGAGAAGGGTATCCCCTTCTACGAGCACCTCGCTGGTCTGTCCAACGTCGGCAAGCCTTACATTCTTCCTGCTCCGTGAGTGGCGCCGTTGTGTGCAGTGAGCAAAATCAAGACGTAGACTGACACCCACAAACAACGCCTGCAGCGCCATGAACGTCATCAACGGCGGCTCGCACGCTGGCAACAACCTGTGCGTGCTAGAACCTCTCTTTCCCTGGTGTGCGCCGAATTTCCATCTGACCCGCTTACCCTATTCGCTTACAGCGCTTTCCAAGAGTTCATGATTGTTCCCACCGGCGCGCAAACTTTCACGGAGGGTAAGTCTGCACATCTGCCGTTCGAGTACGCGCAGCAAGCCAGCTCACTTCGGATGGATGCTCTCGGCTGCAGCCATGAAGGTAGGCTCTGAGGTGTACCACAACTTGAAGTCTGTGATCAAGGCCAAGTACGGCCTTGACGCTACTCTTATCGGTGACGAAGGAGGCTACGCTCCACCGGTCAAGTCCGCCGACGAGGCCCTCGAATTGCTCGTCGAGGCCATCAAAAAGGCCGGCTACGAGGGCAAGGTTCACATCTCCCTCGATGTTGCTTCTTCTGAATTCTTCAAGGACGGCAAGTACGACCTCAACTTCAAGGACGAGAAGAACCCTAAGCTTGTGACTGGCCGCGAGCTGGCAGATATCTACATTGGCTACATCAAGAAGTACCCCATCGTAAGTGACTGAGGTGGATGCGCGAGCCTAAACGATGGCGACAATCTGTTGCTCACTTGGCCAACCTTGCGTTTCCCTAGGCCTCCATCGAGGACCCCTTCGACCAAGACGACTGGGAGTCTTGGAGCTACTTCCGCGCCAACTCGGGCATCACCGTCATTGGCGACGATCTCACAGGTGCGAGCTGTTCAAAGTCACCTTTCCGCTTCCTCTTAATGACCGAGATTTCCCGCCTCTGCCAGTCACCAACCCGCTCCGTATCAAGACCGCCATCGAAAAGAAGTCTTGCAATGGTCTCTTGCTGAAGGTGAGTTGAACTCTAGGCATCAAGGCTCCTGAGCCCAGACGCTGACTAGTTACGGCCGGTGTGTATCAGGTGAACCAAATCGGCACCATCTCCGAGTCCATCCAAGCCGCACAGCTGTCTCAGTCCGACAACTGGGCCGTCATGGTCTCCCACCGTTCCGGAGAGAGTGAGTCGAGTTCATGTCGTCTCGTGAGGCTAGATTTCGTCTCTCACATGCTTGACGCCCTCTTCGCAGCCGAGGACACCACCATCGCCTCTCTCTCTGTCGGCCTCGGCGTCGGCATCATCAAGGCTGGTGCACCTTGCCGCAGCGAGCGTGTTGCCAAGTTTGTGAGTAGGGCAATTGAAGTTCAAGAAGCGCATGATAGCTTCCACTGACCCCGCACGCCATCTCATGTGCTCAGAACGAGCTGCTGCGCATCGAGTCGCTCGAGCCTGAGGCTGTGTACGCCGGCATCAACGGCTTCACTCAGGGTGACAAGGCACCTCAGGTCATTGCCAACAAGAAGTGAGCTAGCTCCACCTTGTAGCTTTCTGATTTGTCGGATGCAGCTCGATCCTGCGGCACGAGATGAAAATTCTCAGACGACGGTCGAGCAATCGCTTGCGAGAAAATAGATGTCATGCCGAAAAGTAAATGGATTAGCGAAACGAAGGACCAAGAGCAACGTGGGAGGTTAGGGGCGCAGAGTGATTATTCGGTATGTGATGTGGTGTGTCAGAAGTACGCTGGGCCAGCAGCGGGAAAAGGAATCCTTCCGGCATAGGAGGCGGAGGTCGAAGAGGAGTGAGCGCTCTCCTGGATGGTGCTGAGACGGGTCTTCGGGCTGCGCTGCGAAGGGTAAAGAAGGTGATCCTTGATGGACCCGCTACGTGTCGCGCGTAGTGGAACAGGCTTTCGAAATTGCCGGGGTCCTTGAGGCTTGCTAGGTGCGCTCGGCAGCGAGAGGCGCGAGGGCTGAGCGAAAGAAGCTGGCGTCGTCGACGCTCGCAGAGAGTGGGGTCGGACAGCTTTGCGGGGCGGTTGAGCTGTGGGCACGAGCGGTGCAGGTAACGTGGAGAGAGGAGAAGAAGGCGAAATGCCCGTACGCGCACAGATCGCGCTATCTTGAGTGCCTTGCGACGCGACAGGATGGGCTGGAGCTGATTGCGATGACAGGGCGCACTGCTTGTCTGTATCGTCGTCACTAGGATCGGTAGCGCAGGCTTGTGGCGCTAATTGCTGTCGGCGAGCTTCCACTTCCAGCATGGGAGTGGCAGTGAAGCGCAAGTTGTGCGTGGAATCATAAATCTGCTGCGATCGCGCACGATCGAAGTCAGCTGCCTCGGGCAGCACGCTGATGGCATCCCTTGAGCATGCTACCAAAGAAGAGCATTCCGAGCTCTGATCTGCTACCAATCTAGCGCCTACACAACGCGCAGCTTCGTCGTTCTCCTGCTTTGCTTCTGGCGCACTGAACCACCATTGTAGGCCCTTGACAAAGATGTCGCTGATTCTTCGAGTCACGCCTTTCGGGTCTCGTTCAGGATGCGCACGGGTGCTGCAGGCAGGTCCGCTCTCAATGGAGTAATTTGATGGGCTCCGTGCGCCACAGACGACTCGCGCTTCTTCCTCTGGTCGAAGATACGACAAGATAGAGTTGACACTTTGCTTGCTCGCCGTCGTTCTTGGCGCATCCGATGGTGATCTCTGCAAGAACCATGGCACGTAAAGAATCGAGCTGGGAGTTGGCTGCTCTGCAGCTTTCGTCGCGCTTCGAGCGTCCAGAATCGACTCCCAGCTTTGATTAATCGCTGCGCTTGGTTGATGCGACTGATCTCGTCGCCAATACTGCCCACCCGCGTCTGCCAGCTCGCCTGGGCCACAAGTAGCGCTCCGCGAATTCTGCAATTGCGCTACAACATCTGGATGCAAGGGTGGAGTGATGCTGTGGTGGCCTCGCACACTGCCATCTCGATCATCCGCACGCTCCTCATACGCTGGAGACGGAGGTTCGTGCAGAGTGAATGGATAAGGCGTGATGCCGCTCTTCGGGTAAGCGTGATTCCTGCCGACGCCTTTGGTGGAGTGCGCCAGAACGATACAGGTGCCTGCGATCCACGCAAGGCAATACAAGCCCACAAAGACGAGGTAGAGGATCTGCTGATGGTGCAAATGCTTGATGTAGGAGCTAACAATGCCTCCAACCACGCCGTCGTTGTGGTCTTGCTGCGATCCAAGAGCGGCTTGCTTGATCGGTGCAACAAGCTCATCAGAGCGAGCATGACTGAGCTGGAGAATGTCGGGTGAAATTCGTTCGAACTCCACATGCGCATTGGTTTGCAGCCAGGTCAGAGCTTGCTCAATGCTCCTCAGCTTGGAAAGGAGGGCGCAATCGATAAAGCCCTGTACTGGTGTGTACAACGGTGTCGAAGCGAAAGAGTCCTGAGAATGAAACGCGATGCCCTGATCAGTTGCCCTCTTTCACGAGTCGCTCCACGCTTGAGACAGAGCTCACATTGAGTGCCCCGGCTATACCCTCAATCATCTCGTTGAGAGTATGATTCATGGTCGAGGTCGTCGCGTTGACCCAAGCAAATAAATTGTCATTCTGTTCGTACCAAGCAGTATGCGGTATCAGAGCCCGCTGACATGCAGTCGAGGCGGTAATCGAGCTGACTCACCAGACCATTCTGAGCTCCAATGATCATCTCGTTGCTGCGATTTGCGAAATCGTGACTTGCGTCCGTGAGGCCCCGATTGAGCTGAGCGAGCACTTTGTCTCCCATCGTGGTGAATGAACCGTCAATTTTCTGGTGTTTGTGAAAGGGCCCGACAACCGAAACGAACGTCCACGAGTCAGCTCCGTGTGACCTTAATTGTAGTGCTCAAAAACTCTCACCCCTTCGTAACGTTCCTGCACTCCCCGCAGCGCCAGGATCTGGAGCTGACTCGATGCCAAGCCGACAGTGCCGATGATCAGAGCTGCTACCGCAATAGGATGCGAGATCCACGCCAGCCACCATCTCAGACGAGCTTTAGCTTCGGAGGACCGTATCCCTAGCGGCTTAGCCAAACGAAAGGTCAGCAACGATAGCAAAGGATGAGACGAGAGTTGGAGAAGAGAAAATAAAGACGGCGTCGACAGCACGCCTCGGTATCGCGCTGCGGCTTCAGGAGAGCCTGTCAGGGTGGACGTCTTCGAATCTCTGTTTGTGCTGCCAGACATCGTCGAAGGAAAGCCGTCTGCCGCAATCCAAGCATCTCGAGTATTCTCAACGTGTCGTCGCAGGGATCGCCAAGACCACCATTCCATGGCCATTGTCAGCAATGCAAATGCCAGCGCAATGAAGGCGATAATCGCTGTCGCCCAATAAGCGAGTTTGCGAAGGTCATGAGCCAGATCGTCGAGCGGCTGCATGTCGATGTCCGCGCAGAAGGAAGCGATGCGAGCCTCAGGCAGTGGCATTAGGGACCTGTCAAATTGAAAAGCAGACACCGCTGAAATTCACGACAGTACACGGATGCGTTCAGCATTGCGCACAAGGCAAGTCTTAACGCGCTATAAATGACGCACTGGTGTTCACTTCAGCTCTAAGCTGCTCAAAAGGCCCAGAGATCATCCCGTCGACTTTCGCTCTCAGCTCCGACAGCGTGGGCAGACTACTGTTCAGTCTACGCAATCCTTCATCGAAGGAAGTAGGCAGGCTGACATTGTCAAGGGCGCTGTGGAACAAATCTTGCTGATCAGCTTGTGCTGCCCGTCAGTCAGCCCGAATACCAATCGCATTCGACTCACGCAAGATCAGGCGGCTGAATGGTCGGCACGTTGACATGTTGTCCGAACACCCCAATGACATCGTTGATCCCGCCGAGCGTGGCACTAAGAAAAGAGTTGACTCCGGAGACTGATGACTGGAGCGCATCCTTCAGACCGCCTGCTATCGCGTGCACACCTTCATTGAGCGCTGTGATGGCAGCGATGAGCAAGCTCAAGGAGCCACGCACTAGCAGCTCGATGAAGCAAAGGAAAAGGGAGCGATAGGAATCTACGAGAAAGACTAGCAGCCGTTCAATGGCAGTCAAGCTGAGCACACCATGAATAGAGGTCAGATCAACATGTATGCCAGAGTGGATCGCGCATGACGGACCAAACTCACGAAAGATCAAGCACGCGACCAACGCCTCGTACTGTCGCTTCGATGGACTCTGCGGTCTGGGCATTGGCTCGATCGGCCAGATATCTTGGCAAGCTCATCGCGGCGCTTGCTGAGCCCTCTGCACTTGCGCATGCAGAAGTCAACCTCTGCTTAGCAGCGTTGACCTTATCATCCACATCGTCCGTTCCCATCAGAATCGTTGCGCCAACAAAGATGAGGGCCAACAGACTTGGCGATAGTAAAGAGAGGAAGAGCCGTGCTCGAAGTCCCAGCCATGGTTTCAGTGGGCCATTCGTGCTGGGCAGCACGGTCGGAGCTGGAGTGGGAGGCGGCTGAGTTGGCCAGCCACCAGCTGCATTGGAAGGGGGCAAAGAAGGCGAGTGGACGTGGTCTGGATATGAAGGAGGAGGTGCCCTGGATGACACTGCTGCTGGATCCTCCCGCAGCTCGTCTGGTGTGCGGCTCCACCTCGCAGCTGGCAGCACCAGTGGTCGCATCGAGAGCACGATATTGCCAGATGAACTGCGGAGCTGAGTGCCAGAATATCTTGACCGAGCTGCTTGACGAAGTGCGGATTGAGGATGGCGACGCTGTGAAAGGAGGTTTGTGTGTGAGTCGCGAACGGTTCAGGTCTAGGGGGTCTGAGCGATGTGGTGTAAGGTTGAGGGCAATCGACGTCAGCAAGATCCTAAAGGAGCTAGACGAGTTCATCATGTGTCGAAGTCATCCTTCAGCGGCACCTTCACGCCATTTGTACTGGTCAGTGCTTTGGGCGAGGAGTGGGACAAGGGGAGGCAGCTGCCCTTCCAGTCTGAGTGCGCTGCGCCCAGGCAACGACCTCGCCTTACCAGAACGCGACCAGCTACCATGGCGGACCAGTCTAGCTGCGAGGGGCTCATAGAGAGAGAGAGTCTCGCACGCCCAGCGTTGAATCCGCTGTACGCTAGCTTGTCCCAGAGATATTCAAGTCGAAGCTTCTACATTTGCAGCGATGATGATGGATGCTTTGGACAGAGGAGCGAGTCGCCGCGCACGCGCACGCGCACGCGCGCCCTCCGCTCTTTTGTCCTCTTGCGCGCGGCTCGCCGGGGCGCAGCTCCGCCCTGCAAAAGAGTCACGAGTCTGATGGTTGGTCGTGAGGATTTGTGCTGTGTGGTATTCGAAGAGCCATACCCACGGCATCCGCACCGGCATCCATCGCTGGATCTATGTACAGGCCTGTCATACTGTTCTATCATCCTCGAGTGCTGAGTGCGATCAGCAGAAAATGTAGTCGTTAGTGGCGATTTTCGCAGTGTGATGAAGACTTGTTTGATCGGGCAAGCAACCGACGGGAATTCATCAAGCATCACGCGTCTACGACGGTCCCACAGCTGGCCACGAGTGCTCGACCTTGGCAGGCGTGGGGCAGCTATGCCATTCACTCTATTCAGCTTCTGAGCAGGCCAATCACTCAAAATCCTTGGCGTCTTTCTTGATTGCAGAAGCGCTTGGCAGTACATCACATGAAAGCGATCACGCACCAAGCTGAGCACTTTGTCTCTCCACCAGACTACCGCGGTGGCCGCCATACGTGCGGTCCCGCGCGCCATCTTGCTGAGCCGCATCCTCATTGTCCGGGGTACCCCAACCACCCCCGCCCGGCGTGTGAATGACGATTCTGTCCAGCCTGCCCATCTTCGTTGTGGTCTGGTAGAGAGACAGATGGTTGAGCAGAAGAAGTTCATCAGCGCACAATCTCTTGGTGGCCAGCGCAGTCCCTGCGGCTGCTCACCTTGGCTCCAAGGTTGATGGTGCGGGGGCGCGTATTCTCTTCTTCGTCGTCTTCGATGACATCTCCGTCCGCTTGCCTTCTCTGCTTGATCCACAGGTTCTTACCACAAGCAGCAGACTGCCCACCTTCCAGTCCATACGGACGGTAGACGCGACGCTCGCTGAGGATGCTCACTTGCATGTCCGGCATCAAGAATTCAATGTCCCGAATGACACCTTCTCCTCCTCTATACTTTCCAGCACCGGCTGAGTCGTCCCTCAAAGCGAATTGCCTCAGGACGAGGGGATACCGGCGTTCCATGATCTCGGGGTCCGTGATGCGCGTGTTGGTCATGTGTGTGTGCACGCCGCTGGTTCCGTGCCAGTCTGGTCCAGCACCGCTTCCGCCAGCAATGGTCTCGTAGTACCCAAATCCTTCCACATGTGTACCATCAGGCTTCCTGCCTCCCAGACCGAAGGTGAGATTGTTGCAGTCTCCTTGACTTGCGGCAGCCGCTTTGAACGCTTTCAAGACGACGTCCGTGATGCGCTGGCTCGTCAACACATTACCTCCAACCACTGCAGCAGAGTCGCTGGGGTCTAGCAAGCTGCCCTTGGGGATCTTGACTTCGATGGGCTCGAGACATCCTTGATTGAGAGGAATGTCGTTGGACACCATGCTTCTCAGGCAGTAGATGATGGCGCTATGAGAGACTGTCCGAGGAAGCAATAGGTAAAGTAAGGATTCAGCATCGCAGGAATTCAATGCTCATAGACTTTGAGTGCTGCGCCTGACCTGATCGTGGACAATTGTGGTTGCCTTGCACCTCCGGACCGGTGCCCTCAAAGTCAAAGACTGCTGATCCCTTCTCCGTATCGATGGTAACGCGTAGCTCGATCGGCGAGCCTGTGTGCGAGCAGACGTACACTAAGCAGGGAATTCTGAAATCGTGCGATCAAGCAACTTACCGTCATCCATGTAATCTCTAGCCCAGAGCTCGGTGCCATTGCGCTTGGCAACGTCTCTCAAGAGATTTCGCACTGCGAGCGCTGCGTTGTCGCGGATCGCAGTCATGTACTGCGCCATCGAGGAGTTTGACATCAGGAGGCCTTCAAGCAACCAAGGGACCGGATGGACGCTCACCCTTTGCACAGTCTCTAGACTCCATTCATCTACCAGCATCTGAATGAGCTGCACTCCCTTTCGATTGGCAGCGATCTGTGCATGCAGGTCGCTCTCCACATCCCTAAAGCAGCGAGTGCCTGAGCAGCCTTCGTACTTGGCAGGCTCTTCGCTCATGAGCCTTACAAGCCCATCTCTATCATACTTGCCTTTGCGCACAAGCTTGAAAGACTTGATTTGTGCTCCCTCTTCAAACAACGTCTTGGATGTGGGCGGCATGGAGCCGGGCAGGATGCCACCGATATCTACATTGGGTGAGAGGGGCATGCAGCTCAGGTGTGCGCCTGTATCCTCTCTGTCGAGTGAAAGCCGCCCAGACTCACCAGCATGGTGCCCTCTGCTGGCAGTGAAGAAGATGAGATCCTTGCCTCGCTCTTCAAATACTGGTGTAATGCATGTAATGTCCGGCAAGTGGCTTCCACCAGCAGCAGGGTGATTCGCCAAAATCACATCCCCATCCTCGATAGGCTCTCCGCTTTTTGCCCTTTCGATCTGATAGCGCACCGCGAAGCTCATGGAGCCTTCACCAAGAATATGACGGATGTCAGCTACCGTGTATGCGCGATGTTTGGGGCTGTGGCCAAGTCGACTCACCAAGATGAACAGGCAGATGTGGGGCGTTGGCGACCAAGTCGCCATTGGGAGAGAATAGTGCGCAGCTAAAGTCGAGACGCTGAACGAGGAACAGAGATGGTATACGAGCGATCAGCGTGTGTTCCAGCAAGAGAGATACGAGGCAGCTCACCTCCTTGATGTTGGTCGAGATAGAAGTCTGCTGTAGCGATCTGCCCATCGTCTCGGCCACTGCCATGAAGCGAGCGGCAAACAGCTGCCGGGACGAAGGGATCAGCGTCAGCAGGGCGGCCGAGCGCAACTAGCACTCGCGTCTCTGCATTACTTGGACTCGCTCACCGCATAAACTCACGGAAAGGAGAATGGGATCTGCCTCTGTCTGTGACATTGCGGCGTCCCTGCGTTAGGTGGAAGGAGCGATGGCGTTGGCAAGGAGAGATTTGGCGGATGGAGCGTCGTGCAAGCTGTCAAAACAAAAGCGAGTGGCGCTGCTAATGCAGTCACTCCTCGAGATGTCGGATGCCGAGGATGATTGTGTCAATGCATCGGGCACGTTTGTGCATGTTGTCGATGGGGAAACCCTTTCTCCCATAATACGAGAAAGTCACGAGCATATCCAGGCTTCGAGTCACGAACTTGATTGAATGATCCGAGCGTTCGTGCATGCATGCAATCATCCACATGCAGCCACACAGCACGCATCGGGGCAATCGGTCGGTCACGGGGTCGCGGAATCTGCCTGCGCCAAGGTCATCAAGCCCCATGCAAAGCCTCAATCACCGGCGCGAATTCAAGATGACGCTGCGCCATCGTCCGACTTGCCTTCAAACTCACACGGACGAATTGCCTCGAAGCAGCAGGCGGTCTCGCAACGTGGAGTGGGCTAGCCTGTGACACGTTCAAATGGCTTCGTTGCGATGTGGCGTGACAGCCAAGAGGTGAGATTGTTGGCCAATGCGCGCGGAAGGGTATGTCATTGCGTAACAGTGCGGCACAATAATCTCTAGGAGGACGAGTCTCGTAATTTAGACGCGGATACGTGAAGCCTGCACTGCACGCCTCGAGGGTACAAGTGAGATCTTGTCCAGCCTTGTGACGTTGGCTTCCCTACCAGCTGAAGGCACTCAGAAGAATCCAAAACTCCACCCCCATGGTCTTCGGATCTGCAGCTTCAGCCCCTCCCTCTCTGCCAGCTTGACGACCAGATCCACATCCCAGTCCGACCTCGCGCTCAGATCCATCTCCCTCATCGCCCCTTGACCGATCTCATGCAGCGGTGGCGCAGGTCGAACGTCTCTCATCTCCCGAACTTTTGCCAGCACATCCTGGCGCACGCTTTGAGCCCACGATGACCACTCCTGAAATAGCGCGTCAGCGAGCCGAGCTTGAGCAGGGTGACCGTCCTGAAGTGTACCGCTCCGGGACTCGCTCTGCGCGCTGAAAATGTCGCCTACGTTGACGACAGATCGCCGTCGTCGCGATGCGAGGCTACCGCCTGCCGCTGCAATTAGTGGATCTTCATCCTCCTGGAAGGCTCTGCTACTGCTCGATCTGCTGGAGCCGGAGCGGTCGCGACCCGCGTTCCTTGCTCTGAGACCGGACGAAGCAGACGAGTCCGCTTGAGTGCTGGTCGAGAGGCTCTTGTGCGCACGCGTCGCCGCTGGAGCCGCATGTTCGGCTGAGCCTGTAGTATCTGAGCCGCTCGAGTCGCTGTGCTGCGCATCATCGTCTTCTAGCAGCATCACGCTCCCGATTGCGCCTCCATCGCTCCGGACGTTGGTGGGGACCCAGCCATATGCAGGTGTACCGTAAGCGGAGCCCGCACCGAGAAGTGGGAACCACAGCCATCCCGCAAGACAGTACCTGATGAGGGCGACGATCAGACTTGCGCGGCTCGCATCTGCGGGTGCTGCCACCTGCCTGTTGGAGGTTTGGGCCAACTGACCGCGCAAGCCTGCCTCTCCTCGTCGATCTTCTGAAGGGCGTCGCCTCTTCTTTCGCGCACGCAGTATGCTTGCATCTTCCATGTTCCTCCAAATCGCAAATTCTGCCGCTCCCCAGACCGCTTTCCTGAGTCTGAAGTTGGGTACTGTCCGCCCGGCCGCTGGTGGTAGCTTCGCTGTCAATTGCAACGTCGGCAAGTTGCTAGATGCTTCTGAGCCCGTAGCCAAAGGTCTCAAGTCCAGTATGGTGTCAAAAAGCTGCGGCTTTTCGAGAAAGAGAGCATCCGGCGTGACTGCGATCCATCCTCCTTCTCTGCTTTGCTCGGTCATGAGCTTGCCCAAGTCTGGAAGTGCGAGCAGTCCGCGAGCCAGGGGAAAAGCACCAGCTGCATGAGCCAGCTCGGCGAGAGCGGAATGAAGAGTGAGCGCTCTGGAAGACGGCACACCTGCAGGAGAGAAGATTAAGAGCCGATGGTGCGGCGTCAAGCACCTCTTTAGAAGGATGGGTAGGAGAGGTCCGAGGGCGGATGACAGCGAAGGTAGCGAGAGCAGACTATCATTCGGGGAGCGCAGTCGTTGCGCATCGCCTGCCGCCTTCCTATCCTCCGAGTCTGCTGACGTGCCCGGCTCGCTCTGCGCCAGATTTGTCTGCCACTCTCGAAGCGCCGCAGTGTCGTTGGGCGTATATGAGAGGCGTTCAGCAAGTTCGGTAAGCGCTGCGGTATGCAGCGTCGAGGCAAAGTGATGCGATGCCGGCGTCGAGTCCGCACAAGCCAGGACAGCACCAACAGTGATGACCCTATTGCCCCGTGCTTCCGCACCCTCTTCTCCTGCTGTACTCCGGCTCCTCACGACGGCAGCAACTACACTGCGTTCATCCTCATTTTCGGTTAGGAAAGATATGACGTCTGGATGCTCGAGCGCGTGAGAGCCGGAGGGAAGAGACCTCCATTCGAGGTTTGGAGCTGGCAAAGGATGGGCAAAGACGATGGTCGGACCTTTGCGCTCGTGAAACTCTGCCAAGAAGACCTGCCGGACATTGCGCGGTGCGGAGACCTGCAACGCAGATGACGATGATGTGCTGGGAGCGAGATCGAGGTCCGTCATGGTGAAGTGAGGTGCACGCCGATTAGCTCAGAGAGCCGGTGAGCTGTCGATCTTCCTGAAGATACAAGCACATGTATGGTGCAGATACAGCCACTGACCTTAGCTCTGCGGGCAACTCGATGGAAAAGGTTGTAGCCGTGATGATTGGGCGAGGGCATGCCCATCCAATCGGGGACCTCCTAGCTGCAATCGTGAATCCTGACAAGAGCGAGCGCATCACCACCTTCATCACGAATCTAATCGCTGCGCGCGCATGCATGCAACGCACAGCATGATTTGTCGGACGAGAAGAGGAGGCAATCGCAGCTGATGGCTCCAAACGTCTTGGCCGCTACCGATGCCTGCTGTGGAGCTTCTCCACATGCGTCGCGAGTCAAAAGTGCATACAATTATGAATGTGCATTCAAATTTAGCCAGCCATTTGGGAGCGGCGCGAGGCATTTCAATTTACGCTTTATGTATGTTTGGATTCAATCACGAATTGCCGCATCAGCGCGGATATGAGCGACTTCGGCCGCTTTCTTCTCGCGAAGCTGATGCATGAGACGAGCCCATAGCATGCAGTCGTGAGTGAGTTGAGTGGAGTCGGCTCCCAGAAGAGTGAGTCGTGAGTCGTGAGTCGTGAGTCTTGAGGCTTGAGTGAGCTGTCCTTGTTGGTGAGTAGTCAAAAGTGTGATGGACGAGATGCGACATTCAGATTCATGATTTCAAAGATGAATGTGAATCTCAAATCGTGATTGCACTCAGACTCCATCATCCCATAGCCATCAATCACGAATCTGAACGAAGTAGGAGCGACAACCAGCAGTCGAGGCGCAGGAAACATTAGCAGCCACGACTGCGGGGCTCGCTCTTCATTTTCGCGCTTCGAGCTCTCTCCTTCCGCCGACATCGACATCTCATCGCGTTGGTCTTCCTTTCGCCACCAGACAATACAAGGATGACTTCAAATGCAAATGTGTCGACGGGGGAGATGTTTGGCGTGGGGTCGGTAGCTGCCATGACGGCAGTGCTCTTGTGAGTTGCACCACGCTCTTGGCGTGCAAGACGTGGCTTGTGCACGATACCGACCGACTCAACCTCGAATGCTCAGCTCAAACCCGTCCGAGGTGGTCAAGACGCGAATGCAGCTGCAAGGAGAGCTGCTAGCTAAGACAGCACCAGGTCAAGCAGCGCCACCCAGGTTGTTCAGCGGTGCGCTGGACTGTTTCGCAAAGACGCTGAGACTGGAGGGGGTCAGAGGAGTGCAGAGAGGACTGACATCAGCGCTGGGATATCAAGTCTGCTTGAACGGCTCCCGATTGGGTTTCTACGAACCTTTTCGAAAGGCGTACAATGCTGCGCTCGGCAAGGATGCCAGCGAGATGCATGCGCTGGCTGCTCTTGCTGCTGGAGCTTCTTCGGGCATCGTTGGAGGTGAGGCTGTGATGTGCAACTGCGCATCGACTGCAGTGCTTCCGTGGCCAACTCTGCTGACTGGGCCAAAGCGCATCGAATTCCCAGCAATCCTGGGCAATCCACTGTTCTTGGTCAAGGCGCGCATGCAAGCCTACAGCCCCTTTATCAAGATCGGCAAGAGCAGCTACCACTACAGCAGCACGTTCGACGGTCTGCGCAGCATCGTTCGGACCGACGGCTTTAGAGGTCTGGCACGGGGCATGGACGCGGCGATTCTGAGGACAGCGATGGGAAGCTCAGTCCAGTTGCCGTCCTACACCTACGCAAAGTCTTACTTGGTCAATCTCAAACCGGAGAATACCTTCTCTTGGAATCCCCTCTTGGTGCTTGCTGGTAGACCGGACTCCTTTTGGACTTACTTGGCATCTTCCACATTCAGCGGTCTTTGCGTTTGCGCAGTCATGCAACCGGCAGATACGGCCTTGTCCAGGGTGTACAACCAGCCCACAATGATTGACGGTGAGCGAAACTGGGCGCCTCGCAGGTCAGTGAGTTCTGTTGTGCTCACATGGGACATCTCCCTCGGCACGACGCAGCGCGCGGAAAGTCGGTCGGCACACTTTACAGAGGTGAGGAGGCCACAAGAGAGGTGTTGGAGGACGTTGCTAACATCACTTTGTCCGTATCGACAGGACCGCTGCATTGCTTGTATCTCACAGCCAAAACCGAGGGCCCGCTGGCGTGGTACAAGGGCACCACTGCGCACTTGGCGCGGATCGCGCCTCACACTGTACTCACTTTGGTAGCAAACGAAGGTGAGTCTCGCGCTTGATTGGCTTGTATCGGACGCTGAAAACTTCTCAATCTCCTCTCGATGTACCTTCTGGTGCGATGACGCGTGTCCCATAGCCTATCTGGTGAGATGATGAAGATGCTAGGCCACGATGCTTTCACGCGACGCGCGCTAATCTTTCTCTCACTCTTTCTAGCGGTACTACACAAATTGGAAGTCGGGCCGACCAATTTTTGCAGCGCCAGATGTTAGGAAAGCGTGATGCGACTACTGGAATACATAGACATCTTACATCCTTTGCGTTGCCAGCTTCTCATGATCTTCGACTCGTCGCTGCTCAGGCTTGTGAAGGACGAAGAGAGACATCTGGACTGCCTTCGATGCGCCAGCTCAAACTTGGGAAGCTGACCTCGGACGGACAGCTAAGAGCCAAATACAGGTGACATTTCTCGTGACGTGTGACAACGGCAGTGCCTATCGAAACGCGAGCTTTGAAGCTTCTCATTCCCTTTCGAGCATCCTGATGCCCTGCATCTTGAGCTTGCGCTGGAATCCATCGAGCCATTTCTGCAGCAAAGGACCCGTCTGTGGAGCGCTGTCAGGAATGTAGGAAGAGAGATAGTCGAACACATTTTGGGCTGCGTGGAAGGGTGGAAATCATGGACTTCAGCATGCTATCCACCCTGCTTTCTACGTTTGTGATTTGCTCCGCTATCGAGGACATGCGAGCCTCCATCACTCACCGATCTTGGGTGCTATCGCAGTTGCAATCTGTTCCGCCTGGGCAGCACCTGCTGCAGCCCCTGCACCGCCAGCTGGCACCAAGGCCAGAGCGTCGTTCCCACCAGTTGCTGCAGGGCCGACAGCGCTCGCAGCAGCTGTAGCACCCCCGAGAGAAGCGACTTGGGCGGCAACAACTTGCTCCGATTCGATCGAGAGTCCTAAGAGTGCAGAGGTTGCTGGAGTGCTGTTTGCCGCGCCGAATGCGGTGGAGGATGAAGCAGATGAGGCGGATGAAAGGCTCTTGCACCTGTAAATGGCTGATGGCTTGGTGTTCGAGAGCCTGTGTGGGCATTAGCAGGTGCGAGTGAGAGTCTGCACTTGCGATTCCTTGGCTCTCGCAAGCCCATGTCCTCTCGGCGGGCTGGCCCAGCGCACTCACCCGCCTAGCAATTTCCATGATCCTCCTGGCGGCAGCAAGTGCAGACTGACCGCGTATCCCTGCGGTAAGGGCGCATCGCCTGTCATGAATATGCAGATGTGGTTCAGGTTGGCTGCATCGTCGATTGGGAAGACGGCATGAGTCTCGTCCACTTGCTGAGGTGCCGTGAGTGGTAGACGTCCAGGAATGAGGAGCGAGAACATGTCTGCGGCTCACTTCGCTCTCTTTGATGCTTGATGCCCGGACTCGGCTGATGCGATGCGATGCTGTGGGGATGAGCGATTCCGCTTCAGAGCATCCTCGACGTCAGCTTGCAAGGCTCGTACTTGGTGGAGACGAGGATGAAGGCGCTCCTTTCAACCTTTGCTGATGACTCGCGAACAGCGCGCATCAATCAAGGTGGAGGTGCACCTCTCCCCGAGGCAGCAATCTGAATGAAGATCTGCCGCGTGCTAATTGAAGTCGCGCGTTGAATTCATGATCCGCGTGTGATTTTTAGCGCGACGAAGCGCGACGCTGCAAGCAGCTCGAGCGTCACGTGTCGCGCCACGCTGCCTCCATCCTTCGCGCCCTCGTCCTCTCCGCCGGCCCATCACGTCAGCAGGGAAGTGAAGGAGCGTCTAAGTAAGTGTGCTTCGAGAGGAACGCATTATTGTGATTGTTCGTGACTCCTCCATCACCTTTCTTTCTCGATCATTGCAGCACCTTCACCTCTCGCTTTGCGCTTCGTGTCTCTTTGACCTGCCCGTCAAGGCCTTGCACCAGGCAGGCGAGGAGGGCTTGAGAGGGACTTCAGCACGTAGACGCATACACCCCCGATCACTCCCACTGAACGGCCGGTTTCCGCTTTATATGAACGGTTCTTCATCACAAATAGCTTTCGGATCTTCTTGTTCTTCTCTTCTTTTCCCTTCGTCATCGCACATCCCGTCATGTCTTCTGACAACAGCCTCGCCACGTTCTTCTCCTCTCCTACGGGTCGTACCGCTGCCATCGCTGGTGGCGCCTTGGTCGTTCTAGGAGCCGGCTCCTTGCTTTACTCTCGCAACAGCAACAGCAACAGCAACAGCAACATCAACAGCAACAGCAGCCTCAGCAAGTCATCAGACTCTACTCGAGCGAAACGAGCAATCCCCAAGCATTCCAAATCCACCAAATCGGGCGCTTCCTCGGCAGCTTCTGCCTCGGATGACGAGTACATTCCCGCTCCGCGCACTCGGCCTCCACAGGGCGCAAACACGCTAAATCCAGTCGCGGTGCTATGGGACGTCGATGTGAGTGTCAGGATGGTCTTCTCGAATTGCCTAGCAGCTGTTCTTCGCGTCGCCACTGAAACATCCTCCGACGCCTGTAGAATTGCCCGCCTCCCACTGGTTCTTCAGGCCGAGCCATCGTTCAAGCTATTCGTCGAGCGGTACAGGCCGTAGGACCTGATAGCGTCTTGGGCGCAGGAAATGCAGGAGAGGAGCTGCTGCCGAGCGGACCCATTGTGATGTTCAAGGCATACCTGGAGATGAGCGACGCCAGTGCCGCTCCAAGCCCGCAGCAAGTCCTTCTGCGTAGCGAGCTGCAAGGCTGCGGAGTCAGCCTGATAGATACGCCCAAATCCGGTCGCAAGGACGTGGCGGACAAGATGCTCATCACAGACATGCTGGCATTTGCCATTGATCAGCCCAGCCCAGCAAGGGTCGTCGCCATCACGGGCGATCGTGACTACGCCTACTCGCTGGGTTGCTTGAGGAATCGCAACTACTCCGTCGTGCTAGTCGTTCCTCCAGTCGGCGCTCCTCCAATACTGGAAGCCAGCGCCAACGTCGTCGTTCGATGGCGCCAGGATGTGCTAGGGATGACTCACGACGCAAATGGCAGGCCCTATGCGACTGCCACGCCTAAAAGGAGCAACGGCGCTTCATCTTCCGTGGCCGCGTTCGGCACGAGCCCTTCCAAAGCCCTACATGCGCCAAGCACTCCATTGAATACACGCCAGGCAGATTTTGTCCGTGGCCCAGGTGGTCAGCCAGTGCCAGCGGTCTTTTCGCCACTCATCACAGTTTTGGAGCAGGTGAGTGGCGATGCACCCCGGTGTCCACGATCTTGAGCTCACACCTCACGCCTTGCCACTTCAATCTTGCAGTTGAGGAGCCAGGGCGTCACATATCCTCTACGAGGTACCGTAGCCGAAAGGCTCGCCGCTATAGACGATAAATTGTATGAGCGGGCCGGTGCCAGTCGTTGGGCTGATTACGCAGCTGTTGCAGAAGCAGCAGGGTTCATCACGCTCGGTACTGGTCAGCCAGGCAAGGACTGGGTCGCCTTGCGAACACCGACCACCATGAAGAAAAAGCTCGAGAAGAATGAGTATGATGCGATGACTTCGAGTCCTCTCTCTGTAGCACCTGCCTCAGCCAAAAAGCAACCTCCTTCAACTCCCACTCCCACTCCCAACAAAGCTCGAGCTGATGAACTTGCCCGAGGATCTAGCCCCACAAAGCGCTTTGCCCAACTGACCCCAGAGCCCGCGCACTCTTCGCCCCTCACCAAGAGCGATAGCAGCTCGGGCAACCTGGGCGGCGGCACCAGCATCCCGCTCAGAGAGCTGGAGAAGACCTTGCCACACGCGCCGTCCAAGGAACTCATCCCAATCTGCTTCTTTGCTCTTGCCAACTTCTTGCTCAACGAGCGCACTGTTGGAAATGACTACGTTCCGGACACCAAGATTCAGCGCTGGCTTTCTACGTCGAAGCACAAGATGGCAATATACATTCAGACGACGAACAATTGGGTTGACTACTTGATGCTGGCTCGCGAATATAAGATTGTGCGGCTCAAAACTGTGCCCGGCGAAGAATCCTTGCGAGTCTCGATCCATCCCCGCTTGACGGAGAGTCCTGCGCGTGGACAAAGGCCCAAGTCGCCTGAGAATCCACCGCGTTCTAATGGAGCGCAAGAGGGCGAATACGAACAGGAACATTCTCAACGCACTCAATCTACCTCTCGCGCTACATCCGGCGTCAGCGAGCGCGCCAAATTTAAGCCGCTTGTCGACATTCTGGTGCGACTGAGACGAGGGTGAGTGTTCCAGAGGTGGTGGGCTCAGGAGCAGGACTTGCTTTGCTAATACCGAGTCCAATCTGGTAAAGGCACGGAGAGGCCCAGCCCTCACGAAGCTTGGTGACCGAAGAGCTGGAGGAGATTATTTCCCACAGCGCACCATCTTCGCAAGAGTGGTATTCGGAACACGGCTCTGCTAGCGGCTTTGATGAATACGTCCAGCACGCCACCAACGCTGGATTTGCTTTGCTTTGCAACGATGAAAGCTCTGGCGCCGAATGTCTGCGCCTAGCGCCAAAGTACGAGAGGATGTTCTTTCCTGATCAGGCCTGATCGCGTTTTGCGCTGCTGCTCGCTCGACTTAGCCGACGATCATAAGATTGCAGCAAGAGCGCGCGCGCGCGCGCGCACTATGATAGAGCTGGGAGCTAAGCTCCTGCACGAGAATGCTCTTGGTGATGTTGTTTGCATCACCTTTGGACCGCTATACTATCAAGATTATCAAACGAGCGCATTTACTAGTGATGCACAGGATGGTGTGTAATGGCATGCGGTTCGCCGGAAATGATAGCATGACTGGTGATTATCTTGCCTCGAGAATGCATGAGTCAGCGCGTACTTTGACAGCGGTCCCAAGCTTGATCTCGTCCGCGCTTCCCAGTCCTTTACCCCGAACATCGGTGTTGCGACAAGAAGGATCACTGTCGATGTGGATCCTTGCTGTTCGCAACAGCCAACCAAATGGATCGACCAGGTGCCCGTTCTCGAAATCTCTAATCGAAATGTGTCATTTGAGGGCGGGGCTCTGGTCACGTGATCTTGCAATAAACACACGCTCAGATCAGCCTCACGCTCTGCAGCGCCATACATGGCGCCCGAACTGCACGCCCGTGCTGCGCTGCTGGCCGAGGCACAAGATCACGAGCGCGGCATGTGAATCGGATGAAACGTGTCGAGGCGCGCTCGCATTAACGTTGCTGGATCGATGAGCAGCAACCTTCCAGCTGGCGCTTCACCATCAACCCCCACGTCGACGTGTGAGTCAAAACAGTCACGAGCAGGCCTTCAATCACGAATATCGAGCAGCGAGTATCGCATTCAGCGCGCATCGTCTGGACGAGCCAAGGGTCGAACAGGAACAACGACTAGCTTATTTCAGCATCCTTGGGTCTTCAGGCGTGCAGGATGAACTCGCTGTACAATCTGGCACTGCGGCAATCCGCTTCCGTCAACTCCGACCTGTCCATCTTGGCATCCAGCAACCCCGCCACCTCTTCAGCTCTGCAAGAAAAGATCTCATCCTCGCTCGCAGCGCTCAGCAGGACTGTAGACGATTATGAAGGTCTGGCGAGCAAGGAGCTGGTGCCCGCGAAGAGGGAGAAGGCTCTGCTCAGAGTGGCCAAGTTCAGAGAGGAGGAGATGAATGCCAGGCGGGAGTTGATCAGATTGAAGAGTGGACGTGCGGTGAGTCGTGTAGCGAGCTTGGACAGGGAATGATGGCGCATGCGCGCGACGCTGCTCGTCTCGCGTTGAAGTGCCAGAGCTGATGCTGGACGGTCGACCACTGCTACTAAATCAGGGTCAAGCCTCGACCACGTCTACCTCTACCTCAACACAATATGGTCAAGCCTCGACCTCATCAGCCAACACCTCCAACACAGACTCAGGGCTTCACGCTCGTCCAGCTCAGTCGCCATCGGCAGCCTATGGCCAGAATGGATTCGGAGCTTCAGCGCACGACCCATCTCGGTCCAACACTCCTAATTACGGGGCAGGATCCAGCATGCCGTACGGGCAATCTCCGTATGGACAGTCGTACGGTGGAGGGCCCTCTGCCCACGCAGTGCCGATGCACAACGATCCGCTGGCTTCATACAGAGCAGCAGCTCAAGCTCAGTACCAAGCTAACGGCGGCTCTTCGAGGGGCAGAGAAGACATGGCGCTCCGAGAACATTCATTCATTGGCAACGCGGAAGCACAGATCGATGCGCTGATAGCTCAAGGGAGACAGACGTGGGGCAACTTGACGGAGCAGAGGGACGTGTTGAAGGGAACGCAGAAGCGATTGAGGGACGCTGCGCTGACCATGGGCCTCAGCAGAGACGTCATCGTGAGTTGGACAGACGAGAAAGCTGCGAGCACTGCGTTTGGAATCGTATCGCTGCAAAGCAATCTCTAGTCGCTGCGGGATCTGACACTAGCATTCCTGCCCCCCTTCACAGTCATACATCGAGCGACGAAGCACGCAAGACAACATCATCTTCGCTGTCGGTGCCCTCTTCACTCTGGTCGCGTTCTGTAAGTTGATTTGGGGCGCAGCGCACCACTCCTTGCTGACCCACGACACCTCGTTTACCATTCGCAGACTTTATCCTGAAATGGTTTGGCTGATACTCCATTGTTTGCATGAATCCGGCTTCTTGCTGGTGCTGCTGCTAGCGTCCCTTTCGCATCCTACATTTTTGCGTCACCCAGCCCCCTCTTTGAGCGACCCTTTGCAAGCAAGATTCCTGTCCGCGATGACGCACGCGAAGCTGAATACCTCTTGAAAGTCATGCTTCATCACGTCAAGCCGCGCGCTTCAAGGGCACAGTCATGGTGCGGACGAAACCTTGAGAAGCGAAGTATTACCATACTTGGTGCTGTGCCGTACTCGATGACATGGTGCATTGCAAGGCTGTCCCGGAAGTGGTATGAATAGATGGAACAAGGGCATCACTGTGCAAGAATATGCACTACTAACCCCACGGGTTGTCCGTCTCCCATGCTGATGAGGAAGTATTTCGCGAAGCGGGTTGCCGCACTTGCAAACCCTCAGGCATGTAGTTGCTCGAATCATCGATGGCTAGACGGTCGAAAGATAGACTGCGCGGTGGCTCTGCCAAAGTTTCTTGTCTGATCGCGCTTGGCCCGCGAGGTGTCGATGAGGAGAATGCAATGTCGCCAGATGAGTCTCTTCCTTCGTCATTAAACGCAAAGGGATTGTGCGAGGCAGGGGTGGACCATGGTGAGGTCCCGTCTGGCGCGACAGGCAGGTCTTTGCTGGAAGATGGTCTCGGAAGATCGTCACTGCGAGAGTTGCTCGCGACATCGCCTTCATCATCTCGTCCTTGCCGCGATGAGTCGCCGCCCCACCCACCGTCTTCAGCAGGCAGGTAGGATGCCGCTCGGCCCTCCAGGCTTGATCCCCTCCCGCTCTCTTCATGAGAGGCTCGGCTGTCTGGCTCATTAAAACGACGCGCGAGCTCTCGTGCGGCATCCGACGACAAGCCGTAGCCGCGAGCTGCATCCAGTGATACAGGTGCAGCCTGACCCGGTGCTGGGACAGGTGGTGCGGGCTCATCTTCCTCGTCGCTGTATGAATCCGCGAACGACAGACTGACACCACCCATCGAATCCTCAGTCATCATGGCAGGAGGCGCTGGAGGTGGCAGACGACTGAATGGCGATTCGCTGAAGCTATGGGCGTAGGGCGTAGGTGTGGCGGATGGCCGACGGGGGAGATCTGCCGCAAGCGCTTGGGAAGCCGCTTGGTTCGAAGGCTCCGCTTGTCGGCGAGCGTCATCCCGTGTCGTTGCGATCATCGGCGTCTTGAGCTGCTTAGGCGGGGCGGATGCCAGAGTCGGAGTCGGGGTCGGGTCGCTACGGCGAGCTTGCTCAGAGGCAACCAGTGGAGGTAGAGAGCTTTCAAGCTCCCTCACTTCGATGCCGCTGGAGCGCAATTCAGCTAGCATTGCCTCGGTGTCGAAATGCACGGCCAAGTTGGGCGGCTTCTCCGCTTCTGGGGTAGCAGAGCGTGTGGAAGCCAGATCCGATGACCTTCGCACAGTATCGACCGCAAGATGCTTGGGCGCTACGGCAAGTGCAGAATTGCCAGCATCGGCGGTCTCTGCAGTAGGCTCAATGGATGGGGTCGCGACTGCAGGCTCACGCTCGAGCTCGCGCGGGGGTAGATCGTCATCGTCATATTCGTATTCGTTCGTGGTAGTCGGCCCTGTGCTCGATCGCTGAGCTGGAGTGCTGGATTGCGAAGAGTCTGTCGAGGCATTGCCAACGCCTGCTTGTCCGTCCTTCTTGCGTTTGAATATCCGACCAAAGCCTCCTGAGCTATTCTGCACCTTTCTAGTCTGTTCCTCCTCCTGCTGGATTTGTAGCGCCTCTCGCAAAACTTCTCTGTCTGGCACATTGTTCAGATCCTCGGGCTCATCGAAGTAGTCTGCCGTTGTCTTGAAGCCAAGCTCATCTAGGACAAGTGGCATGAATGCGCGGTACTGCAGATGACCTGGTACCGTGGTCGTGACGTCAACGTTCTCCACGTCTGGCACTCGCTCTACTGGATGAAGACCAGCAATAGAGCGAATACCACCTGTGGTCGCGCGGAAGAGATAACCGAGGATCCAGTCTGTTCGCGAGAATGCTGCAAGGCGGGGGAAGGCAAAGACGTCAGACAAAGCCACTCGAGAGCAACGCAGGAAACGCACCATTGACAAATCGGCCCGAGACCACACTTCTGGCTTCCTTCCACTGTGCATCTGATGCGGTGACTGGCGCACCAATGATGAAGACGTCCTGCACGACTCCGAATTTCTTGTTTTTCGCGAGCTCCGTGAGAGCATAGAATATGGATCGCGCACCCAGACTGAAGCCCACCAAAGTGACTGGCCTAACACCCATTGCTCGTTTGGCGAGAACATCCGCGAGAATAAGACCCGCAGACCACGACCGATCGAGCGCATTGCTCCATGGATTGTCGATCAGTAGGCCAAGCTTGGTGAGCCAGAGAGGAGCGGCGAGGGCTGCACATGGGAAGCAACGGCGGTCGTGCTCTCAGCACGCGCTTCCCTTGGGCCTTTGTCGGACTCTACTCACCTCCCACGAGACCACCAGCAATAGTCGCAGCAAGCACCTGCTGAAGACCTTGTACGACCGTCTCAGTGTATAGCAGGTAAATCGCATCACCCATCTCTTTCATCATATCTGGTTCCCACAGCACAGCAAACACATCTCCCATCACGCTGTCAATGACCGAGAAAGGCAGCCGTGGGTCGTCCTGAGCTCCATTCATGAATCTGAGTGTGCAACGCCCGTCAGTATGACTATGCATAGCGAGCTTGTGCATTTCGCTCCGACTCACCCTCCCACACAAATATAGCAATTGACCCGTTTGTTGTTATGCACAGGCTTGAATTCGAAGGTGCGTACTGTCCGTGTCCGTCGACTCATTCCTCTGCCACCGATCGCCATGCCGCCTGCTGTGGCCGTTCCAGTGATCACGGCAGCGCCGCCTACGCCTCCCAGAAACCCAGTCGTGCCACCCACACCGATGGTTCCGAGCGCTGCACCAAGACCAGCACCGATGACGGGAGCAAGCATCCCCGCAGAGAAGCCAATGATGAGACCACCTCCAACTGTAGCAAGCCCCATCATGACGAGTCGCCGTCTTCTCGCCAATTCTGCGCGCTTCTTGATCGCTTTCTTGCTCTTGAGACTTCCGGAGACGCCCTCCTCAATCTCAAGCGCATCTGTGACGCGCTTCTCGAATTTTGTTACGTCCATCCAAGTCAAGCTCAGATAAGCCGCGACAGTCTCTAGGAGCACCCTTGATCGCGCATCGTATACGCTATCTGCCGTGAGCACTAGGAAGAGGTCGCACAGGACGGTCCATCTCAAGTCGAGCGTGATGTGTTCGTCTGCGCTGCTGAGCTCTTCCGTAACTCCTTCCAGTGCTGAAGGCATTGTCTCGATGGCCTGAGGTGCCGCAGTCAGTCCTAGTTCACCCGTCGCTCGTGCTGATTGCGCGTCTGCCTCGACGAGCTGCGCCTTGGTGTTAGGATCAGCCACCTGATGTGCATCGAGCGCTCCGCTCTCGGGCTCATGATCGACATCTTCAGGTTGAAGCGGTCGCAGCGAAGCCTGCGGCGTCTTGCTAGGTGAGGGCAGCTCGCCCCCACGTTGGACGGGAGTCTCGAGAGCAGCACCTATGTCTCCTTCATCGTCCGCATCCTCTGCCAACTCGAAACGCTTGTACGGAGGCGGTGGAGCTTGTGACAAAGCGCTTGCTGCCTTATCTGCTTCCTTACGGCTGAGTGAGTCGCCACTGGAGTAGTCCATGTCGCCCAAGTCCCCTTCATCTTGACCAAGCGCTCTGCTAAGGTCGCCCTCGTCATCCGCCGGAGAAGCATGCGCAGGGTCGAAAGGCGAGACAGACTTCAGCGAAGTCGAGCTGCCATTCCCTCTGACCTCTAGATCCGAGCTGAGCCCTATGCCTGGCTCTTCTGCGGGGCCCAGCTCCAGAGTTCCGTGCGACGAATAGTGCTCGCTCGCGGCACTCTCATCCGCTAAGGAACGCCTTAGCTGCGCTTGCTGCTCTTCAGCTTCGCGGGCCAAGCGATCTAGCTCGAGAGCTTCTTTCTTCAACCTTTGACGCTCTTCCTCGGCATCTCTCTCGGCCTTTGCTTCTGGGTCAAAGTCCGGATTATCTACTTTGGACGTGGTGATCAAGCTAGGAGCCATGTCGGAAGCGAGCACGCCATGTTGCGCCAGGGATTCTATCATGCTTTGCTCTGACGAAAGAGCTCAGCGCAAATGCGATATGTAGCTGAGCGGAAGCAGGGTCCAAGTGCACGCAGTGCTAGTTGCTGACTCACCATCTGCTTCTATGTCCATATGCTGATACAGCCGCGCCATGACCCGCAACCGCCATTCATCCGCGGAGGCTGCTGCAGGCTGCGTCTCCTTCCCGGGCACCCTCTCCAGCTTGCGTATCATGTCTCTGGCGACTAGACTGACTAGTCCCACATATGCTATCTTTTGACCCTCTGTCAACAGCTTCTTCGTTGTTGCTAGCTGACTGAGCGGAGTGGCGCCCGTCCCACCTGTCGGCTCGTACAGACCATCATCGGCTTCCTTGTTTGCACCGGCTCCCGAGCCTCCTCCAAACAGATAGTCGGTGGCAGCATGCAGCTCGTCACCCTCCACATCGTCCTCTAGCCTCAACTGCGTGTAGCCTCGACTCGCGCCCTCGTCCTCGCTCGTCTCTTCCTCGCTACTATCAGATTCTGCCCCCTTTGCGCGACCCTTGGCGCGTTTGTCCTTGCTCTGACCTTTGTGAGGTTCGCCCTTCTCGTCGTTTCCAAGACCAGCTGCGCTCTCCTTGTTGGAAGGCGCCTCTCTCCAGGAGTACCCTCGAGCATCGTCGATGTCTAGGTGCACACCCGTCGCATTGCCTTGCATGGCTTTGGAAGCACCGGCGCTGGACATGTGAGCGCTCTTTTTGCGCGCATGTCCCAGCTTCTTCTTCCCCAGAGACGAAGGACCAGCTCCTCCCGCAGTGCCGTACCCGCGCCGCCCTATATTATCCTCGTCAGAAGAGGAGGTGCTGGATGAAGGTGCAGCTTCTCGCACTACTGGCCTGCAGTAGGATTTGAGAAAGAGGCGATGGGCTAATCAGCGCAAAGTGGTACGGTGCGCAGCGCTAGAGAGCTGACACAGACACTCACATCTCCTGCCAGTCATCGTCGAGGAATGACATGCTGGGCCGAAACTCGCTTCACGTGCAGTTCTGGTCGAGATCGATGGGGCGCACTTGTTTGGAGGAGATGGCAATCCAGTACCCATCAGAGCCTCACAGCACGCGTCGTACAATCCATGCAGAGCCGGCTAATCGGTCACTGCTGATGCGAAGAGCCCTTGTAAGCCCGCAATGTTGCAGGTGTATGAGTCAAGATGATGTAGAATCGTGAATGCGTGATAATTGGCATCCCTTCGAGTTTTGAGAGCTCGCTGCATGATAACAGATCGGAGATTGTCCCAATTTGGCGGCTGGCGCGGGTGCAGCAGCGTGGGGGCGGTTGAGTCTGGTCAAGATGAGAATCACGTGATCACTCAGGCTGCGATCGAGAGACCAACAGCGGCACGGCGGCGCGAGCTGCGTGACCGCCGAGTGGTTGCTGCTGACAACTAATCAAAATATTAAATGGCACAAGTGGAGGCCAGTCTTGGGTTCCCTCCTTACCATATACAAAAATCGCGAGCCTATCTCACTCTCATTTGACTCAAAGCACAGAATTCTTCGGGCTCGCCCCTGGTGACTCTCCCCTCATTTCGAACGTCTGCACTATCCAGCTCTCTCACGAGCTGTCGGCGTATCCGCCAGCCTCGCTCCGCCCTCGCCTTTCGGCCAGTCTTCTATTTTGGGTCGCATGATGCTACGTCCGCGCACTCTCGCGTCCTCATTTAGAGGGGCTTTGCGTCCACTACCAGCATACAATGCAGCGCCTGCCGGCTTGCAGCAATCTGGCATCCTCGCCACAAGCGCACGGTCCGCATCGACGACAAGCTCCGGCTCATCAGGCGCGAATCCGGCACCTGGTCCACCTCGACCTGGCAGCCCGTTCGTCATCTTCGATCGAGCAGCCAAAGCGAATCAGCGCAGCCGGGCTTCGAAGAGAAGAAGGATTGCTAGTGACGGCTCGCAATGGACGGGAGAGCCGGGTGAGCCTTCCAGAGACACGGACTATGTCAAGCACGTCATTGCAGAGAGTATGGCTGAGCGTGTCTTGGTGAGTGTCGTGCCAAGGCAATGGTTCGACTGTCTTAAGAATGTTGCTGATGGTGCGTTCTGTGATCTGTAGGACATCAAGCGTCCTTTGGACACGATTGTTGAGCTCGGAGCTGGTGCTGGCTTTCTCCGTCATTACCTGGACCCAGCGGGATCGGGCTGCAAGAAGATCATCATGTGTGACACCAGCGAGGAGGCGTTGTGGAGAGATGCTCACTTGGATAGCAAATATCCGTGTGAGTGAATTTGTCCAGCAGCACGAGCCGCTCACAACTAATGCGAGTCCCTCCTCTGTATACCAGTCGAGATAGAGCGGCTGGTAGTCGACGAGGAGCAGCTGCCATTCGAGGAAGACAGCGTCGACTGCATTGTCTCGATGGGCGCACTCCACTGGACCAACGATCTGCCTGGTGTGCTGATCCAGGCTCGCAAGGCGCTGAAGCCCGACGCCCCGTTTCTCGGCTCAATGCATGGCGGAGAGACGCTCTTCGAGCTGAGGTGAGTGCTGCTTGGAGGGAGAACCGGCTGTATGGAGATATCTAACTGCCGCATTTGCGCCTCAGAACGAGTCTGCAGCTTGCTGAGCAAGAACGGGAGGGCGGCATTTCTCCCAGAGTGTCTCCGATGACGGACACTCGCGACATGTCTACCTTGCTCACTAGGGCAGGATTCGCCATTCCGACGGTTGATTTGGACGAGGTGGAGATTCAGTATCCCAGCATCTTCGAATTGATACATGATCTGAGAGATATGGGAGAGAGCAACGCCGTCATCAACCGACGCGGATCTCTGCGAAGAGACACGCTCATCGCAGCCAGTGCTATCTACGAAGGTGAGCCTGGGCAGAGCAAGGTGTACTGCAGCTCATAGCCTCGTTGTTCTGACGTTGCAAGCTTCACGGCTCAGCTCTTCACACAAGCCCAGAGGTGGACGACATGGTGCCAGCTACCTTTGCTAATATTTACTTTGTGAGTCGTGCATACAGCCAGCTATAACACCCGAAATAGGTTCGGTCAAGCTGACGTACACCGAACACAACAATTCCAGATCGGATGGAAGCCAGCCCCTACTCAAGCGCAACCCCTCAAGCGAGGCAGCGCAACGGACAGCCTCAAGGACGCCCTCGCGGACCAGGAGGTGGGCATCGAGAAAAAGTAGCTAGGCTTCTTGATACATGCTACGAATAAGAATCAGAGCATTTGGCAGAAGGTGTCCCAGCTTCTCGGAGCGCGATTGCCCACTCCGCAGCGCCTGATGACGGTGTGATCTTGACTGCTTGGCTCGCACATTCAGCGGAATCTCATTTAAGAAGGCACCTTCTCTGCGTAAGCAAACTTTTTGCAGAGCGAACTTTTTATCAAACGTTCAAAATTCAAACAAACCTGCATGTGCACATGCCTTAATCTGTCCAAGATGTTGCTCAAGGTTGCTTCTGCATTCAAAAATTGGGCCTGCATTAGGGTGTCTTTGGTGAAGCTGAGAAGAAATTTATCAAGTTTCCGAGGCATTCATGTTGCTCTGACTGATGGTAAGATGGGCATTGAGGTGATCTGAAATGTCGCTTCCAAACTGGTCATTGATTGATCTCAAATGTTGCTATTAAGTCTGACGCCCAAATTGATTTGTGAGCGCGACTCTGAGCTTTGAAATAAGTCTAAGCTTGGAGCTACTCACAGCCTCTTGGACCCCTCTGTGCGAGGTGCAAAGGGGTCGAGCGCTGGCACAGCAGAGTCATTCAGGAGCCTGTACTCAGGGGGGGTGTTATGGCACATGCGCTTCCAGATGAAGACATATGCCAGGGCAATCAGAGTCCTTTTGCTGCCAGGCAGAGAGCCAGCTGTTGTGTTGGAATTGTAATGCTCAGGCCTGCCAAAGAAAGAAATGAAGGATTGTCAGCTGGGTGATCAAAACAGTGTCAAACATTAGCAGGAGTAAGTCAATCAAGGAAAGGGGCTATTGCAAGAGAAAAGAGGCATAGAAGAGTCTCCATATACGTCTTACAGAATGTCTGGGAGACATGGTGTGCTGTGTAACAGAACAAGAGAGAAGCACAGGGAGACAGAGGCAAATGTCTGAGAGACACTCCTGTGTTTGAGGAGCATATGTATGGTCCAAGACATAGGTAGCTGCATGAGTAATGAGTTGGAGACACAGTGGAATGACAGAGAGATGGCTGGGTCTGTTCAAGAGAGAGAGAGATGCTCAGCGCACAGTGAACAAAAGCTACAAGGCAGTGGGTGGCATGCACGGCATAAAGTATGCCAAAGTTGAGCGAATTGGAGACCAAGACCAGGCGAGAAAACACAGCGGAGCTCTTGTTCTGTCGATTGATCTTAATTGGCTTGATGGGGAGGACCTCATTCTGAGTAATGTCCATCCCCTTTGCCTCACCTCCACGATGCTGTGAAGAGGTAGGAAACAGAAGATACTTCTACAGCTTGAAAATTGAGACTTGTGCGCAAGGGGAAGGAAATGGTTGTTTGCCCGATGAGGGAAGCCGCTGGACAGTGAAGAAGGGAGAGCTTTGTACGCTGATCGTACAAGCCTGCCCAAAAGCAGAACCTTCTGCTTACTTTGCCTCAGCCTCCCAAGCTGTAAGAACAGCTACCTCTTTCCCATCTGTTGTCTCTGTAGCTGTGCCTGAGGAGGATGGCATGCTTTTGGACGCTTTGCAGGGCCATGTCTGCCGTGAGGGCATCAGTAAGCACATCAAGAGTGTTGTCTTTGCCCTCTTTGCAAGAGCAGTGAGCATGGCCTTTCTGAAGCTATGCACCTCTTTTCTTGCAATGTCAAGCCATTCCCTTGTGCTTTGAGCCTTGTTGCTCAGCTGCAAGAAGTCTCTTTGCAGCTGAGCATGGTCAACAATGCCACTGAGGGTCCTGGGCTTGTTGCTCTCTCAGATAGTCCCCATGCTCTTTGCGCTTTCTGACAGCTTGTTATTGGGATGATTGTTGAGAGCCTCTAGGCCTCTATTGGAAGCAAGTTGCTGAATGCATGTATAGGCTGCTCTGGCTGCTTTCCGCTGAGCAAGAGAAGGCTCTGTGGGCTGCGTGGTTATGGTATGCAGGTCCAAACCACACTCTTGCTCCTGTGGATCAAGTCAAGCTTCATGGGTGACAGAGACGGACGAGTCTGATGGGAGGTGCTGCTCAATGTTCTGACTTGCTGTAAGACCCAGTTGGTCAACTCCAATCCCATGTCTTGGTACATTTTCCTGGACTTTCAATTCATATCCTATGCCGTGGGCATTTACATAGGCGCTGTGGTACGCAACAAGACATGCCATTTTCTGATTTAGCATGAGCAGCTCAATGAGCTCTTCTAAGTTCTCTTGCATGATCACATCTTCATTTGCATTATCCAAGAGCTGTTCATTGTGCTTGCCAATGTTGTTTGATACACTGGAGCTGCTTTGTTGTCCATCAATACATGTGCATCTCTTGACTTGGGGTGTCTTGAAGCTGTGTGTTATGTTTACTTCAAGTGACAGTGTGACAGGCAAACGGCTCTCAAGCATCAAAGAGAATGACAGTCTGAGACCGATCCGCAGACTGATGATTGCATGCTAGTGTGAGCTCAGACATTGCCACCAAGGGTGGACTTCTGTACATCAGGGTGGATCGAAGCAAGAGAAGCGGTTGTGAGGGCTGCAGAAGATAGCTTTTTGGTGGAATGCGAGAACGAATTCAGGCGCAAGAGAGCTGCTCAAGACAGAGCTCACGAGCGACTCAACCAGCCACAGCAGGGCAGATCATGACTCATCTACTGTCTGTAGAGGGATGCAAATGCCGCTTAGCGCATCAAGGCGGTTTCTTGCTGCTGTAAAAAGAATCGCTTGTTGTCCACAAAAAGCTTGGTGTTCTTGACGAAACATGCTTACTGGTTTCAAAGAGCTTCTTGCTGCTGGCTAAGAGCCTCTTCTGACCTTTTGAGACCCAAGTGAGGGAACAGTGCTGCTGCGCATCTTTGCAGTGCTTCTCCCTGCTGTCCAATAGCTTCCTTGCAAACTTACATGCCCTGTTACTGCTGAAAAAGCTCCTGCTGTTGTCGCTCAAAACTGTGCTGCTGGCTTACAAGCTCACTCTGTCACTGAACAAGCACTTGCTCGTGTTGACAAAGACCATCTCGCTCCTGCCAAATGGTCTTACTGCTGACAAAGAGTTGCTTGTTGTCCACAAGAAAATTCTTGCTCTTGACAAAGAGCTTCTTGCCAGCAAAGACGCTGTGCTTGCTGTTCAAGAGCGCGCTGTTGCCAAGCAAACTTGCGCTGTGAGTTCACCTTGCAGCAGAGGCTTTGCACAGAGACGTCTTTGGCATTACGCCTGTTCTTGCAGGACAAACATTGCATCTGGGGCTGCATTGGTGTACACAAGGAGGAGAGAGCCCTGCTTGGAGCGCATAATCTGTCCAATCTGTCCTATTTGTCCAGCAAGGCGGACAAGTCGAGCGCGCGTGCTTGCTGTCTCTCAGAGGCATTCTCTCACAAGCATTCTTCCACATCGACACATCGCTCCACACCCATTGACCAACAAGATGAAGCTGTTCGTTGCGATTGCTGCAGCCGCAAAAACAATCTTCTCCGCGCCCTCCATCAATATGGTCAATGCTGGCGAGTCCAGGAGCCTCTACGAGCGCCTAGCCATCGCTGCCAACGAGCTGCCAAGTGCGCTAGATGGAGAGCCCTCTGCAGAAGAAGTGAACCTTGCCCTAGCAGTCATGCATGCTGCTGTTGCCATCTTGGACAACGCCCTTTTGCGCAAGCTCACGTGCGCACCGCACCTGACCAAGTTTGTGGAGATTCACGACAGGGCAACAATCAATATGGTCAATGCCCGCGAGTCCAGAACCCTGTACGAACGCCTAGCTGTCGCTGCCAACGAGCTGTCAAGCGCGCTAGATGGAGAGCCCTCCGCAGAAGAAGTGAACTTTGCCCTAGCAGTCATGCGTGCTATGGTTGCGATCTTGGACGACGCTCTTTTGCGCAAGCTCACGTGCGCACCGCGCCTGATCAAGATTCTGCAGATTCACCACAGGGCAACGGACTTCGCTCAGACGCACGTGTCTGAGGAGGCATGGCAGCTGCTCTACGATGAGCTTGCGGAAGAGATGCGCGATATGATAGGCAAGTTCGGTGCAGAGAGTAACCTGGCCTTCTCCAGATACATCCAGATCCAACAACTGCTTCTCGAGCTTTGGGAATCACGCTCGAGCTTGGAAACAGTTTGGCTCGCTCACAGCTGGTTCAGCCCTTCCGTATGGCATTGGGCGCAACCTCAGCCGCTCCCATACAAGCGCGCTCTTTTCCTGCGCCCGGCTGAGATCGCTGAGGAAGATGCCTTGAATGGCACCATTGATAGGCAAGTTTGGTGCGGAGAGTAACCTGGCCTTCTCCAGATACATCCAGATCCAACAACTGCGTCTCGAGCTTTGAGAATCACGCTCAAGCTCGGAAACAGTTTGGCTTGCTCACAGCTGGTTCAGCCCTTCCGTATGGCATTGGGCGCAACCTCAGCCGCTCCCGTACGAGCGCGCTCTTTTCCTGCGCCCGGCTGAGATCGCTGAGGAAGATGCCTTGAATGGCACCATTGGCGTTGAGAACAGCTTCGTGGCTCACCTTGCTCGTCAGGAGGCATCAATCCGCGGCGACTCAAGCCCGAAGGTGCTCGACTTTCTCTGGCCCACACCGGTCAATACCTCCAGCGCCTTCCTCGCTCCGGCCGGCAACAAGCGCAAAGCTCAAGAACCACCCGCAGACTCTTCTTCGCGCGTTACTCGGTCTCATTTGCACACGCTTGGTACGGTCACGCTCCATCTGCCAGCCTCCGCAGTCACCTCGGCTACGGAAGTCAACGCTCAGCAGATAACGACGCACTTCGACCTACCAGCGTTCGCAATCACGTCGGCTGCTGGATCGGTGGTCGGATTACCACAGATCATGATGCAGCTTCCGGACCCCTCGTGCTTCCCTCCGGGCTTGAAGATGTTTTTGCCGGAGCTACACGTCCACTTGCCCGTCACGTTCACCAAGCGCCCTCCTTCAGTCTGGCTACGCCACAACAGCGGCCTCATTGTACCTGGCAAGTAGACTTACCACAGTGGTCGCAGCTCACAGCGTGAAAGCTCAGGCATTCACCTGCATTATCTGCCCTTTGAAGATTTGGCGCAATGCTGCCCAGTTGCCTCTGGGCTCTCCTTGACTTCTTTGCCCACCCCTTTTGGTGGCAGAGTCTCCTTGCAGACCACTACTTGCGCACAGGCTGATGCTGTTGTATCGTCTCCAGCTGGCAAGGCCATCACACGGAGTAAGGCTATGTAGGCAACATAGGATTGAAGCTGTGGGTAATCAGAAGGGGGCGATGACAATGGTGCTGTCACACTCTGCGATTGATGCAACCAAAGTAGAACAGAGTGAGGTGAAGGCGAAACGACATTGTGGCCAAGGCACAGCCTTTAGTCGTGCGCTGAGGCTGGAGTGAAGAGGCCGGGAGTGGAGAGAATGACTGGGCGATGAACGAAATGAGAAGACGTCAGGAAGTGCTTGGAACGGGGAGCCATTCTCACGTCGCAATCCATCTGCGCATGCTGAGCTTGGCTAGAGATCTGATCAGCAACTCTCTCTGACAGACCGCAGCGACTTCCTCAGGAGTCTTTGCATCTGCAAGCGCTTGAAGAAGGACTTTCTTCAAGTCTTCCTCCCTCTTGGTAAGGGCCGCATTGCGCTCTCCATTCTGGAGCTCCTTGGCCGCAACGGCTTTCTCCCTGGCGCTCACCTCGTCCTCATCTGCGCATCCAGCTTGGCTAGAGATCTGATCAGCAACTCACCTTAAAGCCCGAGCCTGTCCAAG